AGTGGTTAATTAAATACCAAGATACTAAGAATCTCATATAATCCTATTCATTTGGGTGCTTTATTGCTCATTTGTTTTATTGGCGAAGTATTAGATGTTGACAAGGCCTGGAGCCTGCAGGGCATATACATTATTTGCTGTTCTACTTTTATTGTAGCTTGTATTTATATGCATGTGCAAAAACAAAGTGAATCGACTCAGAACCAGGGTAGCAATTGACGTTGATGCATTTTAGTTTTATTTGGTTGCCTTTTAGGAAAAATGTACTCTTTATTTCTTTGTGCTTGTTGAAAATTCTTGCAGAACCAGAAATTATGGTCCAAATACAAGGGTCTCTTTGTTGTTAGATGAACGTATGACCTCTCAACTTCCAATTTTATTGAAATTTTCAATTTGAAATCCCGGTAAGACATCATAGGCTTGCTGCTTGTAATTGAGAATTAAAATTGTCTCAACTTGAGTGTGGTCCTTGTTTTTGTTTTCGAAGGGGAACATTCCTATTGTTAATACTTGAACTGAATTGGAGCGGAGGTCTCCGTTTCCTTGTCTTTGGAAATTTCGCTTTATGATTTTATGGGAAGGAAAGTGCAAGCTACTCTTGTTTTCTTATTCATTATACTTATTTTATATAAATTGGAGCGAGGTCTCCCCGTTTCCCTTAGTTTTTCACTTTGGAAAATTTCGCTTTATGATTTTTATGGGAAGGGTTTAAAGTGCAAGCTTAACTCCCCCCATTGTTTTCCTTATTCATTTATAACCTTATTTTTATATATTATATTATATATATATATTATATATATAATATATATATATATGTATTTTTTATTTTTTATTTTTTACTTTGAAATAAAAATTATGAATGTGTCTATGTTCGGCCTTTGGACTCAAAAGTTAAATCACTTGTATTAGTTTAAATGAAGTAAGGAATTCAAGAATTAAATAAACAAAAAACATGTAAAAGTACTGGCAACGAACCATACCCATCCGAAGGAGTTAAAGTCGCATTTTGAATATTATGTATTTTTATTTTTATTTTTACTTTGAATAAAAATTATGATGTGTCTATGTTCTGCCTTTGGCTCAAAGTTAAATCACTTGTATTAGTTATGAGTAAGGAATTCAAGAATTAAATAAACAAACATGTAAAAGTACTGGCACGAACCAACCCATCCGAAGGAGTAAAGTCGCATTTGAATATGGACTTGACGCCTGAAAAATGTACAGTTTCTTCACACCAACTGCAATTAGTCTGTCCCAAAGAAAGGGAGACAGATTCTAAGTTTGCCTGGAAAAATTTATAAATAATAATGTTTAGAAAATAGATATTTGCTCTTTTTTTTTTTTTTTTTAAGAAAGGAAAAATGATTTTCACATAAGTCACGACATGGCATCCATATTTATTATTGAAGTGCTTTTGTTTGTAATTTATACAATGAGAGAGGGAGGAGGGTGCCAGGAGTATCCTTCTTTCCTTCAATCCCATTTTTTTTTTTTAACATTAATAATAAATGAAATGTTGTTGGGTTTTGCAAAATACTCTATTTGGAAAGAATGTAAGATTATGAGTGGATGTAAAAAACTTCAATTTACTTTCTAAAATGGGAGGACAATAAAATAACAATACTGTAAAATTTTTACTGTTAATTGCCAAATTATAGAATTAAACTTCCATTAAGTTATAAACATGTCCCATATACATATATGAAAAATAAAAATAAAAATTTATAAAAATATAATTTTCTTTTATCCGCGGTCTGTTTGTCTTCAAATAAAGTAAAATAAAATTATTTTCCCTTCCATCTAAACAGAAAGTCTTCCTTATTTTATATCTTACTTCAGCTCTTTCCAAACAAGGCATAAATTTATATAATTTAATAAGAAAACAGTTTTTTTTTAAAAACACTTTATGGGAATAATATCTTAATTATTTATTTAATTGTCCATCAGTGGGTGGTGAGGGAGAGAACAGAACCATAATTGGTTGAAGTGAATTCTAATATTACAATATTTATTAATTGAATAAAATAAGTCTCTGACTAAAAGGAAAAGAGTTAGACATTCCGTACAGAAGAGTCAACGTCCGTGTCAGCCTTTCTCCAAATGCTACCAGCCTGTACTCCTCTCTTTTGGACTATCCACTCGTCTCTGCTATTTCTACATCAGACCATCCCTTCATACCTCCTTATACTCGCTCATCTATTTTGACACCTGGTAAACAAAGATATTTTGGTAATTCCAGTTCTCTACTTACACCCAAAAGGCCAAAACTCCTCCTCCTGTAGCGAGTACGTGTTTAATGGATACGCGCGAGTATGTGAAGAACAGTCTCATTGTACAAACTACTTGCAACACCGAATAATACATCGTACATTGAAGATACGATCGTCTCCTCCTCTGTCCTCCTTTTTTATTTTACTGTTATACCCTTGGGTTTTTCGACTATTTTAATTAGGACCATCTCATGATTAATCAAAACTTCAATAATGTTATTGTCAATTGCACCATTAAAGTACTAAAGACATTATCTGATAGGAAAACAAGCTTCTGTATTAAAGTGTCTAAGGTGATACTGTACAAAATGGTAATTCGGTCTAAACAAATTAAAATTTATTTTGAGGCTTAATTCGATTTGGTTTTCACTTTTATTAAAATTGAAATAAAAATGAATACTTAAAAATTAAATAAATTCAAATTAATTAATTTTAATTTTCTTGATTAGTGTGTAAGGTTAGTATAATATGAGATAAAGGAAAGCTATAAACAGAATTAAGCTATGCACGTGCTTTTTTTTAAGAAAATCTATTCGAAATAACCTAATTATGAGATATTATAGTCTAAATTTAATTTCTAGACTAAATAATAATACTGAAATCTAACAATTAATTAATTAATAACCTTAATCTTTTTTTTTTCTCTTCTACCCTTATATCATCAACAAGGCATTTAATATTAGTTAAAAATATTTAATAAATTCTTGAAGGACTCTATAAGGATATTTTAGTCAATTACTAATTAATTTTTAAGAAAAAGATTATCTAATTAATTTTTTAATTCCGGCTTAAAATTTTAAAGATCAGTTGAAGTGGAAAGGGAAGTATTATGGAACAATACTTCTAATTCCGGCTTAAAATTAGTTTTTGGTGTGTCGTAGTAATATATAATTCCAAAGGTCCAAAAATTTACAAGGATTGAAACAGTGGCAAACTTAACAAATGATGAAGTAGGAAAGGGTAATTTGGTCAATGTGAGTCTGTCGGCGACTGCCCATGTAAAAACCGGAAATTTGCATGCTTCTAATTTGCATTTGCCGAACGATTTTACATATAGGACAGGATGGTTGTCTTACAACTAGGTCTGAAGTTTAAATTTTTAATATTCATTTAAATAAATAATAAATTTTTCTTTAATTAAATTAAATTTTCTAAATTTTTAATTTTTAATAATAAAACAATTATTTCGTTTATCAATAATTAATTTTCAGTGTTAAATTTTTTCACACCAAATATGATTTTAATTACGGAATGAGTTGCAAGGAGATGGAATATTTTTAATTCCCTTGATATCGAGAAAGGGTAGTCCTTTGACTTTATTCTTCTTAATGAGCTAAACACACCACAAGTCGCCACTTGTCAAAAGGTTCAAACTTCAGAAACTCACTTCACACACAACAAATGAATCCATAATATAATTAAAAAATTTTAATTTTTAATTATAAAAGCGCAAATGAAAGGGTAACTAACACTTTAATCATTGAATTTTAATTGGAATTACTCTCATTATTATTATTATTATTACTCAATTGTCCTTAACGTTTAGCGTTATAATACTATTTAGCTCATATATATAAAAAAAATTACATTTTTACTTTTAAGTTAGGATAATTAAATATAAAGGACTAATTAAATAGTCAAATATTATAATTATTTAAAGACAAAAAACTTTTTAGATATTTATTAATTATAAATCTTAACGATAAATCAATAATTTTACAAAATAAAATGGATTTGATAGTAATTTTGATGAAAACTAAAAAAATTACCCAAAAATAATACTAATTGAAGTCATCTTTGCTATTTATATGGATGTGGACCATTGGAGATTTCGAGGATTTATTTTCTTGCTTTTTTTTTTTTTTTTTTATTTTGATGAAAAACTAAAAAAAATTACCAAAAAAATAATACTAATTGAAAAGTCCATCTTGCTTAATTTAATATGATGTGGAAACCATTGGAGATTTCGAGGATTTTATTTTCTTGCTTTTTTTTTTTTTTTTTTTTTTACTTTTTTAATTTGGTTTGTTAAATATTTTGCTATAATAAATAATAGAAAAAGGCAACTGAGGTGGGGAAGCCATTAGCTGTTGATTAAATTATTGATTGCCACTTTGTTTTTGCTTGCAAAAGTCCAATTCCCTTTCCAGAAAATGTGTTTATAATATATATATATATATAATAGTTTTTTTTTTCTTATATATATTTTTTAATAATTTTAAAAAAAATAAAAAAAGGGAAAAAAAAAGAAAAGGAAAGGAAGAGTAGAAATTGTGAAAACGGAAACCCATAAGAGATCCGATGAATGAGCCTTGGTTGTGGCAAAAATTAGACAGAGCAAAACTATATAGTTTTTTTTCTTATAATATTTTATAATTTTAAAAAATAAAAAAAGGGACAAAAAAAGAAAAGGAAAGGAGAGTAGAAATTGTGAAACGGAAACCCATAGACCGATGATGAGCTTGTGTGCAAAATTAGACAGAGCAAAACAGTAAGTGGGGCCCAAAGATTTAAGCAACAACGCGTGGCAATTTTCCTTCATAAAAAATAAAAAATAAAAAATAAAAAAGGCAAAAAGAACACGGTTATGGCATTTACTGCCAAGTCCTAACAAGTTGGGTGTTTGGGGGTAGTAAGGAAAGAGAGAGAGTAGAAAGACTCCTAAGTCCTACCTCCTTCCCCTTACCCTTCCCCTATTATCTATCTATCTTTATCTGCTTTTTACACAGAAATCCATTGCAGTGGCGTAACGCATAATTATGTAACTATCAGATGGGTAAAACGGTAGTTTCCTTTTATTTTACACTCACACACATAGATCACTCAGTAGTACACATACAGACCACCAATCACCTCTCTGCGCAAGCCGCCTCATAACTCAGCTCTCAGTCTCAGACTCATCACCACTAGAGAGCTGAAAAAGGTGTGGCCTTTTGAGAAAATAGCTTCAACCCTTTAAAGATAGACTCAGGGAGCTAAATAAAGAAACAAACCTTATAGATACAGATAGATAGGGAACCCCCCAACTTAATGTGCACGCCAATATACAGAGAAGAAAGCAACAGTTTTAACTCTGCAAATGGCAACTTAGGGTTTTCGAAATTCGCATTCTTATCTTTGCTTCACTGAGTTCCATACTGCCATAGGTGAGTTTATTAACTGTCAATATATCCATAAACTCCCTTAAACACCGACATGTCTCCTAAAGCAATTTTTTTTTCTTTTTTTTTTTTTTTTGAAAAAAATAAAAGAATTCAAAGCAGCAAACAGCAAAATCAAAGCTTTTCTTTGCTCAATTATCTCTTCTGAAAGCTGACATATTTCCCTTTCAGCACTTTTAACTCTCTCTCTCCCCCTCTCTTTTAAAGACTAATTTTCCCTCTTTGTTTTGTTTTGTTTTTTCTGTTTTCAGATTCCATATCAGAGCTTCCCTTCTACACTCACCGGAGGGAAAAAATAAGAATAAAGAACTTTTCTAATTCAGTGCTGCAGATATGTTGGAGTACGAATGGGGAAACCCATCCACGATGATTCTCTCTGGAGACGAACCCACTCAAGACCCAGACCAGAATCGCCAGATTTTCGATCATTATACTGCCCAATCCTTCAACGATAATCTGGTTCCTCAACCCACCACAACCTTGTTTCACCAACCAACAACACATCAAGTCAATTCCCTTTATGACCCACGCGGCTACGCCGGTCCCTCCTCTTATACACCTTCCCATCACTCCCTTCTCTCCCTTGACCCCATCACTAACCCAGCTGCTGCCGGTCCGTCATATTTCCTTGTTCCAAAGACTGAAGAGGTTTCTCGACCGGCAGATTATACGGCGAGGATCGGGCTTAATTTGGGTGGTCGGACCTATTTCTCTTCCGCGGAGGATGATTTTGTGAACCGCCTCTATCGCCGGTCTAGACCTGTAGAACCAGGTTCGACAAGCGCACCCAGGTGTCAAGCCGAAGGGTGCAATGCCGATCTCACCCACGCCAAGCACTACCACAGACGCCATAAGGTGTGTGAGTTTCACTCGAAAGCGTCTACGGTCATCGCCGCCGGGTTGACTCAGCGATTCTGCCAGCAGTGTAGCAGGTTTCTTGAAATTACCTAAAACGCCCTCCCCATGCATTCCCATATTTACGTTTTCTTTTTGCAATTCCAATCAGTGGTCTACTATTTCATAGCTGAAGGCTCCCTCAGCAGATTGGTAGTGATAAACTGATTATGATTTTAGAGACAGGTGTTAGAATGGCGGAAATGCCCTCTTTACTTGAATGATTGCTTTTCAGTATAGAGGGTAATCCCGAGGGTATTTGCGTCCGTAAAATTCTCCTCTGGTTTCCATTCACGTAACTGGTCTTCTTCTTATGTTGGCATCACATTAATCATTTTATCTTAACCTTATGAAAATACAAAATCACCCATGCCATTTATTCATATTTTCACGCCGCATCAGATGCAACAAGAAAACAAATGCCAGTCATTTTCTGCCTCCATCTCCGGACATAGGTCGGAAACACCCCACCTGACCATAATGCCCCTTGAATTATGCTTTTGTTGCCAATCATTGGGTATGCCGTACATGGGGAAATCCCGAGGGTATTTGCGTCCGTATACTATATAAATAGTATATCTAAGCACTTAATGATCCTATTTAACTATCATTTCTTTTAACGTAATATGCTGTCTGTCCGGTTTTGCCTTGATCAGTTAGATAACCATTACCTGTCTGCATCTTTTGATTTAACAATTTTAATTAATATGTGAAAAAATTAAAATCGTGTCCCAGATTTCATCTTCTCTCAGAATTCGATAACGGGAAGCGTAGTTGCAGAAAGAGACTGGCTGATCATAATCGTCGCCGGAGAAAATCACACCAGATAAATCAAGAAACTCACAAGTCGTCGCAACAAGAAAGTGGCCGGAATTCATCATCTGAGAATCCAACAAGTGAGCTAGCCAGCTCTTCTGGAAAAGTTGCTGGTTAATGCAAAAATTAATGAAAATATAACGTATCCGAAATTGACTTGGTTTAATTTTGTTGGAATTTTACATATAGGGTCTCCGCCGGATTCCGGAGTTAATAATTCGTCGTCGGTGACAGTGGCAGTATCGCCGCCTCGAATGTTCTTGGATTGTTTCAAGCAAAGACCATATCAGGCAACTGCATCTTCTTCTTCTGCATCATCAAGCTCACTGTTTTTCTCAAGTGGGTAGTGCCACTGAAAATGGAGGAACTCATTTAGTAGTAACAATTGTCTTCTTCTTTTTATCAATTAATTTCAATGTTCATCTTTCAAGATTGGTGTTATTTCATAACATCAAATGAAATGTAGTATCAAGGATCAACTAATTAATATATAAAGCCTGGTGGAGGATACTATTTTAGTAGTACATGTCTTCTCTTTTTTATTAATTTATGTTCTTCTTTCCAAAGATTGGTGTTATTTCATAAACATCAATGAAATGTTAAGTATCAAGGATCAACTAATTAATATATAATATATATATATTATATATATATATATATATTATATTTTTTTTTTTTTTTCAATTTCTAGAAAAAGTAAGATATCCACATTTTGTACCTGTAGAGTATAATACATTGTATTTCTAGAAAAAGTAAATATCCACATTTTGTACTGTAGAGTATATACATTGTTCTATTAATATCACAAGGTATATATATATATATATATATGATATCTGCAATTCTGCAATAAAAAATATAATTGGAATAAATTAAATTGGAATTTTCCCATACAAGTGACTGTCCGGTTTCAGAAATGAGCGTAGTAGGCACGGGAGTGCAGGATTATTATCATATTTCTAGAAAAAGTAAATATCCACATTTTGTACTGTAGAGTATATACATTGTTCTATTAATATCACAAGGTATATATATATATATATATATGATATCTGCAATTCTGCAATAAAAAATATAATTGGAATAAATTAAATTGGAATTTTCCCATACAAGTGACTGTCCGGTTTCAGAAATGAGCGTAGTAGGCACGGGAGTGCAGGATTATTATCATTTAAAGCATAGCATTATTACCTTTTTGTCTGCTCCTAGAATTTCCCCTCTTAACCACCACCACCAGCATCGCCATGAAAATTATAAATTGAACGCAGTAAAAAATGAGCACGTAATACGAATTTTAATAAGGGAATGTTAGAGAGGACAAAAACCTGTCAAGTTGTCTCCTACATGGAAGCTGTACTAAGCAAAGCACAGTCAATTAGTCATTATCGACAAAATCAATCAACTAGCGTCTCGCATTGTCATTTACCATCCTTTTCTTTTTCCAGAACGGAGTTGCAGAGCCTGCATTATTTTTAGCTTTCTGCCAAGAAAATTGAAAATTTGAGCTTGAATTTCGGTATATTCTTCATCTTCAAACCTTCATGTGATATTTAAGATGTGTTATAACGAGAATGTTTAGTTCTTATAGTATATACAAAACCGTACTCAGCTCTTCCATTTAGGAATGAATATTCAACATCGATAACGTTAATTGCATTTATTGCAATCATTAAGAAATCATTAATCAACTCACAGCCTCAGTTAATTATTCCATCCAACTCCATAAATGTGATCTGTTCTTTCTCAAATTGAATCCTACGAGTGATGGTACCGGTTTTATTTAAATAAAGGCCATTGTGCGAACCTTATATCTTTCAATTTAGTGAGAATCTTGCACTTGTCATGAAACTGTTGTTTTTGGTTAATGGACTCTGAGTGAGGTCTAGACTTATAACCCTGCCTGCGTTCCATCTTAAGAACACTTCAATACCGCTAAACTAAAATTCTTAATTAAAATGTGATGCTTAATTTTTATATATAAATAATATTCTATATATATATATATATATATATATATATATATATATATATATATATATATATTTATTACTGTAAACGTATCTAAGAAAATAAAGCATTATATATATACTGTAACGTATTCGTAAGAAAATAAATACCAATGTACCTACGTATATTCGGAACCCTTTGTGCAACTTCCATGAAATTTAACCATGGGTCCTACGCCTCTTTCTAAGTTTTGTTCCTATGTTTATGTCTTTAGTAATTCATTTACATTTTTATGTCTGCTTGGATGCAGATTTTTTAAGAACCCTTTTTTTTATCTTTTAGGTTCTCCAAACAGATGCAAACAATTAAAAAAAAAAAAAAAAAAGATTTCAAAATCTCTACGTCACATTTAGCCACAGACAAGACACGAAGCTTTCCCTTCTTGTTACGTAACTGATTTAAAATGAAGCTTCTAATGCACAAATGGTGGAGGAATGTAAAATGAGAAAATCTTAATTAGTAAATACAATTTTATTTTATGTGATTAAATTATTGTCTTGAAAAATTCTACTTACTTGCCAAAAAATAAAAACGGAGTATCTGTCTTTTTTTTGTATTTTATGATTGAATTTTAAGAATACACAAATTGAGTAAGAAACTTCCAGCGAATGATGTTGGTTTTTACCACACAAAGTCTGGAGAAAGAAAGACCAGGAAATTTCCTACTCCATTCACCGCCTCTATCAAAGTGTTTGTTCTATTTCCTTACTTAGATGCTTTACTGTTAAGAAATTTCATAGGTTTAGGAGTAGGAGAAGCAGAAGAAGCATTTTCTTAAAATAAAAGGAAATTTTGGAGTGTGAATTCAAATGAATCTTACCTTTCTAAGGACTGTAAATTTGATATTACCTTAAAGTCGGCCAACAAAATCTAGTCTCCTGGATCATATCTCTCATATGTTTGGCGAAAGGTCCCTATCCAGTACCTTTCACCTCCAATTTCTGTCCCCTTTCCTTTGGGACCTTTGCCTTCACCGGGGAAATTATAGGGTCATGTCCCTTAATGTTTTAATTTGCTACGGAATGCAGTAGAACGGAGTTTCCAAAAGCAGGAACGGAGATAGAAATAGGAAGGTAAGGAAATGAATTGCCTGGTGGAACAAGTGCAGGGTTTGGGTTGGCTTCCCAATCACCAGTTCTATGGGTCCCCACACAAAATACGAATAATCTTCTCTTTTCATCTTTCATTAATATTGTGGGACCCTAAAAGTTGGTTCGTCATTAAACTCTGCTTCGTGGACCCCCTTCGTCTTTAAATGCAACTCCTAACTCTACTTCTGTCCACTGTTCCTACAGTCGATTGCTTTTTCCAATCCCTCCACGTGGATCTCCCTCCCTCCCCCCCCACTCTGATTTGCAGGAGCTTCACGTGAGCTGCACGTGGTAGGAGGATTTCATTTCTTCTTTTTTCAGCCTTCCACATTTTTTTTGTTTTCTTTCCCCCTTCCTTCGCCTTTGATTAGGTGGTTGTTGTGGGACTTTTCCGCAGCTGTACACAGGGTTAAGTATTTATTTGTTTTTTTTTTTAAACTACTATTTTTTTTCTATGGTCATGAGTTAAACGGTAGATCCATGAGTTATTTTTTCACATATTTTCAATTTAAACCGTTATATAAACAGCTGTTAGCTATTAATATTATCAAATAAACCCTTAGTCTTATATGTAAAGTAAAAATTGTCAAATAAACCCTTAGCCTTAGCATGTAAATTTTACTTCATTAAACTTCTTGTTAGTGCAAATTAACCTTTTTAGTACTTAAAAAAACGGTAATTCAAAAAGAGAGCCCCATTGAAGAGCTAGGTTCTGAAGTCTAAACTGCATGAAGGGTAAATTCGGTAAAGCATTCTGTTATTGAAGGTCAGTCAGTAAATTATTCTTACCTCTTTAAGATTTTTACAGCCTTTTGGGATGATCGATCGGATACTGTGATTAATTTAGGTTTTGCTAGACCCCATTTCAGTAATCTTAAATCAATAAAAGAAAAAGAAAGAGGTGATCGTACTCTAGTAAGCTACCACCTTCTAATCATTATATGAATAGACCACAGGGAACTTTTTTTTTTTTTTTTTCTTTTTGCTGTACATCAAAACTGTGTATTTCTTTCATTTTTTTTTTTTTTCAGGTTAAATTGAGCTTAGATGGGGGTGTAGCTACCTCCATCTTCCTCACCCAAAATAAAAAAAATTGGACCCCACTGTACGTTTTGTCATGTGAGGAAAAAATATCTAGATAAATAAACGAGGAGAAAAGGACCTAATCAGAGATCATCAGAAAAGGTTTTCTCATGATTAGATTAGATTTCTATAATCATTGATCAAGTTATAAATTATTGGAAAATTTAGGAAAGTCACAAACATATTAGCTCAAAATAATAATAATAATAATAATAATAATAATAAATTTATATTTGTTTAGCTGTAGCAAGAATTTGTCCTTGTAGGATGCTTCCAAATTAACATTAATAATAATAATAAATTTATATTTGTTTAGCTGTAGCAAGAATTTGTCCTTGTAGGATGCTTCCAAATTAACATGACGTGAAAAGAGAGAGAGAGAGAGAGAGAGGGAGGTAGCCTTCCTGAATAGAAAAAAAGGGAAAAAGAACTGTAACTGTTATTGACAAGACAAAGGATGAAATTGTGAATGGAGCCGTTTTTGTTTTCATTTTCCGTAGATAAAGGCATAATTCCTAAGCCTTGAGTACCAAATAACTTCGAAGCTAGAAAACAACTGGTCGTGTAACCATCATGGGTGCTTGTCCTGGAATCTCCTACCCTTTCCGGCAAAAAAAGGACACTTTCTCTTCTTTGGAGTAGCATGTGTGCACTTGGAATAAAAAACACTAGCCTAGATAGTTGAACCGGGTCAGGCCGAGCTTAGGTCCAAAATTACTGAATCAGTCTGGGCTGCTCAAACCCTGCTCGACCCATATCAGAATCAGTGGCTACTATTAATTACAATTAAACGACAGTAAATATACACAGTTGAATCAGATCATACTGATTAAACTCAAGTACAACTCGTGAAACAAATAAATGTTCTGAACTCAATACTACCAAACGCAAATTCAATCATGCTAATATATATCTATATTTTGAGTATAAAATTAATTTCTCCATTAAATGTGGGCTCCTGCCCAAGTATCCCATAACTCAGCGCATGATTCTTCTTCATCTTTAGTATTTTTAGCTCTCGTAGGCAAGAATCCGAATGCTGAACTTGGAGCTTGCATGAGGTCAAGGGTAAGTTGTGTGCCACTATCATGGAACCTTCCCCAATTTTGTGACTCCGCTAAGATTTGATGTTGGTGCGGAACGAAACAACTATTGGAGCTAGCTTGGGAGGACTGATGACGTCCACCTAAGTTTTCCATTCCATTATCATTATTGTTATTGTTATGGTGCCAGTGTCGATCAAGAACGAGCTGTCTAGCCAAGATTGCAGCACGGTTTTCTGCAATCAATTCACGTAATGCAGCACTGGATCTTGAAGATAGATCAGAGGAAGAAACCCAAGAATCTTCTTTCGATGACAGAAGAGAGAGAGCACGGCCTGTTGTTGATGCCAAGCAAGGGATTCTTCTCGCCATCAACTTCTCTGTTGAGGACCAAATCAACCTTTTCTTTACCATTTATTAAAAAAGAACAGAAAAAAAAAAAAAAAAAAAAAAAAAAAAAAAAAAAAAAAACTTCTTTGAGTTCTTATTCCATTTTTGTTTCTAAAAAAAAAAAAAAAAAAAAAAAAAAAAAAAAAAAAACTTCTTTTTGAGTTCTTATTCCATTTTTGTTCTAAAGAAAGAGAAAACAGGAAATATTGAATCACAGCGGGGTTTTAATTATAAACCTAAGTTTTACTTCCATCCCATGACAACAAATGTGCCTTGAACGGCAAGAGTACACATAATTATAACGAAATTTACTTTTTTTCTTATTATAATTCTTGATTTAAAAAAAATATATGTAGGAATACTATTAATAATATTTCTTAAATAGATTTTCATATATAAAAAACAGAATAACTACAATTTAATTTATATTAATTAACAAGAATTTAAAAAATATTTTTGATTAAAAGGTTTATTTATTTGATAGCCACATATTTGCTTATTTAGTAATATTTTTATTTTCTAAATAGTGACTAATTCAACCTATAATTGGATAATAAATGAAGCCAACAAATGTTTCATCTAAGTCCCAGCGCTTTTGCATGTGTAGTTTTCTTTTAATGAACGTCTTTAATCTCAATGAAGAAAAGAATGAGCTACAAGTTGATCTTGATTCATATTTCAATTAACTGAGTAGGACTTAAAATTAGAAGTTGAAGAACAAAAGCAATCCTCCCATTGATATATATATATATATATATAATGGAAATCTTAAAATTTAAGTTAATTTAGAAAGACTTTAAAATGCAAACAGGGGATTTAGATAAGCAAAATAATTTATCAATTGATAAAAAATAAAAGAAAAACCAAAGGAAGTTAAATTGAAGTAGAGTGGGAAATTAAAAAGAAATAAAAAAAGAAATTAAAGACATGATATATATACCTGGGCAAGAGTTCCTGGAAACAGAATCGTGAGCACTCTTTCTTCTTCTCTCATTGTGACCTGCCAATCTCCGCCTACAGCTCCTCTTTGATTCGTCGAACTCCGACACTACGTGAAATCTATATCTCATAAAACGACCCGGACAGATATCAGCCAATTTTGCTTTTTGTACTTTTGTTTTTTTTTTTCGAAAAAAGAAAAAAGAAACGGGTTTCCATGCGCGCCGTGAAAGCTTAAAATAAAAATAAATAAATAAATAAATAAAAAGAGGCGGGAGAATATTGACTTGCCTACTACACTGCTGACAAAAGCGCTGCTCCAACCCTAGAACGGTTACCTTGGGAGCCTTCGAGTGCATCTCACACACTTTATGTCTTCTATGATAATCCTTGGCGTTGACTAAAACCACGTGGCAACCCTCCACCTGACACTTCGGCACAGCTGCGGCAGCTACCACCTCCCCCGCCGCAGACGATAATGGTCTCACAGTACCGCCATCCACCACACTATAGTAGGACTTCTTTTTTTTCCCAATACACAAGCTAGCCACCTGCCGCTCCCCCACGGCGATATTATCCTCGAAATAGTGCCGTTTCCCAAGCTTCAAGCACATTAAATGCGGGTCCGGATGCAAGTTGGACCCTTCACCACCGTAAAGTGAGTGCTGCTGATAGTGATCCTCGTGGTGGTGGTAGTGGTGGAGGTACAGGTTCTCATTAGGTAACACAAGCGCGTGGGTTGAAGCGGCTTCTGGGTGCGTAGAGTTGGTACTTTCCCCAGGAGTGGTTGTCGTGGCAGCAGCAATGGCGGTGGTGCTACTATTACTGGTGTTAGTCCAGTCAAATCTTGAACTATTAGGCTCCCACATATCCCATAGAAGATTAGTATTACCATTTTGCTGGCCTCTGTTACGGTCGTTGTGAGCACAGTACACGTTACCGCCATTTTCCATCTCTGTCGTCTTTTTTTTTTTTTTCTTGAATAGACTCCTTACTCTTTCTATCAAGCAGTGTTTGGACCGTACCGCCACTCGCTCTGTGTGTCCGTATTACAGTTACGGTGAACAGGTAGGTTAATTGCTTTTTTGGTGCATGAGAGATTCCAGCAACAATGAAATTTACTGGCTGCTTGTTGTAAAAGAAGAAAGATATTTATAAGGGAGAGAGAGAGAGAGCAGTGTAGTTGTTGCACTGAAATAGGGCATGGAAGCTCAAGTATAAAAAACAGGAGAGAGAGAGAGAGAGAGAGAGAGAGAGAAGAGACAGCGAGCGACGAAGAGGGTTTTGGGGAGAGGGAAAGGTAGAACGTGTGAGGATTGGTTTACACGTGGGAAGATTGAGAGGGGCCTATCCAGGTGGATTGAAGTGATATTTGATTAGGAAGAATCCTTTCTGGCTTTATTAGTCTGCAAGAACTGCAATAATAATAAAAATACCAATAAGTGAGGTTGAACGATCGAGAGATAATGATGAGACCCGAGAAGATCAGATATCGTCTCTGTACATAGATGAGACTCTTCTCTCCCACCCCTATTTTTCTCCTTATGGAAAAGGAAATGTACAGAATAATATTACCGTACTAAATCCACACGCAGTTGGAAAAGTCGTGTACTACACTGTATTGTCTCAGGAAATTTCCATGCATTTTCCACGTAATCTACAACCTGCGGCCTCCAGGTTTTAATGTTACTATTGCATGAAATGCGCGTGTTATTCACACTCTTGAATGGACAGTGAAACCAAATATTCCTTATTTTTGTACAATATCTATGTAGAATCACTTGCCAGTCATGAGTTTGCACTCTCGTTCCTTGTGGGCATGTGATAAAATCCCTGCTCGTGTTATTATATATTGTGAGCCAAACAAACAGATAAAGAGAAAAAGAATTATATTCGTATATTATTGTTCTATGAAAATCTTGAAAGAACTCTACTTCGCTTCTTAGAAAATAATTTCTCTTTTTCTTTTTTAAATTCGTCCTTTTCAGATAAATACACCATTGTGGAATATGTTATTATTATTATACTTTTTTATTTATAATTTAATTTTATTTTTTAAATTTTTATACATATTTTACGCTCAGCTGAGAATGATATTTAGCTTAGGTAGTCGTATATTAGAAGTAAATAAATAATTTCGGGACAACATGAAAACTATTCTTTGCAATGTCTGTTTGGGGATGTGAGGGATCATGTCCATGCTTCATTAAATGCAACACAGGCTGTAAAGTTTTAGAGCAGTGCTGAATTAGAGTAGTCCATACACGTGTCATGGAGTGGGTTCCACCTAGAGATCTTTCTGCCAAGATTGCAAAGATTGACCAGATTGGCTTGATCGTGACCACACCTTCACTCCAAATTAGAGTATTCTTTAATACATTAAGAATTTATATATATATATATATACGAACAGAGATGCTATCGAAGTAGTAACACATAGAAAGGTTTGAACTTGTTACGTTTTCACTTTTCTTTTGATGGAAAAAGTTAAGACAGCCCGCAGAGTAGTGCCTGCAATTAGCAAAAAAGTCATTCTTCATTTTAATTACAACCTCTTTTGCTTGTAATGAAATGGTAAAAAAGCAAAAGCCAAAGTTCCGCTATCATATATGACCAATAAGGAAATAAAAAAGTACTCTTTTTTTCTATTTTTTAGGAATTTGATTTCATTTTTAAAATAAATTATATCGATTCATAAATTACATTTATATATAAAATAAATAATAACTATAAATATAGGTGTAAATTTTATTCTTCTAATTAATTAGTATTATATAATATAAAATTTGATATTTATTGAGAACATATTTTTGTATATTTATATTTTTTTTTTTGAATAAAAATTTAGGTCTTTTTGTTTTTTGAGCAATTTTTAATAATTAGAGATTTATATTTGAATTAAAAAAGGCTCGATTTATTTCAGGAATGGGAAATAATAACTTTTAAGCAGTTTTACCTGCTGTGGGTAAAAAAGCAAACAGGAGCTGCCTGACATTGATGGCCACTAGTCATTTGTCAATTTCAGAAACATACGTCATTCATATTTATTGTTTTTAAATAATTTTTGTTACAAAAATCTTTCATGCAATGAATAATTCTCATGGCTGCAGCAACTCAACAATTAACATTTCCAATTTAGAAAAAAAAAAATTTTACTTTTCCTGGAGATAAGAAAAATTAGTGAACTACAGAGCCCGACAGTCGGGTGTTTAAGTGATGGGGTGCAAGTATCCCTAGCTTAGTCACAAGGTTGATGCTATTAGTCCCCGGTTCAATTCTTGAAGTGCTAACATTTAATTCATTCTTCTTATAGTGGTTTATCTTATTTAAATACGGGATTGTAATGCTTTTAATGGACGTTTAAAGTAGCGTAAATGCTTTGGATATTGCAAAATATAAAAAATTCATTATATATAATATATGGAATGAAAAAAAAAAAAAAAAAAAAAGCAAAATATAAAAAATTCTTATATAAATATATGGAATTGAAAAAAAAAAAAAAAAAAAAAAAAAAATGGTATTCCAATGTAAGCTGGGACAATTTTTGAAAAGGATCAATGAAAAAAAAAAAAAAAAAAAAGAAATGGGGTATCCAATGTAGCTGGGACCAATTTTGAAAGGATCAAAGAAAGTTAGGCATCCATAATGAGCCACGTGTATGATGGAGAAGAAAGTAACTTTTTCATTGAAGGAAATTAACAATAATCACGGGGTGGTCTCTGATCTGTTCCCACAAAGCAGGGACATATATAGATGGAGGGATGGAAAACAAAGACTTGTATGAAGTGGGTGTTTGACACGTGTAACTCAACAAACTTGATTCGAGAATTCCATAGCCCGTACTTGAACTGGGTTGTGCAACTCACAGAGATGGCTAGTTTAGTTTGAGACCGCATTGTTCCTTTTAATGAAACAACAAAAAAGATTGCAATCGGGAAGAATGGATAAACATATATAAGAGGAGGGGACCATTGTTTTTATCTTTTTCTTTTTCTTGTTTGGACGATTTGAAAGGGGACCATTTACAACTCCAGTGTTAACCATTAGAGACATAAGATTACATTGTGACATTCTGATGAGTTGCAGATAAGAGTTCAAGAATTCTTCATATTTTAGCTCTACAAAAGAAAATCATACCGTTCGGCAAAATTAACTACAACGTTTAGTGATTCTAAACATTATAATAAAAACTACACTACCGAAACATAGAAAAAGGTATAGGTTCGATGAATCAAAAAGCTTTAAGAAAACATTAATGGAGGTAGGACGATTCATGAAGATAGAAAAAGAAATTGGAAAAGTAGATGGGAATATTCTGAATTTCCAACAGAAGCGATAGGGAGAAATGGGAATGGAGTGGGATTTTTTTACCCGGAGTGGTAAAGAAGGAGAAAGGGTCAAGATGTTACATCAATGCTGAGTCAGGATGGGTCCTCTTCTGTTTTATATTATTGCAGTGATAATATCTCTGAACTCATAAGCAAACTCGTGCCAGGTCTCTTCTTAACCTCCTATCGGACCTATCCTATCTCTCTCCTCTTCACACAGCTAACTGCCTAACTCTGACAGAGTCCTATAAAAAGTCAACTACAGAAATCCGATGGATAGATGCGAGTTTTACAATTTAACTACTCTTTTACAGCTTTTTGTGACACAAGTAATACTGTTTTTTTTTATGTTAATATTATAATATACTGTAATTTAATAAATTTAAAATTTAAATATAATTATTATTTGTAGATGAAAATTATTAAAGATATACTTTAACTTTTTCAAATAATTATACATAACGTTTCCCTAAAAACAATTAATTATCCAAGACAATTTATTAATATTAATTAAAAAAATTATAAAATTTATTGTAATATGCGTGATCAAAATTAAATAATTCTTGGTATTATACCTTTATTTAAATTCTAAAAATCTGTAAGCTTTAGGTTAAGCAATTTGAAATACAAATTAGTTTGCCTTTTAAAATATATTTACAGAAAAGAACAAATAAAATGAATTTTATATACTTGGGCTGTTTACGGCCCTTGCTTCGTTGGGTCAAAAATGACTTGGAGGCCCGGTTAGTTTGGAGATACAGTTTTGGCCCCAAAGCAATAACATCATTTTTTAAAAAAATAATATTACGTAATATTATTTAAAAAATATATAAAAAAAATTTAACTTCCACTGCCAAAAAAGCACCGATTTTTTGTTCATTATATTTTGGTTTCCGTTGACAGTTTAGTAGCGGCTGAGAGATAGAGTCATGTGCACGTTCAAAGCTTTTAGATTCAGTTTGGTGAGTTTGCAGATTGAGTCATTCACACGGCAGCGACTGAGATTGAGATATGAGATAGAGAAGAAAGAATGGCAACAACCGCAACAATCATGAACCCCAACAACCGCAACAGTCAGCTTATACTCTTGTTTAACGGATAACAAAATAAAGACTTCAACCATTTCATTTTTGTTATTTGTGCTCTAAGTTATAACTCACTCACAAGTCACAATCTCATAGGTTTTCGAATTTCATTTACAATGTGTACCTAAAATGCACATGCATGCTCTAATCTTTCTAAGGATGATTTTTTTTTTTTTTTTTTTCATGCATTGCTCAATCTTTCTAAAAGGATGATTTTTTTTTTTTTTTTTTTTTTAATCGTTGATGTTAGTCAATTTTTTTTTTTTTTTTTTTTAATCGTGATTTAGTCAAAAAGATATGATCATCCCAAGTCTTGGTTCGTAATTGCTTGGATTTCAATCATTAACTCATTATAATAAAAACCAGTTTCACCAAATTAATTAATTTGAAGCCCTAATCAGTAAAAATATAAAGTTATATATTATCAATTAATTATTATAATTTCATAATTAAGTTTTAAGAGGCTATAAAACATATACATATATACAAATTAGGGGGGCCACAAAAAAAAAGTTGTCCTAAACTTGCATTATTATTTCATTTATCTATCTATTATACAAAGTCCTATCCTAATCATATAAGCGTTACTTATTTTTCAATCATTTAATCAAAATCATAATATCATTAAAACCTTCCACGTAATGTACCCAATTTACCCTTTCTTTCTAATAAAACTCCCCCCTCCACCCACTTCAGTCTTCACTTGCAACACCGAAAATGCTTCAATATCTCGGTCCTTATTTCTTCACTTCCTTTATCATATTTCTCCTCCATAACCCGCCATGCATAGCCTCCAGACCGCCACCGCGATTTTTATTAACGCCGCCACTCGACACAACGGAGCATCACTACAAGAACTACACGTGGCATCATTTCAAGAGCTTTCTTAATGCCAGGAAGGGTAGTCACGTCAGCGGCATGTCCGAACTCAAAAGATACTTCCATCATTTCGGTTATCTCCCGTTACGAGATTTTCATAACATTACCGATATTTTCGATGCTCATTTGGAATCGGCGGTTTTTCGATATCAAGCTAAACTGGGTCTCCCAATTACTGGTAAGCTCGATGTACTTACTCTATCGCAAATGATGGCACCGAGATGCGGCGTACCCGATACAGTCCAGAAACTGCATTTTTCAAAAAATTACGTTTATTTCCCCGGAAAACCACGGTGGGCTCGCCACATACCGATGACTCTCACTTACGCGTTCTCGCCTGTGAACAGGATCAGTTACTTGAGCTTAGCGGATATTAAAGACGTGTTTAAACGCGCTTTCGGTCGATGGGAATCGGTCATTCCGGTAAGCTTCATAGAGACGAATGATTATGGTTTCGCGGATATTAAAATAGGATTTTACAGTGGCGATCATGGCGATGGAGAACCGTTTGATGGAGCTTTGGGAGTGCTGGCCCACTCATTTTCGCCAGAAAGCGGCAAGTTCCATCTAGACGCTTCTGAAACATGGACCGTTGATTTCGAAATGGAGAAATCAAAGGTGGCAGTAGATTTGGAATCGGTGGCAATACATGAGATAGGCCATCTGTTAGGGTTGGCCCACTCGTCAGTTAAAGAGGCGGTAATGTATCCCAGTTTAAAACCTAGGAAAAAGAAGGTGGAATTGAGTGTGGATGATGTACAGGGAGTTCAAGCTCTTTATGGATCTAACCCTAATTTCACACTTGGGTCTTTGTTAGAATCTGATATTTCTACAAATACAGCCCTTCATCTCACCATCAGATCTTCCTTGTGGGCCACCTTAATTACGGCTTTGACGTTGATCCTTTCTCTGTGCATGTAACTTCTTTTCCTTTTCTTTTTTTTTTTTTTTTATGCCACAATTCTTTTTTTTTTTTTTTTTTTTTTTTTTTTTTCATTGCCACAATTCTTTTTTTTGTTTTTTTGGCTATGATACATTATATGAATTGATCTGTATTTTTTTTTTTTTTTTTTTTGGCTATATACATATATGGAATTGATCTGTAATGTTAAATCATAACATTCATCTAAAAATAGAGAAAAAAAAAACATTTTCTTCAGAGATATTCTTAACTTCTACGCATTGTCGTTTCACTACCAATTTAATATATTGTCGTTTCTCTTTAATTAACTTCTACACGACAATCAATTAATTCCCTTTACGGAAGTGAAATTCTGTGTTTGGTAAAACGGACACATCTGTCATGCCCCTTACTGTGTTTGGTGGATTATTCTTGTTATTTGTTTTTGAATTGGAGAAAACAACCTTAACTTGAGATTCTGAACACACCAACTTCATAACTTTTTTCAAATTTAAGCAATCTATCAACTTTAACTTGTTTCTTATGTTTAGATTTAGATATGGATAATGAATAATTAAGTAGACTTTAATTAATTAATGATTATATTTTGTATGAAAGATTTTTGGATGGGACCGACAAGGAGACTTTAAACCATCTATCAATATGTATATTTTTTTATTTAATTAATTTTTCTTAAAATTTTAAATATGTAGTGCGCTTTAATTAAATTCATTTCGGGATAAAAAAAATCTTATATATTTAAGAGTCAATGTCAAAGTCAGCAGATAATTTAAACAAAGTCTTAGGCAGTCACTATCTTAGCGATACACTGATGCGATAAGAATGGGCGGCCCGGCCGGCATGAGTAGGAGGTCGGCTTCATGCACCTGGAAAAAGTGCAGAACACGACTTCAATTATCATTTCACCTTCAAATAATTTAATAATAATATTAATTGCTGCGCATTCCTCTCCTGTAATTTTCATGATCATACATATGCCAATGTCAGTGATTATCTTTTGATCTATCCACGAAAATAAATTTTAGTTTCTTAATATAATTTGGAAATTACAAGATGGTACATACTGTTCCTTAGATTTCGTGGAGAATCCCAATTAAAAACTAAAAATGAAAATATAAATCGAGTTGCACACGAGTGAAATAAAAGCAGCACATGTAGAAGGAGTGGTGTCCCAAGTTCCAACCTTATTCTGGGAACGGCAACATGGCAAAAAGGCTTCCTACTCAGGCTCTCTTCGGGAACTGCGAGCGAGCTGACCATAACTCACTTTCTCACTCTACCACGCCAACCATAATATCACCGCCCACACTGTTACTGTTACTGTTACTCTTGCCCTTTTTGCCATATCGGAGACTAAACTTAACATCGGTATAGTCATCCTTGTGCTTACCACATTCCTCATTTTAGTATTTGCTAATTAATTAATTAATTAATTATAATCAGTCATCAGTGGTAGTACTTTAGTTTACTGATGTTGTAAGTGAGATTGGCAGACTTTTCGTTTCTAAGATAATGGGCTGCGAAAATAAAATATATAAGAAAACATTTTTTTTTCTTTTTTACTCTGTTGCTTTTCCTTTTTCTTGTTCCTTTTACATTTAGGCTATTAAGAGTTGACATTTTCGATGCTAATGACATCCACGTGTAAGATTTTCTTTGATAACCCATAATAAAAATTTTATCAAATATATTTGTTTTTTTTATGGAATTAATTTTATTTCTGAAGTATTTTTATAAGTGTTTTTTTTTTTTATGAATTAAACATTTAATATGGCAAAAACCGCTTAGCACTTAAAATCACTTTTTATTATAGTTTAAATAAGATAACAATTTTAATTTTTAATTGTTCAAGATTGCTCATATTGCTCCCTAAATAGCTTTGATTTGCCTAATTAAGTAGGTCGAGTAAGGTTAGTAATAGATTAATAAGTAAATGTGACTAGTTAACCAATATTCATCGTGACAGAGATAATGCATGCCCCACCTCAATATTGGACTATGTTTCGTGATTTTCTTATGCAGACTTGGAAGAAAATTGATTTCCATTGGGTACGAGAGATTGTTTCATAATTATTATCAAAGAAACACTTGAGCAGATCAGATCTTATTAACACCTTTAATCTAATAATCCAACCGCATCCACTTTAATTTCCCTCCAACACAAACCAAGTAATGATCGTGCAGAATCTTTCTAGTTGATTTTATAACACAAACATTAAGAAAAAGTTTTGAATTAGAATAATTTTTTTTCTCTTTAATGAAAATTAATGTGCATTATTTAAAGACTTTCTGATTTGTCGATTAACATCTTTTCCTGTATGAATACGTCAAACGGTGAATTATGAAAATTACAGTTTCCTTTGACTCAAGTAACGTTTCCAAATCCGGCAGTGTCTGGAAACAAAATAAAGCAAGCAGTAGGTAAACTTTTATAGGTGATACTACCTCATGAACTTATAACTGTTAGACAAATGGATAACCAGAGGCAGCAGTTCACGTTAAAAACGCATTACTTATACGTAGCAAGCTAGTAGATAAATAAATAATTACTATATTATAGAAAAGAAAAGAAAACAAACAGACCCTTTGCAAGAATATGCATTAATCTTAATAATTTTCAGGTAAAGCTAACATATTTACTGTTTTTTGAAGTTTATGAAATGAGATTACTTTATCTTGGAGTTGTTTGCTTATTGAAAAGAGAAGGGCGTTAAACGAAGCAAGCATGTGACTCTGTGATGATAGTTTCGAAATAAAGGAAAGTGCAGTCAAATATCGGGTAATAATGCATAGGTTATTTATAGGTACTTCCCTTCATCTTCAAATAAGATTCATATGAAGATTATCAGACAATAAGTCAGGCTTTGTGTGTGTGAGAGAGCGAGAGAAAGTTGGTAGGGAAATAAAATGGGAAGTGAAAAAAGAATGATAAAATTGGTAAGATTGACTAAGGAAAGAAAAGAAAAGAGACTTTGGAAGATAAAGTTGATGGCTTCATTGTCATTTCAATATCCCCAATGAGAAGGGAACTTTGTTGGTTTGTCATAAATGGCCAGAACAAATACAGTGGAAGCGACCTAATCAGTTTCTGTACTTGGAAGATATTTCATACATCTATACGGGTAGACACAGTACAAAACATGTAAGAAAAAATATCAAGAGCCGATGAAATCTCGATCCAAAAAACCAAAAAAAAAAATAATAATAATAATAATAATAAATGAATGGTCTAGAATTGAACCCAAAGAACCCCACTTCATGACTTCAACACTAGTCTTCTCCAATAAGGTCCTTTTGTTTGATCTGTATAAACAGTATTATTATTAGTATTACTGCTTACCCTCTGTAGTTTCTTCCGCCAACAATGACGGGGAGGAGAGGGGTGGCCTAGCAATTAAAGGCCTTCAATGAATCTGTAAAAGTTTTTGCAGGTTTTGGTACTACGAGTTCTATTCTATGCATTCAATTCTTCTTAAGAGACTCAACAAAGCAAATGAGGAGAGGTGCAACTCCTCCCAAGGATTCTGCTGTCACTGTGTCGCTGTCACAGACAAACCCTACGCCCAAACCTAGCCAATATTTTTCACAGCACCACCACCATCTTTTTTTTCCTTTTTTTTTTTTTTAATTTCTTCGTACTTATCCAACACTATTTTTCAAATATGTAATTCCCGACCGAATTAGATTCTTTTAATGAGTACTAAGCCAATTTTGTAGCATATAACATATATTTTATGGGTAGCTCCTAATATTTTTTCTTGCACGAAACCTGTAATATCTAACAAAATCCTCACTTGAAAACTAGTATATATATTATTATTATATAAGATAGTACGAAATTAAAGAAATTCTGGAAAAAGGGAGGAGCTTGAGAACTTGTGCCACCGATCGATCATATTTTAAAAAGGAAAAGAAGTCATATTATTTTATTAACTTCTTGGCCATCACAAACGATAACTAAAACTCATCCAGAACTGAAAATTTAAGAAAAACACTCACGAACACAGTTTTTATATTACTTAGTATTATAATTAACTTCTACTATGAAAAACTTCCCCTTCTAACACATGACATCCTTGAGAAGCTTGTACCTGCGAGTAGCCGTTCTTGGAGAAGGAACTCCGCTTGGGCTTTTTCCCTTTTCTGCGGCGCCCTCTTCGCGATCATGTTGCTTGATTTTGTCGCCCGAGTATTCCGATCGGTTAGTTACTCCTCCACTATCATGTCCAGCCACGGATTTCTTTGAAGAGTTTCCATGTCTTGCATTTCTTTCCTCGCTCTGGCACCAATCGCAGAGTCCAATTGGCTCCGATAATTCACTGTAGTAGTTGCTGCAATACCTAAATATCGATTTATGCAAAAGATTTTATATTATGTTTATAAATAAAAAAGAAAGATAAATATGGTGGCGGTGGTGGTGGTGGCGGTGGTTGATATGATGCTTGTAGTTGTCGGTGCGGAAAAATCTAACCATGATGAGAAAGAGATGAATACAGCTATGGGTGCCTATCAAATAGGACAACGATAACGATTCACAGAATCATATAAAAATATATTTGTGATTATGATGATGGTGGTGGTGGTGAAAGGAGGAGGAGGAGGAGGAGGAGGAGGAGGAGGAGAAAAGCTTACGAGTGCTGAAAACGATGACGGCATTTGCTGCAACGGAAGAGCTTGTCAGGGAAACCGACGTCGCCGCACATGCAACATACAGTTTGAAGATCCACCATTGATGGGAGGAAAGAAGTTTTTCAATTTCCTTGAACAGGCAGAATAGGTGTTTAGATATAGATAAAGTGAGTAGTGAGAAAGAAACTGATCAAACCAAGAAGAGATAGAACACTACAGGAGCGACAATTCTGTGTTTGCGCTGTGTATATATATAAAGAAATGGCAATGGTTATCGGGTCAGTGTATAAATCCCACAGAAAATAATATATACATATGAAAATATATGCACACAGGTAGACCACAGGTTGCTTGCAGTCGTTTTCAGTTACAAAGGAGAGAGTTGTGAACCTTAAAATTTTTAGAAGGAAAAATGACAGTTGTGTCCCAGGCTGAGCTTGCTTTATTTGGTTTCCTACCTATTTCTTTTCCTGTTTTGTCTTGTTCTGGTTTTTTGGCTCTGCCACGTACATTTGGCAGTTATAGTTGGTTCTTTCACGCTTCTCGAAGGAGCGTCACATCCACTTATGTATTACAACAACGAAACGTTTTTTTTTTCCTCTTTATTTGCATACGAGATTGAGGGCAGATTAATATTATTGACATTGTCAAATTAATTTTTAATGTGGATATATTTTATTTATACTCCATTAATTAAGTAATTAAGAATTACATTTAAAACTTAATTTCTCAATACAATTTGAAAAAAAAAAGAAAGAAAATTAATGAGGAGCAAACAATTTTCTATTACTGTTATTTTTATTCTTGTTTTTGGATGATAACGAAAGAAAGAAAATAAATTTAATTATTTTATTTGAAGAAAATAAAATTTTAAAGTAAAAAAATATTATTATCGAAAATTATTAATTATGTTATCATTTATTTTTAAATAATAAAATATGATTCTAAATTTTAATGCATTTAAATGAAATATCACGAGTCAAGATTACACGCGTAATTGCAGAGAGTGGGTTTGGTTTCCTTGGAACAAGTTAAGTGGTAAAAGCGGAGTAAAAAACGCCAAAATTGGTCAACTTGGTAATTGTTGGTGTCTATAACAAGGAAGGGATATGGTTGTCATAAAATTGTTTCCAATGCGAAATTTAGGAATTTCACTAATTAAAGACTACAGTAACGCGTAGCTACTTGCCTTTAATCCAAGTCTGCAACGCTATAATCAAAAGTGGAAAGCAGCCCCGCGGAGAAAAAAGATACCATGCTTCGCACCTGTAACTATGTGCTTTGAATCAGCACGCACGTGTATTTTTTTTTTTTTTTTTGAATTCAGGCACGCCGTGTATTTTTTTTTTTTTTTGAAGTCAAACATGTGTATTTTTTTTTTTTTTTTGAAAGTCACGTGTGTGAGTATTAGCTCCCATTATTTTTAAGATTTTGCTGCAAACTTTTAATATAAATATGAAAATGAATATTTTATTTCACCATCATTAAGTTTTTTATATTATTTTTATTAACACTAAGAGTTTGTACAACAATATGTTTATTTCACCATTTTTTTTTTATTTAAAAAGTAGTTTCTTACAAAGAAAATTAATTTTTTGGAAACAAATTAGAAATCTAAAAAGAAAAAGGGAGACAAGAAATAGGAGTTAGGACAAAGAGGAATGGTGCGATAAATAAGATTGTACAAGATAAAGTTGATAAGCATCACGTGGGGTAAAGACACTTTCTATCTGCTTTTTGTTTAAGAATTCACATAAGGGATCTGTCATCAGTTGGCCTCCAATTGCTCAACTTACTATACATCTTTTTCTATTCCTTAATTTAATTTAAAAAATAGTAATTTATAATTATATAATTCTTTAAGTTAATTAAAATAATTAATTATTTTAAACTCAAAAGAAAGGCTTTTAGAACCAGCTTTAGTGGAACCCATGAAATAGAAATAATGTTGTTTATGCCCAATTTGCATAAGTGGCAGGATTAAATTAATAGATACTTCGAGAAAAAGATTACAGTCAACCCTATATATTAGTTTAATATTTTGATTTAAATATATATATATATATATTTTTTTTTTAGCCGTCTATATCGTATAATAGGACCAAATCCTATATTTTAAATGTCGGATTTCATCGCATCACTTCAACATGTTCCAAAATCTCCGTCGTCTCTTTTGGCATTCAAGGCCATTACCTTTCTCTCCTTAGCTTTTATTATTATTATTATTATTATTATTTTAAAGCAAACTCTTTTTTCTTTATAAAAGGAGACTAAGGTATTAAATTGGACCACCAGCTGACGGGGAAGGAAATTGATAGTGTTTTAAATATATATATTGGAAAAATTCATTTTTCGAAATTTCAAGATTTTGAGAATCTCAAATAAGGTAAATATAATATTAAAGTTTGGATTCTTTTGTTTGTCAAATAAAATCCGATATTGACATCAGAATGTTGAACAAACAATAGGTATTCATAGAATCAAAATTTAGTATCACATGGTTATAAAATAATTAAAATTGTTGATATGCGAAATTACAGAAAAAATAAGTAGTAAATAGACAGTAATTCAATTTTAACTAAATAAAAATCTAATAAATTGTAATTACTTTATAATTTATAGATTAAGCCAAATAACTAACCGAAATATATAACAAAAATTTTTCTATATAAATATACATACAAATAAATAAGCTTACAGATTGAAGAAGTTCCTAAAATCTTTCTAATTGATAAAGATTATATAATAAATATAAGAAAATTTATAAAATTATTTCTAAATAAAAAACAAAAATTGAATGTAAACAACCACCAAAATTTTGCCCTCAAGCATTGAATATTCCAGTAGGTTAGTTTGTATCAAATTAGCATTTTAAACGTGCGATTGACTCACAATTAGCTTCTTCTACACAAAATAACGTTAAACGCTGTATACGGCGTAACTTTTGCGGCTTCTGCTACAGCCCCAGGTAGGTGTCTAGGTCTCTAGCTACGTTTTGTCCGTGCAAATTAACATCCAAGTCTAAAATTTGTCTTGAAGACCATAAGTGATATATCTTTTTTTTTTTTTTTTTTTTTTTTTTTTTCCTCCACTCTCTCTACCTGTAACTAATTTTTTTTTTTTTTTTTTTTTTTCCTCTCACTCTCTCTACCTAACTAATTACAAATTCTCATTCTTCTATTAATAAGTATCATATTTTTTTATTATTTAAGCTTAATTATATGTTTGATCACAAAATTATCAATCTAATTGCTAAACTAATAGAGTAATTTTAACAAGATTCAACCTAAAAAAACTCAAATCTTTTATTTAAAGGATTGAGTGTTCGATCTGTATGAATAAAGAAAATTATCACTGGACCGTTTTTTTTTATTATTTTACATTGCGAGGATGATATGTGAGTGAGAGGGTGACATTGATGTCAGCAATTGTGATGGGCCTAGGTGGGTTTGGCAAAGCTACCAATCTGCCTTTTTGAGGGGATTAGGCCAAGAGATTCAATATTGTTATTATCGCCTAAACTAACATTATTAACTAACTCAGCTATGATTATTTTTTCTTATTTTGATTTCAACAAAACAGATAGATGTAACCCTAGCCTAGCTTCTAAGGATCTCTTTTATTATTATTATAATAATATCTGTACTGTACTTTTTTTTAATAAAAAAATTATAGTTATCCAACAATTTGAAATATTATATGATTAAAATTGTTGTTATAAGGCAGTGAACTAATTTTACTTGTTCGTTGATCAGCTCGTCTTCTTGTTCGCGACAACGACCAAATAACCTAAAACAGTTAATTCATTAATGGAAACTGACATTTTTATTATCGAGTTATCTCTTACATGATAATAGTCGTGTTTTGCGTTCGTGTGTTTATTATTTAGTTTGGGATTTTTCTTTTGAAGATAATTTAGTTTATATGAATAATAATTTTATATAGCATTGTCTGAAATTCATTTATAAATCATATTTAAGTGAAATTGTTAGAAATATTAACTTATTTTAATCTTTTGGAAATTTTTAGATTAAATTATTTTAATCTACAAACTTATTTTAGTTAAATGCAAATTTTAACTAATCCATCAATTAATTCTTAAAATTTATGCTCTAAAAAATAGGAAGAGAGAGAGAAAAAGATAACGGAGAGACGTATGGGGGGTAAGGACCTGAAAAAAAAGCTGAAAATCATGGTACTAGTACGTACTAAGATAAGATCATGCTTTTCTCATTTTAAACAAAAATCACATTTTTCATCACACGAGTTTTCTATGTATATAGTTTTAAAGTATGCACGGCAGAAATATTAGTTGTTGAAAATAAATCTATCGTTTTTCCTTTAAAAAAATAATAAGTAAATACTTCTATAAAAATCATAAAGTTGAAAATTGTGTCTAACGATTCAAAGTAATCATTTTCTAAGATGAATGCTTTAATCCTTATCGAGAATGACCATTGAAACATCAATCGTGAAAATATTTATTTGAAATAACTTATGAATCAAATAAACGAAATAATAATAAAAGTGAAATAATTGTTAAGCAACCACGACGGCGTGGGGCTCCATTTCGATAGGTACGAAAATTTTTAGTGCTCTTTAGAGAAGATAGGTGATTAAGGTAACAGATTTATGATTGGGAGAGGTTGCTTTGCTTTTTATTATGGTTTCTAATCAAACAATTGGCCACCAAAAAGGCCAAAAGTTGATTTAATCCAACCCCTAATTACAGTCAAATGAGTTAGATTTAACCTCTTCAAGTGGGTGAGACTTCCATTTATTAGTTAATTACTATCTGTTATGTCCTTTTAATACAACTTGTCCAACTCCAAGCATACATAAACCCAAACAACTATAGTCTTAATGCTGGGATTAGCAAGTTAATTAGGTTACAGACAAGAAATAATTAAGTAGCTAGCAAAGTCAATAGGACAAGGGAAGTCTTGTGCACGTCAACCACACGCAATTGTATCCCTAAAGGAAAACACATGCCTCTCCAACTCCTTTTTACATGATTATTATTGGGACCACCAAAGATCTGGCACCAGAATTCCGTAAATAGGTTACTCTACAGTCTGATCTACTCACTTTTAATTTATCTCTGTTTCTTAAAAAATCAATCCTTCACCGTCCACGTGCCGTTCATACTCATCGCACGATTTCTACCTTGTGAGTTATGTCGTATCAAGGGAAAAGCTGTGACTTCAAACACTAAACTTGATGTCAATTGTAACTTGTCTGACACGGTCCAATATTTTAGATCCGCAAAAACCAAATCATGATGTGAATTCTATGGAGTTACATGTCAAACCGAATGACTTTTCAAATCAATTTATAATTCAAATTGGAAATGGTAAAAGTCTATGGACAGATAAAGAAATACGTTCACAGCTTTCAGTAATAAGAATAGTTACAAGACATCTCATATTTCTTATTTTCAGATACTAATCGCAATAGATGTTAATTGTAAATATTATTTTTCATATTAATTAAAAATAAGAAGGTGGTATTTAAACTTTATGGCAAAGAAATAATAAAAAATATGTTTAAATAAGGTTAATTTATTTTGACATTTTACCTTGGAAGATGAAATGGCAGCCATCCGGAGGGAGAATGTAGGGATGCATAGTGGCATTAATGAAGCCCTAAAGTCATGCAATATAATGACATATAAGCGAAGTTTCTCAAAAGTTCATTGACAATTTTGGGTCATGACGACGCAGCCACGTCAGCTTCACGGCCCAACCCAATTGACCTCATCAACCGTCATATTTTAATAAGGATTCACGCATGCCTTCCTCCAAAAATAAATAAAATAATAATAAAAGGATTCACATCATACACTAAATAGTCTCTCCATATAATTTTAATCCTCGAATTAAATCAATAAAACACTTTAAATGCTATGGGACAAATTTTGACTGTTTATTATGTGTAAAACAAAATTGTGAATATGGTCAGTCAATGACAGCAAATAATTATCGTTAATTTTTAATTTAATAATGTTAAATTGTTTTCTAAAACTGAAAAACTGTAAGTTTGACTTTAAACTAAATTTTAATTAATGAAGAAATGCACACAATATTGAATGAAAAGACTAGGAGATGCCAGACTTTGTTTGGATACAGAAAAAGTAAAAGGGGGAAAAGAAAATAACGAAGGAAAAAAATGAACGACGTCTCCATTTTCCTTCTTCCCTCTCTTATCTAAACAAAAGAAAAGGGGGGGAGAAATAAAGTTGCTTATTTTTTCTGTCTATTTGCTTTCTTTTACTCTAATTATCCAAACAAGGGGGGAAGAGATTTTCAGGTTAATCTTCTTGTCTGCCTAGAATATGGAACAAGAAATGCCTATATTAAAAAAAAAAAAAAAAAAAAAAAAAAAAAAAAAAAAAAAAAAAAAAAAAAAAAAAAGAAAAAAAAAAAAAAAAAAAAAAAAAAGAAAAGGAGGATGGATGGTGTCTGAATCAGAGCTCGCCGACATAACGTAACTTGACAGCAAACACAAAAATAATTGTAGGTGGATCTGTGTCACTGTCAAAAATATTACAACATCATGCCACCCATTTGGTTTTTGGGCCCAACAAATGTGAGGCTAAGAAACAACGTAGCCCCACACAAAATCCTAAACACACAAAACTAAGGCCCACTCTTTTGGACTTTTCTCCTTCTATTTTCCAATTTTCTTAACTTTTCGCCCAATGCCCCTGACTTTTTGTCCCGGCAATTTTGAGGTTGTATTCCGTACTGGAATCCCCAGGTAGTGCTGTGCTGTGCTGTGCTGGTGGGAAGGAAATTGTACAAACAAACATACAAATCAAAAGTTGTATTGATTGGTGCGGTCCCGCATCCTACGATCATGCAGCTACTGGGCCAGGTCTACGCATTACATGTGGATCGCAAATCGCTAGTGGGGGCTCACTGGATTTCCCTCAGTCAAGACATGGGGTCTGACCCGGATTCTTCATACGGTTCACCTAAGATTTTCTGCTGCAAGTCTTTTGGGTGTGTTGGTTCACAACTCACTGTCACTAGGTTGTCCTTTGTCCTTGGTGCTGAAAGCAATCCAACCAAATATATCGGTTCGGTTCAATTTAGTTTAACCGAAGAAACAAATAAATTGTACTGTGATGAAACTGAAAGAATATATATCGAATGTGTTTTTTGTTGGCTCAAGGGTCAATTTTATCTTGAGATTTTGATGATTATACAAAACAAATAAATTTAATATTCTTGTATGTGCTAATATTGTATGTGCTACATATTATTTATGCAAGAAGAAATTATTTGTTGAAAATTATTGAAGAAATGAAGTTCCTACCATCCCAAGATTTCTTATTTGAAGACCCATTGAAGGATTAATGAAGATATTCTATTAGTAATATTATTAATAAGTCTTAGGAAAATTATTGTAGGGATAAGGGAGGAAATGATATTATAAGCACAAAATCTATTTTACATTTCTTCTTCAAAAATTGTTCTTTGAAATGTTTTTGAAAATAAAAATTTATTAAGAATTTATAGCCAAACTCTTTACTCCCTTTTCACGTTTTTTCCATCTACAAATATCTCTGTAGTAAATATTCTTGGTAGCTATTAAATGAAATTCTGCGCAAAAAGTATTTTCTGATCTTAAAAGAGTTTCATGATTGTAATTACAACGCTGTCTATTTCTAATTACAAGGGCTGGCTGTTTTCTGTATAAATGTTACACTTGTTCTAAAACATGAACCTTCACCTGTCAACCTTGCATGTGTGATATTAAATGTGGTCAATACAGCCCTTTTAATTGCAACCCATGCATTGCCTCGTTAGTTAAAAAAACATCAGAAACTTATGCCTCATTAAAGCAAAATTCTCAACGTGTAACCTTTCAAAAAGAGAATATCATCTTTCATATAAAAAAACCATTTCCTCTTCTTAAAAAAGAATGGGTTTTGCCAAAAAAGAGTATGAGTCCTATTGTTTAAAGTTTAAATCTCTTCAAGCTCTTCTTTCAATCCCCTATTTCATTTTCGTTCTCTTTTGCTTCAAGAAAAATTCTTTAAAAAATTTTTAAGAGAAAAGAAAATTTATTAACAACATTTTCTGAAGAACAGTTCTGATATTTAAATCTGTTTTCTAAATTCGTTTTCTGTTCTTCTGTGCTTATATTTGCATTTCTCTCTGTCTATATAGATTTTGTAATCTGTTGTAAACAGACTCTTTATTTGAAAAACTTTTGTGTAATAGCTTAGGTGAAAAGCTATGGTGTTATAGGTTATCAAACGACCTTCTCCTTGTGTGAGATTCTAATGTCTTGATTTGAGTTTCTGATCTCTGCAAAATCAGAAAGGGTTGAGGTTAACTAAAGGGGTTGAGGTTAACTAGAACCTTTGGAAAATCTAGTGGGATAAAGGTTAGATCTAGGTGTTGATCTATTTCCTTGTATTGTTGGTTTGTCTCTTACTTACCCTTGAAAAGAGATAACATAGTGGAGGATCTCAAGATGCGTCTTGGGGAGTGGATCTAGGCGAGTTAGTGCGGAACCACTATAAATCTCTGTGTTTTTCTTCTTTTACTTTCTGAAGTTCTGCTTGATTATATTCTATTTACGCAACTATTAATCTGTTTAGAAATGCGATGTTGTTAATGAGTTTCTGATTTTAATCGTGAATAAGCTTTATCTATGTGGAACATTAGAACTCTGGATTTCTAATAAGTGGAAATAATCATGTTCTAACTGTTGTTCTATTTCACAGTATATTTCACTTTGATTAGGGTTTCTAATTAATTTCTAAACTTTATGAGGAAGTCTGAATCACGATAGCTTCCATTCATAAAGTTGTTCTGATATTTGATTAAGGCTCTGTGAAGGAAGGTTCCAAATTCAAATAATGGTGTCTTTCACCATAGCTTTATTATATTTCTAAACTTATGAGAGTTCTAATTTCAAATAGGCTTTCTTCATAAAGAAGTCTAATATTGGGATAAGTCGAAGTGTAAAGCTGTTCTAATCAATAGCTTGCACTTTCTGCACAGACTTTCTTCTTTTATAAATAGAACATTGTGAGGTGATTAATCCATTTCTATTCTTCACAAAGTCTATTGTTTTCCGCTGCACTTAGAATTCTATATTTTGTTTAGGAATTTATATTTTGTTTAGAATTTCTAAAATTTATATCTGTTTTTAGAAAACCCAATTCACCCCCTTCTTGGGTTGTGCCATACATATACGGGACCCACATTTTTTTTCCATCAAGAAATGGAAATACAAATACAAATATATGTTATCTTTCATTAGAAATTCTCAATTTTATCATCTTCATGATATAAAATTCCCAAAGTTGTCGGGCTTAGGATTTACATTAACCATGTGAGAAAAAGTCACAAATTAAGTGAATGGAGGAGGGTGATATATATATACATAAGTTGAATATTTGCTGCAAATATATGAACAAGAAATCGCCAGAAAGGATTATAACAATGGAAAAGAAGGGAAAAAAATTACTCTGACCAATTATCAGAAGAATGTGCAACAACTAAATAATCTCCACGGATATCCTTGGCAACTCTCAAATCACCATCTAGGTAAACAGATTGGAACCTGAAAATTGGGCACTTCAAAATATTAGGGTATCAGACATTCATAATGAAAGGGAAAAACAGAAATATGCAACAAAGTACAACAACAGTCTGCACATGAAGATCTGCTGTGAGGTCCAGATAAAGAAAGAGAGAGCCAGAGAATGCCCAGAGAACATTATTCTGTTCTATGGCATTGGACAAGTAAAAAGAATATTTCCTAATACCATGTTTATCCGATATTCATTTTTGAGATTGATAAATCAATATATAAAGGACGTTAAATAACACCTACAATAAGCGGTATGAAAGAATATTATAAGCAAAAATCAAGTACCTCGGTCTTGTTAGTCAGAAATTAGGTTCAGCAATGGAAACAAAGAAAGGATTAAGTACATGTTTAATCTCCCTTAATTCAAAGCGTCAATAATGAGATATTTTTAAATCATCCAAGTGAAGGATGCAAGACTTCTGGTGTCTCTCTAATTTGCAATGGAAGTCAACAAACTACTAAGCAAAACTCAAGTCCCTTAGTCGAATAGGAACATAAAGATTTAAGAAGCTTTTCTTGTGAATTCCATCGCATGATCCATTGTCTGCTTCAGTCTGAATGGACTAATCAAGATAACAAGGGAAAAGGCGAAAAAGCATACCATCGTGTGTAATGTCTTTGAATATGAACCTTCATTATCTTAGCTAAGATTCTATTAAACTTCTATGAAGTTCATAAGCAAGCAAACATTTACCAGAACAATAATTGAGAAACAAACATTCTAAGCCACAACCGGAAACTGCCAATAGCAATTGAAATGTATTCTACTCTAACACCACTTTTAAGAGAAATTGAAAGCACTGAAGAGAGGGAGGTCAACAGAATCAAGTTGAAACCACATGCATGATTAAACCGATGACTTGGAGTGCATTAGGAAGTCCATGGGGACTGGCCAAAAGGGAAGTAAACTTATCCTTTATTACAAATCTAAAGTCATTACACATCATAGAGAAGAACATGCAGGAGATATCACTTACATGGAAACATCTTTTTTTCCATCTGTACAGGTTTGACGGTGAGATGGGCAAGCTTTTGGTCGCTTCGAGTCAGAGAGCAGTAGAGGAAAAAGTACAAAGTCATGCACAGCTTAGTTACTAACATATATCTACTCCTTGATTGACCAACATACAGCACCAAAATTATAGAACCAGTAAACAAAAGGGTGTCATATTCCACAAGACTTCACAAAGCCACATATTATGAAACAGGGTTGGCGCCGAGTTGTTGAAATGAATACGTAATCAAACTGATGCAGTTGGGTTTGGGCTAGATTGTCATCCAGGAACTAAAAAAAGTATCCCCATAGTCCAGTTTGAGTTTATTAATCGGATTTATTACAAGTGAACTCACAAAGCCTTCCAATCATGATGACAGTGCAGTGAAGCACATTCATTCTTTCCACGCATATGGCGCACGGTCCACAATTAAATAATCTCCTCTAATATCCATCACTACTCAGAATATCGACATCAAGCTATACAGACTCGAACCTATAAAGTGTAGAAAACATAAAAATGCTTCACTAGACAACCGTATGGAAACAGAACAGAAGCAAATAATTCAAGTCAACTAATAAGCACAGTTTTGAAAAATAACTAAATAAGCTTCCAAAACGAAAATTACATCAAATGTTGCTATGCAAGTGTATTAGATTTCATTAAAACTCCTTTGCTACAATCATCATAAGAAAAAGGCTCAGCTTTAATTGCAAAGATAGAGTCTTGGTTGGGCGGCGGGAGAGAATCCATTTCTTTGAATTTATATAACATGAGAAAAGCTCAGCTGTTCAAGAGCAGTGAAGCACAAATTTCATCATTTCATGTAATAGTGACTTCGTTGCTTTTAATTGTAAACTACCACGTAATTGATCGCCACACGCACATATATGAAAATTACAAAGTAGAGGCACCTACCAACCCTGTCCAAATGGCGGCAAAGGAATTTCCCAATTTTTCCCTCTAAGAACCGCACTCGTAAATCTGAAGAAGCAGGCATTTGCCACAAAAAAGAATTATACATACCACCAAAATTGAGGATTAAGCAATCAAGAATTTGAAATGTACAAACCAAGTACCTAAAATTCACTCTCTGAGACGAAGCAATCTCAATATTTGACCGGACAAAGAAAACCCCATCAGGTGGGAAAGTGATCACGTTATTTAGAGTCTTTTTCTCAACATCTATCACCTGCAAAACGTCACCAGCTTGGGTACCAAACAACGGCGCCTTCTCTATAATAAAGAGCTGCTCTTTCTCCGTGGTCCAGAGCAACCGCCAGGTGGCGGATAGTGAATTACCAGTAGTGACCGTACCTTTGCCCGTTTCAGCAATGGCGTCGATGGCTTGGATAATTGTGGCTCGCTTTTCAGGGTCTTTCTGGGTTTTAAGGCCTCGGTCTTGATCGGAGATAAGGGTGAGAAGATGTCGCTTAGCTGATTGAGATTGGGTCGTGGCTGACGAACAGCTAATTTTAAGTGTCTTAAAGCAGATGTATTTTGGAGAGTTCTGTGGTTTCAAGGGAACTGATAAGGGAGAGGACGCAGAGGCCATGGGCATTGGCATGGGAATGGGAAAAGGAACGGGATAATAAAATGGCGGCTGACACTTGTCAGCCAATAGCTTTTCTTTTTAGTGTTTTTTTCTTTTCTAACAAGCTTTCAAAAAGCAGAATGCCGCTTATTTTTGGGCAGTATTGGCCGAGGTAATGTACGTCCCTGCCCTGGCCATGAAAACTTTGATAGCTTCAAACAAAAAGCCCAATTGACATCCTCAAAAAGAAAAAAGCCCAATTGATTTGCAGAACAAGGGCCCAATACAACACTGCCCCTCTGAGAAGGGGGAAATTATGGAGTGGAGGTGAAGCTGCTAATGGTAATGGCTTGCGATACCACAATCAGAGTGTTCTTTTCTGTACATTTTGTAAAATATATGAATTTGGCAGTGTTAAGTATAACCTAACCTTTTTGTTATTTTTCCTGTTTCATCTGATTATTTTCTTTCATGTTTGGGAAAATTTCTACATTATTTATATCTCATTTTTACTAGCATTAGAACCCACGCAATACATTACTTGATGGATGTAATTAATAGATATTATCATTATATTAATTAAATTTAATGCATTTTAATTAAGTGATGAGATGTAATTAATAGATATTATCATAATAAAAATATTATTTAAAAATATAAAATAATTTATCTTCTTACGATTATTGTCGTTACTCCTTGTTTTCTTAGAAACTATGTTAAATAATTATTGTTCTCCTCGTATTTTGACAATTTCATAGACTTATACTTAGATTCCATATAATGTAAACTACTTTGCTTTTACATATATATATATATATTCAAGATTCAAATTTGTTTTATACGAAAGGAGAGATAACAAAACATTTTTTTATTGTAAAATAAAATTATTAAATATTTTTTATTAGATTTGATATTTTATAAATTTCAAAATCAGTTGTTCTACAATAAGTTAGTACACAGTAATTTTTTTTTTTTTAAATTTAAAAAATATTTATTTACAAAATATTTATTGCATATCAATATTTGAATAAGACAATTATGGAGAGATATAATCATGGATTCTAAAACAATATTAATTTTATACTAAAGGGTGGAAGGATATTCCTATAATTTGGAGTTATATTATTTTTAAAATTTATTTTTATTAATTAAATAAGAAACATGCGATGTACAAGGTTGGCGAATATTTACATTTAATATGAAAACAAGAAAAAGAAAAAGAAAAAAAAAAGGATTTTTACATGCTTTTGCAATTCCCCTCCTTAATATATTTAGCGCCTTTAGACTTTCACAGGCCACTAGGGTTTAATGCAAACCGAGTAAAACGACATCATCTGGCACGAAACCCTTCATAACAAAGCCCAGATTTCCCTTTGAACATTCGAGGCGTTCTGTTTTTCACTCTCATCATTTCCTCTGTTGAACTTCCTGGGAACTGAAGCCCCTTCCTAACGTAGCACTTGCAGATCCAATCTAGGGTTTCCATTTTCTTTCAGTCGAAGCAGAAATGGCAATCTCAGCTCAAACTCTTGATATTCTTGGTGAACGGCAATCCGGCCAGGACGTTCGTACTCAAAATGGTTCTCTCCCTGTCTCTATCCTTATACGCGTACACTCTTTTTATTAGCTTTAGTTGAAACATAAGTTTCTGTTTCGCTTATTCTCTCTCTATATTCATAGATTTCGTGTTTCGAGTAACCTTACGAAAGTAATTTGTTGCTTTTGTTTGTTTTCCGATTCATTTGTTGCTGTTAGTGGTGGCATGTCAAGCTGTAGCCAACATTGTTAAATCTTCACTTGGTCCGGTTGGTCTTGACAAGGTACCGCACTCCTTTCTGTTTTTCTTTTTGATTTTTTAATCATTTTCATTACTGCTGCGGGTAGTCTAATTGCTTGCTAGTTCACTTTAAAACTCATAATCTGAAATGATGCACTAATGGAGAGTTAATCTAGAGTTGTTTGCTTGTCAAAACGTTCAACTGATAATTGCATATGTGAATGTTGAAACTGCCTGTTACCATTTTTCTTCTCTCGTTTGGATTTTAATTACAGCTAATTGAAATGGAAGTTTGTGGCAATATTATTTGATGGCCAAGTTTTTTGTCAACTTCGAGAAGGAATTTACACTTTTTTTAATTATCTTTTATTTTATTTTCTTTTGAAGATGGATTAACCTAACCTCCTTTTATTTACTGATACATTACTGCAGATGCTCGTTGATGATATTGGTGATGTAACAATTACCAATGATGGTGCCACAATTCTAAAGATGTTGGAAGTGGAACACCCAGCTGCCAAGGTGGATGGATATTCTTTTTGTTATTTTTATGCATGCTGTCGTTGCTACTCCTGGTTTTATTTTACTCATGACTGTTCAATTTTCTTTTTTTCCGGGCATATAGGTGCTCGTTGAGTTGGCAGAGCTTCAAGACCGAGAAGTGGGTGATGGGACGACTTCAGTTGTTATTGTTGCTGCTGAGTTGCTCAAGGTAATTTTAGCTTACTTGTTTTTGGCCCTTGATTCTTTTTTGGAATCACTACTTTCTTTGGTGTCCTAATGGGACTGGACATGATTGGTTCACAATGCCTGCAGAGAGCAAATGATCTGGTGAGAAATAAGATTCACCCAACATCAATAATCAGTGGATACAGAGTAAGTTTTGTGCTTCTCATTCAGCTTCCCCTTACGTGGCTTAATGCCTGTCCTGTGCATCTATATATGTGCAGCACAAAGACCTAGCCTGGCTTGTTTTCACTTATTTACATCCTGAAATTGTTTTGTGCCTGAACAGCTTGCTATGAGGGAAGCTTGTAAATATGTTGATGAAAAATTGGCAGTTAAGGTGAGGCAGGATTCAATTTGCTGTTGAAAAAGTTTTTTTTTTTTTTTACAACTATAGACATTGATGTGCCATTAAGTGCTGTTGCAATAACTCCTTTAAGACTGTGTTACTACTTTGTTGCATAGGTAAAATCCATTCACAAATTTGCTTCTCCTGAAATATTATGTTATGAGTTTAGTAGTTCGAAGTGCTATATAGGGGATTTCACTGATCTCTAATCCTTAACTGGGAATGAATACAAACCTCAGATAAATGGTTTTCTCTCTCTCGTATATGTACACCGTTGGATTTTGTGCCCCACATTTTTTAAGCTACATCAATGCATTGCCTAATCTTTTATGTCATTAACTTGCACCTTCTTATCAATAGGTTGAAAAGCTTGGAAAAGATTCTCTTGTAAATTGTGCTAAGACAAGCATGTCCTCGAAGTTGATAGCTGGTGACAGTGATTTCTTTGCAAATCTGGTATGCTTTTTATTTGCTGAAGTAATGAACTTATCAGCCTTTGAGAATCTATCTTTTAGTGATAAACTATTAAACCATTTTTTTTATAAACTTTGAAAACAAGGCTTTATGTTGTAACTTCTAGTCAGATGAATTTAAAGGCTTATATACTAAACTACCTCATAGGTTGTAGATGCTGTTCAAGCAGTGAAGATGACCAATGCACGGGGTGAAATCAAATATCCAATCAAGGTTAGTGGTTCTCTGGGTTCAGTTATTTGGCATGAAAATTTCTTGTGCCTGCTTACATATCTGTCTTTGGTTACAGTTTTTCATATTACTGTTTTAGTTTCCTGTTTTGGACAGTTTTTTAAGCCAATAGATCAATGCTTTATCCCAAAAGATTTCAGCAAATTGGTATGGCCCCTCTGCCTTGCATAGTGATATTTCTAATCTGCTAGTTACTTCTTTGATTTTCCAGAGTATCAATATTTTGAAAGCTCATGGAAAAAGTGCAAAGGATAGCTACCTGTTGAATGGCTACGCTCTAAACACTGGCCGTGCTGCTCAAGGAATGCCAACAAGAGTTGCACCTGCAAGAATTGCATGTCTCGACTTTAATCTGCAGAAAACAAAGATGCAATTGGGTGTACAAGTCTTAGTCACTGATCCTAGGGAGCTTGACAGAATTCGTCAAAGGTGACCAAATTGTACACTATAAACTCCATTGCAAATTTATGTTCAAATTAGGATTGGTTGGTTACTCTGGTAATCAGTTTCTTTCATTAGCAAATTTAGTATCGTAGCAAATCAACTGATGATGCTATCGTTATACTAGCTTATTTCACATCCATGCTTCTTATTCTCTCCTGCACCATGTTGTTTTCTTTGCATTTTTTCCTATCTTGTTTGTTTGCTGGTTGCACTTCAACATAAAGTCTCATGTGATGTGTTTCTGATTCAAATCTATGTGATAACGCCTGTGATTCACAGAGAAGCTGACATGACAAAAGAACGTATTGAGAAACTACTGAAAGCTGGAGCTAATGTTGTTTTAACTACAAAAGGAATTGATGACATGGCTCTTAAGGTAAGCAAATGTTACACATGTTTTCCAATTGCTTCTGATTTTTCTTTAGCAGTAGGAAGCATGAAAATTTTTACTATTACACTGCATGCTATTTGAATATAGTGTGGGGTGGGGGAGACTGTTTATCTATGTTCAAAAGGTTAGTTGTGCTGTGCCTTCTGCTTGGCTTGGGTTGCATGAGCTACTTGGATTTTTTCTACTTGTGTAACCTGCTTACTTTATCAGTGCCTTATATCTACTGTTTGCAATTGTTTTTATTTCAGTATTTTGTAGAGGCTGGGGCTATTGCTGTGAGACGTGTTCGGAAAGAGGATATGCGCCATGTTGCCAAGGCGACTGGTGCAACCATGGTATTCTTCTATCCCTTCAGTTATTATTGAAATCACCAATATTATATAAGCATATTGGCTGTGTTTTTATGTTTCGAGGATGCATTGCTCAGCCCTGTTAGTATGCATTTTAGTTTCGGATTCAGGTATTGAAATTCAGACATCATGATTTTTTAGTGATCTTGTCCCCTAATATCTAAGCAACTTAGATGTGTATTCTGATATCATTTGAAAGAAATGTGGAATTTTAAAAGAAATTGCCTATTGCATTATTTTCTTGACCTCTGCTGCTAGCATTCCTTTATGCTAATAATTTGTTTATGCCTTTATGGAAGAGGGCAAATTAATTTTTTTTTTCTCTGCTTTTCTGATTCTTTTGTTTGAATTGGCTCTTTGTGGTTCTAATTATATGCTTTAATTTGTTATCCATCCCACTACTTCCTAATATATATGTTATACTTTGATATTGTATGCTCTCTCTGGTGTTTTTAGGTTTCAACTTTTGCTGACATGGAAGGGGAGGAAACATTTGATTCCTCACTTCTTGGATCTGCTGATGAAGTTGTGGAAGAGAGAATTGCTGATGATGATGTGATTATGATAAAGGGGACAAAATCTACTAGTGCCGTGCGTGGTTCACTTTCTTTACATTTCACACATTTTAATCATGCTGATACTGGATCTAAATAAAAAATATATGGAACTCCTACATGCATAAAAAGTATAAATAAAGTATGATTTATACTGTGGCCACTGGCAGTATTTGGTAGCTTGTGGTTCATTAATCTGTGCTAAAGTTTGAAAATGCTCATGATATTGAAGAGTGAAGTTATTTCACCTCCATTCCTGCTTCTTTCTTTCTTTTTCTTTTTTATTTTTTTTTAAGTTATACATAATTTCCCATACTGTGGTTGGATTCTCAATCACCTTAAGCTGTCTGATCGATTTTTTATATGCTTAGGTCTCCTTAATTCTTAGAGGCGCTAATGACTATATGCTGGATGAGATGGAAAGAGCTCTGCATGACGCTTTATCAATTGTGAAAAGGACCCTTGAATCGAATACAGTAAGCTTGATACATTGACTGCTTTCTGTTTTGAAATCTAAAATCAAACTTTGCTCTAAAACTTGAAATTGAAATGCTGCCTTACTTGGAGATACTTGCCATAATTCTTCTATGTATGAATAATTATCTAATTATGATCATATTGTTGGTTACTGCTGAATATAATTAGAAATAGATGACTATTGTGCTTCCTCTGGGTCTTGATATGATTCTTAAATGTTAAGCAGATAAATTTGGGTCAAGATATTTGTTTCTATTTGGACTTATAGGTATGTTAGAAGGTGTACATTGTCAGTAGGTTGGCTTGGGGCACATGCATAATAGGTTGGTACACATTTTAAGGTGGAAATGGCACGTGTTAAGGAGAAGTTAAGAAAAGGGAGGCTGTGGTGGTTTGGATAAGTGTATTTTGGACCAACAAATGCATTGGTACGGAAGGTTGAGCACATTGGTGTAATAAATGATAAGAAAGTGAGGAGCAGATCTGAGCTTCCAATTTTTTTTTGTTTGGTGGGTGTAATGCTGAGAAAGTGATTTAGTGGCTCTAAAATTTTTCTGAAGATATTGCTCTTAATTGAGTGGAATGGTGGAAAAGGGTCCATATAGCCAATCCTAACTAGTTTGGGATTTATTGTTTTAACTGAGTTGAGTATATGGACAACATTTATGTAAGATTTTCTTATGGACTTTGAGCAAGGGAAGAAAGTTGTATTCTACATAGATTACCATTTGTTTGAGAAAATAGAGCTGAAGATGCCACCACATGGTGATTTCATAAATTCCAATAAGCAAAAAAATGTTGGATATGTCATTGCCTGCAGGTCTTGAAGTTTGTCCATCGTGTTGCTGGGATTGCTTTTTGGGTCGTACTGATGGGTGCTGTTCCTTACTCCATAACCATTCTACTCCTTGATGGCCCAGAAACTCTTACAATATGAGCCCCTTTTCTTAGTTGCAGGGCCTACATATAAACTAAATTTGAAAAGGATTGTTGGTTCTTGGCCTTGCCTATTTTGCTACATAGATGAGTGAGAATTTATGTATGATTTGCTGAAATGGTCAAATGATTCCACTAATACTTGAGTAATTAAACATTAGTTCTGTTGATTCTCAAAGTTCTATTCACTAGTTATTTGTATGCATTGCAGGTAGTAGCAGGTGGAGGTGCTGTTGAGTCTGCCTTATCTGTTTATTTGGAGTATCTGGCCACAACTCTAGGATCTCGAGAGCAGTTGGCAATTGCGGAGTTTGCTGAATCTTTATTGATCATACCAAAGGTTTAGTTTGGAATATAAGTGCACAACAAGGGTGTTTTTTCCGTCCTTCCTCTCCCAGTGATAAGTCATAATTTATACAATAATCACTTGCATTGGCTCAGGTACTTGCTGTTAATGCTGCTAAGGATGCCACTGAGTTAGTAGCAAAGCTACGGGCTTACCACCACACAGCACAGACAAAGGCTGAGAAGAAACATTTATCCAGGTATAATTGTAATTTGTATTTAGGACATATATATATTGGCATTTTCAACTTTTATTGGAAAAAACCTCTTGTATCAACAGCATTCTTGATCAAACTGCATTTTGATTATTTCTATCATTTCCGGCCTGCATGCTTCTCCAGAACAGTAAAAGAGTTGGATGAGATAATCATTCTAGTAGTATACTTGGATTTTGATTTTCAAGTGCATGAAAATGTTGCTTGTACTTGTCTCTTGCTTTCTTCTTATGTATGCTACAGTTGTGTATATATAGTATGCTGGATTTTGATTTTCAAGTGCAATGAAAATGTTTGCTTGTTACTTGTCTCTTTGCTTTCTTCTTATGTAAGCTACAGTTGTGTATATATATATAATATATAATATTATATATATATTATTATCGCACCCATAATAAATATAGTTGGGGCAAAAAGAAAAAATGATCAGCTATATAATCAGCACCAACATAATAAATAAGTTGGGGCAAAAAGAAAAAATATCAGCTCCTTTTCTCTTTCCTTCATTTATTCCCTGGCATCTCACACTGTTTAGTTGGGTTCCACAAAATGTTGCAGCATGGGATTAGACCTTTCAAAGGGCATTGTTCGGAACAACTTGGAAGCTGGAGTCATTGAGCCTGCAATGAGCAAAGTGAAGATAATCCAGGTAATAGCAGTGGAAAAGACATGAAGCAATTTACAGAATTAATGCCATTACAGTGTCTAAGTGCTTGTTTTATTTATGTTGTTTGATAGTTTGCCACTGAAGCTGCCATAACAATCCTTCGAATTGATGACATGATCAAGCTTGTCAAAGATGAAAGTCAAAATGATGAGGAATAGGTTCAGTATATCTGAAGAAGCAGATCTTTTGTTCTCTATTAACAACGGAAGAAGGGGACGGATATGTGGCTTTTGGTGTTGATAATGTTGAAGAGTTTGGTTTTGGGTTGGTTCTTTGTTATTCCCTTGATTGTAACGTTGTAGGTATGCTACTGCCGCCTTTTATAGCAAACTAAAAATTAACTCCTCCGAGCGGATGCTTATTGATGAAGCGAGAGTATACTATAAACCGGCAAAGACACGAAAGACCATCTAGCAACTGGGCTTTTCGTGATTTGTCATTTTGGTCTATCGCATTGATTGCAGGTTGAGTTTTGAGTGTTGGGTTCATTTTTTCTGGTTTCTTTTTTGGGTTCATGTTAGTAGTGCCTGTGCTATAATTTTTCGTCAGGCGTACTGGTGATTGGATTAAATTGGGCCTAGTTGTAGACTAGAACCGTCATCGGCAGAGAAACTGTTGCAAACAGAAAATTCGATTTAGGTTTCAAGTTATTACTCGTCCATTCTTTTAGTTTAACAAAAAATTCAGAGCATGTGATCTCTCATATGGGTTCATGTGCGTTTCCTTGCAAATTATTGTACGGATTCACGTGTCCTCTCTCTTTAGCCTCAAATACTAAAACCCCAAATTACCAAATAAATTACTTGATGTAGCTAGATTCTCGGAAAGAAGGCTGGCCCCTTTCACAAATTGACGTTTTTCTTAAAAATAAAGTTGACTGGGAAAGAGGTATATTCAATTTTCTTTATCGGATAAAATTTATCATAATGTCGCCAATTTATTTTCTATAAAAAAAAAAAATAATAACGGGAACTTAGCTAATTATTTGATTCGATTTCTTTTATTGTGTATTACTGTTATAACTCATCATAGTATAGACTAGGCAATAGAAAATAGGGCAGCACTTTGACCAAAACTGTATATTTGTGGATGCATAATGTAAAGTGAGCGTTTCTTTAATTAGCAAATTTCTCGACATAGGGAGGAATAGTTCTATTTTTTTCTTTTTTCGTTTCTGAACAAATATAGGCAAGAAGTCTAAACTAAATGATCTATGATCAATTGATGCTTGGTTTGTCTCAATAACCACATCCGCTCGCTTTGACCATTAATAATGACACTGTAGCCTAATTAACTATGCGATCCGGCCCAGTGACGATTTGGTTCAGTTTATTAGAAGGCTTACAGAGAAAGTTCCAAGTAAATCTATCATACATTTCAATAACTCATTGGATTAAAAAAATACAAAGCGTCCTACGTGGCATTTACAATTTCTTCTTTGTTTGTACTTGCTAAATTACATACTACTACTATTACTTATTATAATACAAGATAATGATGATTTAGGGTCACATGGAGGTTCACGTGCATTGCCTTTGTATTGGGATCATATCACCTCGTAAAGTCACGTGATTCAAGGTATCTCCCACCAATGCCAAAACCTTATTGCATTGCATGTATTATCTTATCGTAATAAAACTTTTTTTTTTATTAAATCCAATATATTGCATTTTAATTTTTGCAAAAACAAGAAAAAATAAAAGCAAACGAAGCTGTGTCTTCTCGTTTTAACTCATTTTTAATTTTCTTTAGTTCTTCCAATCTGATGAAAATACGACTGTGACTGACTGGCCAACCTGGCATATTTATAAATCAAAATCTCAGAAATTCAAACGTCCTATCAAAATCACTCGATAAACAAAAAAAAAAAAAAAGAAAAAGACACAATGGTATGCGAAAACGTACGATCGGTACTTTAGCAAACACTCCACCGCCAGCTTCACTCACCGACCTCTGCTCCTATTTACGCCTACTTTCCCTTTTGTTGCCATTATTAAATATTAAATACCCAACCAAATAAAATTTTAAAATATCAAACGCCAGCTGGATCCAGTTGTAAGGATAGAAATAAAAATGGTGGTGGCGTCAGGAAAGGATAATGTAAAAATTTTCTTTCACCGAACGTAACGGAACACGGCCCGTTTCTTCCTCTCTTTTATACTCTTCCCTTTTTGTGCGTTTGCCGTTACGGGATTATCTCCATTTCTTGCACTATCTACTGCTACACGTAGTGAGTTACGATGTGTGGTCCCTACGTTCCTCTCTAGCCGCCACGCGTTCTCTTTTTTTGTCTCATCCAGTAAAAGTTTTAATTTTGACTCAACCAGCCTGCAGAGACAAATTTGACAGCACAAGCTCTTTTATTTTTTTTCTTTTGTTTTTATTTAATTAAATATACAAAATTCAATCTCTTTTGTAAAGGGAAGTAAAATTGATAGTAAAGGAATTTTTGTTTTTGAGAAGGTACGTAACTATCCGGTACACGTCCATCTAAATTAGTTATTTTAATATTTTTAATTATCAACGTTTAACTATTTGAATAATTAGTGAATATTTAAATAGTTAATCAAAACTTTTATTGCTAAATACAGACTTAATCATTCAGTTTTAGATAACTATTTAATTTCTTAATCAAAAATTTAAAGTCTCTTTTTTTTTTTTCTTTTTGCTACGGGTAAAGCTTTTTTTTGCCCTTCCCGTAAATAGAATTTTTCGATATTCAAATTTATATTATTAACCTTGATTGAATTCGCTTACTACTCTAATTAATATTTTGTTAATCAAAACAATATCACTTTAACTAGAAAATGAAATAATAATTTAATAATAAATATGAAGAATTAAATAACAGCCTCACCAAATTAAATTGAAGTTGCTAAACCTTTAAAACGAATTAATAATTTTACCAGATAATAGAACTATGATAGTTGCTATTATCCTTTTACCTTGATGTTGTAAAGCTGTCATATAACAAAGCCACCTCTCAGTTAACCAAACCAGACCATGTTAAGATTTGAGAAGTGAAAAGAGGTAATTTGGCATGGTGCAAATAATCTCAGGTGTTTGTAATTTGACATTTTACAGTAAAAACGTTTTGCCGACACACGCATGAAACCTAACTTTTCCCGATGACCGTAGCCCATAATAAATACAAGCCGAGGAGAAAAAGAGAGAGAGAGAGAGATGTTCATTTCTTTTTGCTTTCTTTTAAATAAATTCTTCCACGAACCCATCAGTATCGGAAACAAAGGCACTTACTCGTGAAAACCACGGAAAAGAAATCACCTTATGCGCATCACAATAAATTACTGCCTCCTCTCTCTGTATAAATATAAATTGTTTTATATTTGAAATATTTCTTCAATCTCGGTATATAAATTATTTATCTCAAATTTAATTTGCAAAAATTTTATTATTTTTAATATAAAAAAGGGTTAAATTATAAAAAAAATTAATATTAAAATATATATATATTTTGAGACAAAAAGAGTAATAATTAACTCAGCGGAATTTTTTTATAAAAAAATTTAGCATTTTTTTCAGTGCTTACCGAAATACAAAAATACTTGTATTTTACAAACCATTGCTAACAACTACGCATTATGGCTTATAAAAGGTCCTTAATCATTTTTTTTTTTTTTTTTTTTTTTTATCATTTTTTTTTTTTTTTTTGTATCAATGGAGAGTAGTTTCATATCATCGTTATCTATGGGTTCATAGTTTGACTATATATTATTTATAACATTGAAACGCTTTTTTTTTTTTTTTTTTTTTTGTATCAATGGAGGAGTAGTATCATATATCGTTATCTATGGGTATCATAGTTTGACTCATATATTATTTTATAACATTAAAACGCTTTTCTTTCACTCTTTTGTCCATGGCAATTAAATGCGCTTGCAACCATAATTAACATTACAAATATTTCATCATCATAGGTAGGCAGTTTTATTAGGTCAATCAAAATTATTAGGTCACCGTAACTGCATCTTGACTTCCAATTAAGAGTGATCATTTATATAATAATTTTTTAATATATATACTATCCTCCTGTTTCGTTGCAAGAGAAGCTATTGGTTCAATCTCTACAAATGCATATCAGTTTCAGTCAGCTTTACGTCCAAAACCCAACCACATGGGACACAGTTTTTTTTTTAAAAATAAAGTTAGGAGGTGTAAACTCTATTTGGGATAGAGTATAAAAGTTATTTACCTCTCAATAAGTGTATTTCAGAATGATCTAATTTTTATTTTCACTGGATGAAAATTAAAGTCTCAGTCAATATCATTTTTGTTTCTATTAAAAGAAAGAGAGAAAATATAAAAACAGTTAAATACCTTTTTTTTCCCATAATTATGTAGGAGTTTTATTAAATCGTCTGGTTGCATGCAAACATGTCTCTTTTTTTATTTTATTTAAAAATGATTTACTGGCATTTTGGATTGTTAATAGGAGGAGTCTTTTCTGAAAGTCAAATATATGAATTAATTAAGTTGTGTGCTGAGGTAGAAGGGGGCATAGATGCAAAAACACCCATACTGGTACAGAGGTAGAGCATGTGGAGCCATGTGTCCATCATTTCATCAACAACTCCATGCATTTCTACCTTTCCAACATCACCCTCCTTTAAATTACTCACTCATCCTCTCACTACTCTCCGCTCTCTTTCGAGGCTGTATAGACTGGAGAGAGAAAGCCCTCACTCTCACTGTCAGTCTCCCCATTGTCACTCTCTGCACGTTCCTCTCCCTCGCTGTTTGTCATCAATACAGCAACTCTCTCTCTCTGTCTCTCCCTCTTTAGCAAGTTAGAGAAGCTAAAGGAATGGACGTATACGGAATTCCCACACCAGACTACTTCCGCATTGACGATCTCCTTGACTTCTCTAACGACGAAATCTTCTCTTCCTCCTCCACCGCCACTGACCACCATCTTTCTCCGCCTCAGAATCCTTCAATTCACTTCCCCTCCTCCACTCCCTTTAATCCTGCTCTCTCAACCGACTTCACCGATGATCTCTCTGTTCCCGTATGCCTCTTATCATAATAATATCGCATCTTTTTTTTTTCCTTCTATATTTTTTCGCTGAATTTTTTTTTTTTTATTTGTAGAGTGATGACGTGGCCGAGCTGGAATGGTTATCGCAATTCGTAGAGGACTCGTTCGTCGACTTCCCTGCTAACTCACTCGCCGGTACCATCAACGTCCAATCTGACGCGTCATTCTCTGGCAAAGCAGTTCGCAGCAAACGTTCGAGAGGAACGGTACCAAACGGCTCCCCATGGACATCTTCACCGGAAACTGCGTCTCCTGCAACTGGAAAATCGAAATTGAAGAAGGATACAAACAGAGCCTCATCGCCAACGGCTAATGGAGGAGTTCGAAGATGCACGCACTGCGCTTCAGAGAAGACTCCACAGTGGCGCACGGGTCCACTGGGCCCCAAAACGCTTTGTAATGCCTGCGGTGTAAGATATAAATCTGGCCGGCTAGTCCCCGAATATAGACCTGCGGCCAGCCCCACTTTCGTGCTCACTCAGCACTCAAACTCACACCGTAAGGTAATGGAGCTCCGGAGACAAAAGGAGATGTTGAGGCAGCAGCACCAACAACAAAAGGACGATCAAACCATCTACCATCCTCATCATCATCGTCAACCCCAGCAAGATTTTGAAGTCTGCTGACGTGTTGCAATAAGAATGGTGTGATCAGTCGTCAATTGGATAATTACTCTAGTTTTTCCGTTAGTTTCTTTGTTAATTTCCGAGGAAAACATAAAACATTACTTCTACTAATTAAAAATTTTCCGTTCTATTTAGATTTAATGTTTCAACCACCATTTTCATCCCAATTAACACTTGTCGAAGAAAAATTTTGAATGTGCATACATGTGTGGGTGGGAGAGAGATACGGAACGCTTGTGAGATCAGAGCATGGGACCTTACACGTGATGCATTAGCTGATGAGGCTTAGCGAATATTCTCTCTTCAAATCTCTTCTCACTTAAAATAAAAATAAAAAAAAGGGCTTCTGCTCACATGGAAACCGAGGAAAAAAGGTCTGGCCAATGGGGTTTGTGAAGAAATTAATGGAACATTTGAGGTTGACAATTTGCAGAGGGAAAAGGAAAGGATGGATTGCAATTGGTGATTGTGGAGCTCACTTTTTATTCTAGACGACTGGTACTTTGGGCTAGGCTGAGAAGCAATTCCCCACGATTTTAGGAAGGATAGAATAAAATAGGCATTGTCAAGTTGCTCAACTTCTCCTTGGAAAAAAAAAAAAAATGAGTTACTCAATGTAATCACGTGCATGAATAAGATCAAGAATTGAGATGGCCGAGCTGGTGTTTGAGTTCTGCTATTTGATTCTCTATCTCATCATAAACGCTTTTGTTTTGTTTTTTTTTTAAATAAAGGAAGACTTAAACCCAAAAAAAAACACCTGGACGACTTGTGGCCAACTAAAGCCCATTGCATCAGCAAAAACCAAACTAGCAACTGACTGCTATTGATTATCAAGGTTAAAAAATTACGGAATCCCTCCAGTTTTAGGCCGCATTTCAAAGCCAAGGCTCGAGACATAACATTTCAATAAAAATTAACCGAGGTTATGAACATACCCTCATCAACTTAATCCAAAATCCAAATGAAAAAATTTTTCCCTGATGTGATCAGCATATGTCCCTGTGAATCTCGTGTACTAGAAAGACTTCACCGTACAACTCAGAGAAATCCAGTTATGTTTTCACTACTGAACCTACATTTTTGTAATTTCTATAATCACCTCGCAAGAGTATCCAATATTATATTTGCTTATATAAATTGCCATGCGACAAAACAAGCCGGAAGGATAAACTATTTCCGCCAAGCCGAATAATGTTGTTATAAATATAACAAGCAATGTTCAGCATAGACCAGCATATTCAGACTTATATTCAGCAGATAAGCAATAAATCAGTCTCTAACAATGAACTGCAGAGAGCTCCAACAACCAGTAAATTGAATTATCTAATGGAGCCTTCAGCCTTGGCTATCCCATTCTTCTTATCCATCCATAATGTATGTCTTTGATGACTGCACAATTTACCATTTAGTGGTGTTTTTGCTTATACTTCTAACAAATTTCAAAATCTGAACTTAGAACTCCAAGAAGAGAAGACATATCTTACATGTTAGATATGCAATTGCTGATCTCAACCTGGAGTACAAGTGTAATAATGGAGTATAAGCAAAAGAACATTTTCAAACTGAGATCCCATAGTTACTAATTTTTGTAATCTCCTTAGTCAAGGCGTTCTTCTCTTGCTTTGCCTCAGAAGAAAGGCTCGAAACCTGCCAATCAAATCGTACCATATAAGCAAATTTGTTCTTACAAATGTGCAAACACAGCAAAAACCACATCTTTGTGGTGCAGTATCTATCTAACATTATAAAAGTGTGCAAGTCATTTGAGAAATAGCAGGAAACCTGCCAATCAAATCGTACCATATAACAAATTTATCGCTATAAATGTACAAACAACATGAAGTGCATCTTCGTTGTTCAATATCTGACATTATAAAAGTATGCAAGCCATTTGAGAAATAGCAGGTGAATGGGGGTGTGGAAGCATGCATCAACATGTGTGGGTGGTAGAACATACATGAACTAATAACAGCAGCAACATAGAAACAAACAGGTTACACTAATGCTTCAATTGTCCCAAGTGAATAAGCAATTGATTAATGAAATAAAACAAATCCACCAGTTTCCTTTCATAAGCTGCAGAATAATTGCAGGAAAGGTGGAAGGTGTCAATCCAAAATTATCACGACCGCAAGCTCCTCACTTATTAATTTTTTCTTTTTCTAAACAGCCCACAGATTGACTCAAATGTCAGAATCCAGGTTCATTATGAATAACTTAAAGCCAATCATGTTTGGAGAACAAGAGACTATGAAAAATGCCCTCAAAATATGGGTAAAAACACATTCAAACCCTTATTTGTTTTAGATATGATTGATCTAGGGAAGATGCTCCAATGTCAACAGGTGTTTATACTTAGCAAACTCCTATTCAGTTCTCTAATTGTTCATATTAGTCTGTATAACTAGTCTCCACATCGTCATCAAATAGGACCCACGAATATATTGACCTGCACTGCCCTCTTTCCATCACAATCTGCCCCTCATGCTTACAAAAAAGTCTATAAGAAAATGAAGCATAAAATGTTGCCTCTTGGCAATTTTTTTCCTTTTTGGCCCTCGTAGAACATTCACCAGCACAAAAAGCCCAAATATCTGCTACTGGAGCATCAAATTCAAATATATGTTTCCAGTACCCAAATCCAAATCTTAAACAGGAAATGCACCGCAAAAAAAGTTACCTTTGAGCGGAATCTAGATGCTTCTCTGCTAGGTAGGTCCCGAAGGACATCCTTCAAGCCTGATGCAACAAAGCAGTTTGAGAACACAAGTATGGCGTTTATCCACGTAAATTTAGTTCATTCAATCTGGAAAATAACAGAGACGTAGCAGTGACCTTACCTGCTGCTTGCTTTTCAATCTTATAGGCCGAGCGTATCACACCTTGGATCTGCTTCCCTGCTTGTCTGTAACAAGAAACAAACAAGTTTGAACAGAAATATCAACAAGCTGTAAGTGAATATTGTGCACACAACCCTCCCTCTAAATCACAAACCTGAGTTTTGTCCTACCACGAATCAACTCTGTTTCGGCTAATGATGCTCTCTTCTGAAAAAAAGAAACCATATATCACGGCTCATGTCCCAAGCAATGCTCATACAAAATAACATTTCCAAAGGACTAAAGATCCCATCTTGGGTTGCTTCTTTAGTTGGTTGGCTTCAGTCAAGGTGAAATACTTCTTTTCCCTTTCTTTTGGGAAACAAGTTTTTGGAAGGTTACGGCAGATTAACTTGAGCATAATTACCCATTATCAAACTCAAATTATTACAGAAGTGCACAACTTGCATCACAACTCTTGTATTTATTAGTTTTAAACATAAATAAATAACAAGTGAACATTTGTGCAGCTCACACCACAATTTATTCTTTTCTCACAAACAATCAACTAGAGGACTTATGGCACATGGATATTCTTGAACTATAGACAACACCAAGAGAAAGTAATTTTTCAGCCTTCACAGAGACAAGCTTAACAAATAATAAGAAAGCATTTTGGACATCATCCTATGGACTCTAAACCACCAAATGAAATAACAGATGAATGAAAGATACCTCTATCTTCTCACTTTCAGCCTTCAGGAGGCTAATTGATTGCCGCAATTCCTTTACTTTCGCATCCGCTTGAGAAAGTAAGGACTGAACTCAGAAATAGCATCTAAATTAGTTCGAAATTTTTCAAAACATAACTTAATCCTTAGCATGAGAACTATGTTTACTGCATATAATGATGCTCTATGCAGTCCAGAAATGGAGACTACATTGGCCCATTTTTTGTACCATCACAGACTCTCAAAACCATAAAGAAACCATAAAATTATGATGTCATTCTGCAAAAATCTTCTTTGAATTTGAAAAATTTTCAATTTAGATTACATGAATTTTACTTGTGGCTATATGAACATAAATAAGCATATATTAGGCACAACCATGATTAGGTACATTCAGAAAATCTAGAAAGTTAGTGAACAAACAACTCTTAATCATTTAGATTATTCACATACAGAACATGCACTCCATTGTTTTCTCCATGTATGAATTCAGCAAACAAATCAATGACGCAAGCAGTAACAGCAACTAATAGCTAGACACTGTGGTGTTTTAGGTCAACTGGTTGTTGAGAAAGATCAAATGCACTTTTGCTTACCTCTTCACTCACAAAAAGGCGCAAAGTATTGTAGTATAAAAAGCGTCTTGGCCCTGCAAATTATAAATTAAATGTTCAAGAGACTATGGATAGATAGAAGAGCTACTTATCATATTTTCTTAATCTTTATCAGATATTAACACCGCTCCATATATCAGAAACAGCAAAGATTCATGCATGATGTGAAGAAAATTAATAGAATACCTCCTAGAAAATTTTATTAATATTCATGATTCATGAATTCTCTATCTCCAAATTTTCAAATGTCTGAAAGTGAGAGGGAGAAAATTAACTGGTGACATTTATAGACATCATTCATGGATTGTAGACACCAGTAATTGCGGTACCTCTTTTGGGTTAATAGAAGTTAGAAATATGCAAAAGTATAGACGGATTGACAGAATGATTAGTTCAATATAGACAATAAAAATTACGTGAAGAACGTACTCTTCAGAAGCGCAAGTCCCAAGCCAACAGCAACCCCGCCTGTAATTATTGGATGTGAAACTGCAATCTTAACGCCCTCTGCATAAAACATGCACAAACGAAAACGTCACTGGACCAAGAATTGCAAACAAATACATTCATCGTTACCTACAATTATAATGCGAAGAAGGCATACCTTTAACCTTTCCAAATAGCATATCCTCGTAAGCATCAAACTCGGACTTGAAATCTTGCAAAGAATCCTACACGTACCAATCAATCAAAATTCCTATTGGCCATTGACAATACAATAGAGCTATAACTCAATGAGCTTACTATAGTTTGATGGAAATGGGCGGAAGAAGTGGAACGAATTTCAGAGAAACGAGATCTGAAGACACTAGTGGCGCCTTCAAGTGTCTCTTCCATGTTCTTTTGGTAAATAAGAGCTTGTTGAACTGCGCTGTCGATCCATGGAGTGACTTCCTCTAGGGTTTTTGATTTGATCGTCGAAGGGAAATCGTTTGGTTGCTTTACGATTGGCTTCTCCTCCGGTGACGATGGTCCTGAAACTGTTGCCATTTCGTAAAGATTTGGCCCGTTTGATCAAACGATGCTTTCATAAAACTTTCGCCAAAGTAAGGAAGACATAAATGGATTGTGTGGCAAACACTATTGTAGAAACATTGTTTTCTCAAAGTAATTATTATTATTATTATTTAGTAATTATTTTTAAAGTGGCATGAATGTAATTAAGATAGCCATAAAAGGATTGTGCGGGAAAAACACTATTATAGAAATACTGTTTTTCCAAAGTAATTATTTAATTTTTTTTAAAGTAACGGGCAAATTAAAGTAAGATATAAAAACAAAGACATAAAAGGAATTTTTTAAGTGACCATAACACAACTAAGAAAAACATAAAAGATTAATTGGAAAAAACACTATTGCGGTATTCTTTAAATTATTATAAGAAAATTTAAATTGATTAATAAGTAATTTTTATTTACATGAAAAATTAGTTATCAAGTCATAATAATGTTTTTATTATTATAAATATGTTGTTTACTTAACAAGTTATTTAATTATGGATTTTTTTATTTTATGAATCCTCTTTTTTTTAGAATAATTTTATGCATGGTAACGCCATATTTTTCTGTATCTGAAATAGTAGTTTACCTGTCTGTGAATAGTACCGCCGGTGCGGAAATAGGTATTATTTTGGTATGAAAAAATTACTATTTATATTTATATTTTATTTAATATTTTTAGAGCATGCATACTGATTTTTATAGGTATAAAGTAAGTAATGAATTTTTTCGGATAATTTAAATAATTGGTGAATAGTGAATTATGGTGTTTTATTAATTGAGGAAATTTGAGAAATTATTTATATAGAGTAAATTAAAGAATTTTGTAGAGATAAATAATATTTTGAGGATAATTAATTGGATAATATTTTTAGTCATTGGATGGGTATACCATTGACTTAATCCTAACCCTCCAAGCGTGAATTCTTAATTCTTATAAAAGTCAACTCTTACAACTTAAGCAACATTTTTATTTCTTTTCCTTCTTCTTCCTCTTTTTGAACGTCCACTTCTTCCTCTCATTCTCTCCATTTTTCTTCAATTCTTACTTATTAAACACACTATTCTAAATGTAACACCTACCTCCTGATCCCAAGAGACCAAATAACGGATGCCATATTCGATGCCGGAAACACCTTTCTAACTAACATATAAATCATATTATCGGGTTATGGATTAGAAGTGATTTAGTATTCATAAGTTTAGTAGGTAATAGTTTAATAATATTAAAAAAAAAAATGATTTGGGAGAATCCTACAGAAAAACTGCAAGAGTTTTATCTAAAATTTAAACTCGCCAAATATGAATACAAAACACTCCCAAATTCAAACTCTAAACTCCATCAAACTCCAATAATCAACACAATGCAAACAACACTTCTATAACTTCATGACTATAAAATTTCTCATATATAACCGCATAAACCTATACTCTGATACCACTAAATGTATATATAAATTTATTTGCTTTGAAGTGAGAGTATAAGTAATTTAAGTTAAATACATGCTATATTGGTCTGGTTGGAATATTAGAATTTGATATATATAAATGAATGCACTTAGTTGATGATTATTACGATACTAATGAGAGATTCTATAATCATGAAATTATAGAAGTGTTGTTTGTGTTGTGTTGATTATTGAAGTTTGATGGGGTTTGGAGTTTGAATTTGGGAGTGTTTTGTATTCACATGTTTGGCGAGTTCAAATTTTAGGAGAAAATCTTTGCAATTTTCTGTAGGATTATCTCAAATAATTTTTTTAAATTATTATTCGCTAAACTTGTGAATACTAAATTAATTGATAATATGATAATATGATTTATATGTTAGTTAGGAAGGTGCCTCCAACACCGAATATGGCATCCATTGTTTGATCTCTCGGGATCGGACGGTGAACGTTACATGAATCCTCTTAGATTTTTAATATTATAAATTATTTGTAATATTATGTTAGGAAGGTGCCGTCAACACGAATATGGATCCCATTGTTTGATTCTCTCGGATTCGGACGCGTGACGTTACATGAATCCTCTTAGATTTTTAATATTATAAATTATTTGCTTAATATTATAATATAATAATAAAATTTAATATTATATATAAAATTACAATCTATAAACTATAATTATAATTTTGGAGGTGCCTCCAACACCAGATGTGGCATCGGTTGGTTTTGAATCTATCGGGACTCGGGCGTGTGGGTTTACATGGATCTCTTAGATTTTTAATATTATATATTATTTGAATATTATAATATATAATAATTAAAAAAAATATATATATTTATAATAATAAAAAAATATATATATATATATAGTAAATTACATCTATAAAACTATAATTATAATTTTGGATTTTATTTTCTGTTTTTGTGATGAGATAGATATAAAAATTTTATAATTCAATAATAATTATAATTTTTTAACTTTTTTCATAAAAAACAAATCTTTATTTTTTTCACAACATATTCTTTTTTTTTTGTCGTCGTGTAAAAAGAAATGGAAATTTATTTATATTAATTTGCGATTGGTGGTTAATATTTTTAAAAAACATGATTTAAATGAATGCATGTATATATTAAATAATTGATTTTCATTTCTATTCATATAAGTATTGTTTTGAAAAGGAAAAAAAATAGAGATATTTGAATATCTATTGTTTATCTAATTTACTATATAATAATTGAGATTGTAAATATAGTAAGTAACATTAATTTGACTGTTATCATATTTTATATTTGTTTAATATTGAAATTTATAATTATAAAATGGTATCACTTGATTTATTATTTGAAGCTTTAATTAAAAAGCAAATGAACTATATATTTTTTAGCTATTACCATTTAAAATTAAAATTGTTTAATCCCTTATATATATAGGGATTTTAATGAAACTTTAATTGTTGTAAATTAATATGGCAGCGCAAATGTTATAAGTGTTACTATAAAATCAAATTTCTAATAAATTTTTATTCAAAATGATATTAATTAGTAAATAAGATTTATCTCAAAATTTAACATAAAATTTTATTGTACAACACTATATTCCATTATAGTGATATAATTTTAAAATTATATTTATAAATATGATATTTATAATAATTAACTACAGTGTTGTCTCGAGCTATGTATATGTCTTATATATTTATTAACTATATGGATATTTATATTGTTGAACGATCTCAATTCCAGTAAGAGTAATAATACAAATTTGATATTGACGAAATGCATTTTGCATTTTGTTACGAGGATCTAAAATATTTATGCTTTATGACATGAGTAGATTACACCTTTTGATAGAACTAAAAAAACATTATAGAGAGATAAAAAAAAAAAAAAAGGACTTGTCTTGCTTAAAAAAAAAAAAAGGACTTGTCAAAAAAAGAAGCCGATATGTAATCCACATAAAAGACCCGCGGGTGACCGACGCGTAACCCAGAAGAGGCACTCGTCTTGCTTTGTAGTACGCCTCTCGGACGTCAATTCTCACCTCTCTCTCGACAATTCTCAGTTCCTGCAATCTTCGAAGCCCCAACCTCCAAATCTCATTCCATCTCTGCTTCCCGAAGCACAATCACTCTCTCTAGGAACCCTAACCTCCCAGTTATTTACGATGCCTAATTTACTATCAACTGTTCCGAATCAGATTCGTTTCCTGCTCCAGAGTTTGAACGAAGCCAACGTCGACTCTGTTTTTCGAGAACTCTGTCAGGTATCTTCTTCATGCATAATCTGAATGCTTCCGTGCCTCTAATTTTATTCAATGATTATCCATTTGTAGTTACTCTATTCACTTCATTGAAACCCTAATATGTCAATCTGTTAATCAACATGGATTCTCGGTACTCGTTTAATTTAATTTTTTATAGTTTTAGTCAAGCTTAAAATGGAGATGAATAAAGACTGTGATCCAATCGGGTGATGCCATGATAATGGAGGACCAAGCGATTATCCATGAAAAAATGACTTCGTTATAGTAAAATAATTTTTCATGTAATCTAAGTCGCTAAAAATAACTTCTCAATTCCGTTCTAATGCTATTAAAACGACCAGCATAATTTTCTTTTATTAAAATTTGAATTCGAATATATTGTAATTGGTAAAAGCTTCAAAAAGCTTTTATGGAGAGAAATATTACATAAGTACACTCACATGCATGGACATTTTCTCCCTGTTCGTTGTATGGTGGTAACAATGCTATATTAACTATTTGCTTTTTGAAAAAAACTGAAAGGTTATCTAGTCTGCTTCAAAACTGGCCAATGCTTTGTGTCATGTGATTGTTGCACCCGTTTATTGTTCAAATTTATTTTTTATAATTTCAGAGGCAGGTTTTTGGAGTGTCTCTGAAAATGAGAGCCACTCGTGAACTTAAATCAATTGTTTGAAAAATTAATTGTCTGACATATATGACATTTCTTGTAGTCAATTTCTGTTAGCAGGGTAGTATAAGCTTTGTTGGGTTCTCGTGGATTTTATGCATTTACTAAATTTCTTATTTGCAGATCATTGAATACGGAGTTGAGGGAAGCATTCTGGTGCTCCAAACCTGCTTGGAACACCTGCATTTCCACAGGACAGACTTGAAGAACGTGCAGCTGGAACCAGTTCTAGTGTCAATTTTCAAATTTCTCATGGACAAGCCAAATTTCAGCACTGTGCTTTGTCAGTCACTAAGAAGTATAGCGATTAGTGAAGAGCTGCTAGAGAATTTGTCTAATGTGTTACGTTTATCTCTGTCTGAAAAAATTGGCATTGGTCTTGCTCTATCTGATTCTGAGAATCTTCAAACTAGAGTGGCTGGTGAGTATTGATTTGTAAGTCCTTGTTACATTGGTGGCATGGTGATTTCCTGCTTCATTAGTATTTTTGGGCTTCTAATTTATCATTTACTCATTAAACCTTTTTTTTTTTTTTTTTTTTTTTGATCACAGCAAAGAAAATTTGCTATGGCTGCAGATTGAGGAACTGTGTGCAATCCTGTTTCTATGAATTTCTGTGAAAACAACATACAGAATATTTGTTAATGGTCCTTCTCAGCAGTCTAGGCCTTTCCAAGCATGTAGATCGCCTTTGCAGATATTACCTCTATACTGCAACCTAATGATGTTTCCCCTTTGTATTGAAAACGTACATTGCTTCAGATCAAATCGTGAAACCATTACTTGAGGTCTGAATAGTTGCCCCCTTTAAATATCGTCCTTAATGATGTAAATATTTCAGTCAATGATTCCTATAAGTAGATATTATTTCGGTGGGTAAAGATAATGTGCTGTTCTTGCAAGTTGTCCCTAAATCCTAATGGCCTTGCCTACTGTTTATGAGGAACTTTTTTTTTTTTTTTTTTTTGTTTTATGATCACAGCAAAGAAATTTTGCATGGCTCAGATTGAGGAACTGTGTGCAGATCCTGTTTCTATGAATTCTGTGGAACAAATACAGAATATTGTTATGTTCCTCCAGCAGTCTGAGGGCCTTTCCAAGCATGTAGATCGCCTTTTGCAGATATTATCCTTACTGCAACCTAATGATGTTTCCCCCTTTGTATTAACTCCATTGCTTTCAGATGAAATGCGTGAAACCAATTTCTTGAGGTTCGTGATATATTGCCCCCTTTTAATTATCTTCCTTAATTTAAATATTTCAGCATGATTCCTTATAAGATATATTCTGTTCTTAAGTTTGTCCTATCTAATGGGCTTGCCTACTGTTTATTAGGAATATGGATTCGTTCCATGAATGCAAGGAAAATGAGTTTGATGCACTTTTAGCTGAAATGGAGAAGGAGATGAATGCAGGTGATATTGTGAAGGAATTGGGCTATGGATGCACATTTGATGCCTCACACTGCAAAGAGATATTGTCTCTTTTTTTACCACTGACCGAGAGTGTCATTTCAAAGATATTTGGAACTATTGCCCGCCACCATTCTGGCCTTGAAGACAGCCAAAGCACATTTGCCAACTTTGGTTTAGCTCTTGGTTGTAGCATTTCCCCTGATCTCCCGTTGTTGAGTTCCTGGGATATTGATATCCTTGTAAAAACTATTAAGCAACTTGTGAGTTCACTTTTGTTCCTTTTATTTCTTATGTTTGTTGATGCGGCACAATTGCTGCTGCTTCTTCTTCTTCTTCTTCTTCTTTTTTCTTTCTGAGAAAAAAGCAACTCATTGTCGTGTGTTTTTTTTCCTGAATACAGGCTCCTGGCACCAACTGGATACAAGTGATGGAAAATATGGATCATGAGGGCTTCTACATTCCTGATGAAGAGGCTTTTTCTTTCTTCATGTCTTTGTATAGACATGCTTGTCAGGTATATATTGTTATTTTGCTAAACCACATGCTTGGTCATGTTTCAAAATCTGTTACTAAATTTAAGAGGTTCCTCCTTTTTATTTTTGAGTTAGTATGAGTTGTATATTTATGCAGGATCCATTTCCTCTTCATGCTGTTTGTGGGTCCCTATGGAAGAATACTCAAGGTCAACTCTCTTTTCTCAAATACGCCGCGTTGGCACCTCCTGAAGTGTTTACCTATGCTCATTCTGGAAGGCAGCTGGTATGATTTCCTCTCCATGCTATTTTTCTTTTGATTTTCATGTAATATTTTGGATTTTAACTAGGTAATGACTGTGCATGCAGGTCTATAATGATGCAGTTCATGGCCATAAACTTCAACTTGGACATGCAAATCATGCATGGTTGTGTCTTGACTTGTTGGATGTGCTTTGTCAACTAGCTGAGATGGGTCATTCTAGTTCCATTCGATCAATGCTTGAATATCCCCTTAAGCACTGTCCTGAAATCTTACTTCTTGGGATGTCACATATCAATGTATCTCTCTAGTTGTATTGCTTATTCAAGGATTTTTGTTGTGTATTTTCCCTAGTGTTACATTGTTTGACAATTTTTATTTATTATTGCAGACTGTGTACAACCTTCTCCAGCATGAAGTGTCTTATACGGTTTTTCCTATGATAATCAAAAGCGCCACAGGTAGCAGTATGATTCTTTATCTCTGGCATGTAAATCCGAGTCTTGTTGTACGGGGATTTGTTGATGCTCACAACATGGAGCCAGACTGTATGACCAAGATTTTGGATATATGCCAAGAGCTAAAGGTAAACTTTTAGATGGCATTGTTTTTGTTCTATGCTATCTTTTGTTCTGTTGCTTTATAAATTAAATAATGCATTGGTCCTGGTGAACCGACATACCCAATAAGTAACAGGGTGGCAATTTATTAGAACTCCGTCTTTTGTTTTTCTCCACTCACAAGTTTTATTGGTACACATGCTTTTCTAATGTTTATGTTTTGCTAGTTTCACATATTTCTCCTCTCCCTAAACATATGTTTTCTAACCATTTTGCAGATTCTGTCAGCGGTGTTAGATACAATTCCTTCTCCCTTTGGTATCAGGTTGGCAGCCCTAGCTTCACGACAGGAACTTGTCGACCTTGAGAAGTGGCTGACTACTAATTTAATTACATACAAGGACTTTTTCTTTGAGGTAACATTCACTTGTCCTCCAAGTTGCCACCTTTAAGCAGGGTGCCAATAACATTTACTGAATTTTAGTGTTAGTAGACATCTAGCATACTTTAATTAGGTTATAATAATGGTGAAAAAAATGTGCTGACATGCATTGTGCAACTTTTCAGGAATGTCTCAAGTTTTTGAAGGAGGTTCAACTTGGGGGATCGCAAGATTTTTCTACCAAACCTTTCCAGCATAGTAGTTCTATGGCGAATATTTATATGGAGAATAGTTCTACCTTCAGTTCTACCTTCCTGAAGGTTCTAAGTTTTTGCATTTTTCCACAGGCCATTTGTATGTGTATTATTCTTTCCCTCAGTTTCATAACCCCATGGTTATTTTACAGGTCCTTAAAGCTCATACGGGCTTAATCATCTCTAGTCAACTTTCTGAGGAAATGGAAAGGTTGCATTTAACAATTATGGACTCCAATCCAAGATTGCAGAATGGCGGCTCAGCAGATTCATCTACCCCTGATGGGTTTTCTGATGATGTTGAGGCTGAAGCAAACTCTTATTTCCATCAAATGTTTTCTGGTCAGTTAACAATTGATGCAATGGTTCAAATGCTTGCTCGATTCAAGGAGTCGCCAGTGAAAAGGTATGATGTCAAAGTTTTTTACTATATTTGGAACTTAACTGTCGTTGCTGTCCTGTTTATCTATTTATTGCTCCTCTGGCTTCGCGATTGAGCTGCTTTTGGCAACCTGTTTAAGGCATAGCAAACCATAGTTCAGGAACAGCTGAAATTTTTGGCTTTTCCCAAATCATGGTTTTCCAAAAGCAGTAAAAAAACTTCCCAAGAAATAAAAAAATGGAAAAATATTTTTTGAAAGCAGCACCAAACTCAATTCGAGGTAGCGAGCTTTGTCTTCACTAGAGTGGAATTAACCACCCTATGGGGCACCTTCGACAAACTGTGGCATAGTTTTTCTGGTGTATATCATGGTCATAAACGTGATGTGATTGACAAAATAAGCCTTGGTTTTATACCACATCAATCCTATGGTTCGCACACCTGCACCTCCTATAATCATGTGGACAAATGATTCAGGTTCTTTATTATGTTGATCCTTTCTTTCCAGTGAAAAGTGGAAGGCTGTCTTTATGGTTTATGCACATCCACTTCACATTATTTACCTTTACGGTCAATTTCCTTATTATCTGTTCTTCTCTATTTTACAAAATTAGCAAATGAAGATTTTCTTCTATGCTGGCAATACTGATAATTGGCTGCAATAATTGGCAGGGAGCAATTAATTTTTGAATGCATGATTGGCAATCTTTTTGAGGAGTACAGATTCTTTCCCAAGTATCCTGAAAGGCAACTAAAAATTGCTGCTTTACTTTTTGGTGAGTTTTAATAATAGAAGAGAAAGTTACACCTTTGCTCATTTTTCTGATATTGTTACCAAATGCTCAGAAGCTTCTGAAGTATTTTCCCTGTATAACCTGTATAAGTTTGTTTACTAATTGTACAAGTTTTGAACTTTGAGATCACTTACTCCATTTGAGGGTGACTTTCTTCTTGTTATAAGCTTTGTTTTCACATGTAGTTCATGGTCATGAAAGAGAATTTTGCTTTGTAATTCAGGTTTTCTTGTTGGATATCAGTAGCTGTAGCACTGATATTTATGTTTATGCTGAGATAACTTTGAATTGTTTTGCTGTTTATTTAATTCTATTGAGAAATAATAATTTTCTAAAATAATATGCACTACTATTTTTTATGTGACTTTGCTGTTAAATGGTCACCGACTTCATTGTAATAAGTGACTCATTGCTTGTCTTTTTCATGAACCAAGCTTGTGACAATTTGTGATATATTCTCCGTCTTCAATGTTATCCTAATGCCAGCTAATTATGGTAAAATTTTTTTTGCAAACATGCCTTCTTGGTTTGTAGGTTTAGGAGATGCTTAAAGTACTGGATTTATTACTGGCATAGAGTTATTTGCCTACTTTGCTTTCTTGCCTAAATTGCTTGCTGTGTGAATATAACATTTTGGATTCCTGGCATGTTTAGTTCTCCAAGCAACTTAGAGTTTTGTGTGATTATGAAAATATTATGGCAACTTTTCAGCAGATTTATGAAGTTCGATTGGCTATCATATGCAGGTTCTGTTATCAAGCACCAGCTCGTAACTCATTTAACTCTTGGGATTGCTTTGCGTGGTGTTTTAGATGCACTACGAAAACCTCCAGATTCCAAAGTTAGTTTCATGAATTTGTGATAATGTTCCACTAATTGGTTTTTGTTGTACAATGTTGCTGATGATTTTTCTGTCTGCAGATGTTTGTGTTTGGGACCAAGGCTTTGGAACAGTTTGTGGATCGCCTGATTGAGTGGCCCCAATATTGCAATCATATCTTACAGATATCTCATCTACGCAGTACACATGCAGAACTTGTTTCTTTCATTGAGCGGGCTCTTGCCAGGATTTCATCAGGTCACTTGGAACCCGATGGGAGTAATAATGCTACTGCTTCTCATCATCATAGTTTTTCGCAGCCTAGCTCAGCAAATGGAGAGGTAGAGTCTTTTTTATGTTTTACATGCACTGTTTCATCTGTGTGGTGCATTTGAACTTATGGCATGTTAGGTCATGGGGAAGATTATTAATTACATTCTGTCATGAAAATAAGCTAATATAACATCTAACATTCTAAAGAACTTTGGCAACAAGTACAGTTACTATGGTACTGTTCTTTCTTTTTTGAGATGGTGTGGTCCTCTTCACTGTACTTTCAAGTGGCTGAGCACACATCAACATGCATTCCAAGAGTCCTTATACCAATCAACCTCCTATTTTCGATATTCAAGCATCGGTTAGAGCAGTATAGCATTTGAGTTATTTCCTTGACTTGAGCTGAGATTTCATAAATAATGTACTTTCAGCATACTGCTTGCAGCTCTTTTCCAAAGGTTTTGTTTCCTATTTTCACCTCATAAATAATGTAGTCAGAGTTGAGAACACAATTTGCAAGTGCAACTAACTTTTGAGTAAAAAATGGTATATTGTATAGTTGTATATTGTCTGGTACTGCTAAGGGAATGAACTCTCTCATTTCACCTGCTATTGTCACATCTCTGGCTTACCAACTTAATGCACCAGTGCTGCAATATGCTATTGCCACATTATCACTCGCATTACATTTGTGTTACCACTATCTATTTTAGGATACCCCTGTACTATTTTTCAACGAGAAGGCCTGTAAAAACTTGTGGAGCACTATTTTGTAAGTTTTGCTTAAGGCACAGATGAGCTGAAAACATGCTCATTGATTGTAAATTATCTCACTATATCTTGACTTGCTTCTACAGTCATATGGATGGAGCAAAAGCTAAAACAATTGGCTAAGCTGATTAATTGTCTCAAAGTTTTTGATTCTTTTGTTCTCTAATGTTGCAGTTGAATAGTGTTAACATCACACAGCCTGTGCCGCAGCTTTCCTCTGCACTCCATGTTCAACAGAGACATGAATTTGCTCCTGATGACCGCCATAAACTCTCTGTGGCTTCATCTAATGAAACAAAATCTCTTTTGCCTCCAGGAGGGCAATCTTTGGTTTCTCCTTTTGCTGATAATTCTAGCCTTCAGAAGGTTTGCCTTCAACATCACCCCTTCTCTCTTCTCCTTAAATTGCATGAGATGCAGTCAATGTTCGCAATTTCATTATTATTGCGCTTCATCTTATCATTGACGTATCATCACAGAGTGTGGCCAGTGCTCCAGCTATGCTGTCTTCTTCTCATGGTTTCCGTGGTGGTGCTCGAGGAGTTACCTCTACTAGTAAATTCTATTGCTAATTAATGGATTTGTGCTTTTGTTTTTATGGTTCATATTTAGCTGTTGGCCTTATCCGAATTCTTTTTCTAAAATATACGCGTTACTTACAGAACCTTGTATATTTTGTACAGGGTTTGGTTCAGCTTTGAACATTGAAACACTTGTAGCTGCTGCTGAGAGAAGAGAAACTCCAATAGAGGTACTGATTCCTTATACTCCTCTTGCATAAATGGATGTTACACTTTATGTAGCAGGTTGATCAATTTGAGATAGACATACATACCAGATTTATTACATTTTTAGAATAATTTAGTGGTTAGGAAACAAAGATTTATTGAAGCCTCCATAACTGAAAAAAATTATGATGTTTAAGGTAAATCAACTTCATGTGTTTGGCCTGAAAACCATTAACTAGTCCTTTGAACTAACATTTTAAATTGATGCTTCAGTTGCATAGGAATTAAAAGGTCTTTATTTTTTATACTTTAATTTTGAATTATTTTATTCGTTCTACATGTACATGTATTATTATTCTCTTGGAGAGTTCATATTCATCAGCAACTGGCTGCAATTTAAAGATTTTAACTCTGTAATGCAACTTGGTTACGTACTGATTCCATAGTGTTTTTTATGTGTTTCGGGATGTCTTTTGCCTTAGTTGGCTAAGTCTAACAAAGCTTATATCTTTCAGACAATAAAAACCAGGAGAGTTATTGTGTACTCCATGTATAAAAATTTCAAGTTCACTAAATATTCAGCAGTCATGCCAACATGGATTTCTAATTGGGTTTTTTCATCTCTTTATTTTTAGTTCAGCACTTTAACTGTCATAATTCTGCCTTTTGCTGTCAGGCTCCGGCATCTGAAATTCAGGACAAAATATCATTTATCATTAACAATATTTCAGTGGCCAACATTGAAGCAAAAGCAAAAGAATTCACCGAAATATTAAAAGAGCAGTATTATCCCTGGTTTGCCCAGTATATGGTTATGAAAAGGTCAGAAGCTTTATAGATTTTACCTCTACATTCTCTTGCATATGAATGTTTCTGCCACTCTGCTGTCAGATGCCTTCTATTCTCGCTCAGGATCGTGATATATCATGCCTGGTTAATGTCTTCTCAGGGCAAGCATTGAGCCCAATTTTCATGACTTATACTTGAAGTTTCTTGACAAAGTTAATTCAAAGGCATTGAATAAGGAGATTATCCAAGCCTCTTACGAGAACTGCAAGGTTTGCATCATCACTTGCTTCCTTATCTTTGCTCTTGACATGATGAACCAATAGCCTCTTTCAGGACATAAAGAGGAATTGGGAGTTATTGTCCTTCTGTTATTTCAGGTTCTCCTAGGTTCAGAGCTTATCAAGTCAAGTTCAGAAGAGCGTTCATTGCTAAAAAATTTGGGAAGCTGGCTTGGGAAATTAACAATTGGCAGGAATCAAGTTCTAAAGGCTCGGTTGATAGATCCCAAATCCTTGATCATCGAGGTAATTCTGTACCAACATTAAACCTTAAAATTATATGTTTTACACTTAAATATCTTTCAAGAACTTTATTTTGCTGTTCTGAGTGTGTCATTTGAGGACTGTCTTTTTGCTGGGCAGGCATATGAGAAAGGACTGATGATTGCTGTAATTCCATTTACTTCAAAGGTAACAATAGATTAATGATAGTGTGATGTTTGCTGTGAACTTCAGTGTTCTGTTTATGTGGTATGTATATTCTATTACTTGCAGATTCTGGAACCTTGCCAAAGTAGTGCAGCTTATCATCCCCCAAATCCATGGACTATGGGTATTCTTGGATTGCTGTCAGAAATCTATTCAATGCCGAACTTGAAAATGAACCTTAAGTTTGACATAGAGGTATAGAGATATGTTGCTTGAGCGCCAGTTGTCTAACTGTATACACAAGTTTCTTTTGGTTGATGAGTCTGACATAATTCTTTATCATATTCTTTTGGCATTTTAGGTTCTATTCAAGAACCTTGGTGTGGATATGAAGGACATATCACCCACTTCTTTTCTGAGAGATCGAAAAAGAGAAATTGAAGGGAACCCTGATTTCTCTAACAAAGATGCTGGAGCATCACAGCCACAGATTGTTGCTGAAGTTAAATCAGGGATAATGTCGCCACTAAATCATGACTTGCCTCTTGAGGTTGTTAACCCGCCTAATTCTGCTGCCCATACACTATTATCTCAGGTTTGTTCCATTCAGTCTTTTGCTGTTTTTTGAGTAGCAATGACATGTATCTTGAATCTTATCCTTTTTTTTTGTACTTCTAGTATGCTGCTCCTGTCCATGTTTCTCCTGTGACAATGACCGATGATGAAAAACTGGCAGCATTAGGCTTGTCTGATCAGCTTCCTCCTGGGCCAGGACTTTTTCAAGCTACTCCGTCCCAGCCACCTTTTTCTGTCAGTCAGGTATAACTGTTCTTTTTTTGGTTGGTTCTGATGCTATAAGAATTTATTGAGATTTATTGTTTACTGACTGCTGGTTCTTGTACTTTTTGCAGCTCCCCACAGCAATACCCAATATTGGAACTCATGTTGTTATTAACCCGAAGCTCAATTCTTGGGGTTTGCACTTGCATTTTCAAAGGTTGAAATTGTTGTTGTAATAATATTTCATTCTCAATGAGTTGATTGATTTATATTGCTTGGATAACGTTAGTCTTGTTCATACTGTACAGAGTGGTTCCTATTGTAATGGATAGAGCTATCAAAGAGATAGTGTCTGGCATTGTTCAGCGTAGTGTTTCCATAGCTACCCAGACGACAAAGGAACTTGTTTTGAAGGTTTGCTAATTGAACTCATATGAGTATTGTCCCTTCTGTGTATCTGCAACCCTCTACTTTGGTCTTTGGCTTCTTCTTTAATGTCCTAGACATGGTTGTTGTCTTTGCTTATTACCTTATCTGTTTAGTTTTTATAGCACTGTCAATCTGGAACTTCATTTTATAAAAGCATTTGCCAGTCTTATTTTCGTGTGGACATCTTCTGATGTTTTGCCTCATATTATGCCTAATTATAGGATTATGCCATGGAATCCGATGAGACGCGAATATATAATGCAGCACACTTGATGGTTGCAAGTTTGGCTGGAAGCTTGGCACATGTAACATGCAAGGTTTTGTTTCTGTAGCAGGACTTCCATTTTTTCTCCTTTCTGTTTTTTTCATTGTGAAGCAAACCTAAAATATATTTCATAGTGTTGTTAGCTGATACATTTACATCTATGATTTTCTAGGAGCCATTACGTACTTCAATATCTACTCAACTAAGGAGTTCACTTCAGGGTTTGAGTATTGCTAGTGAACTTCTGGAACATGCTGTGCAATTGGCTACAAATGATAACCTTGATCTTGGGTGTGCAATAATTGAACAAGCCGCTACAGATAAGGTTTTACTTAAAGCTTCAAAGCATAAATATAATACTCCATTCTCCACTTCTGCTGGTGTTTCTAGTCTCGAGTGGTGTGCAAAGGAAAAAAGTTACTTGGGTCATGATATTCCTCTGTGTATGTGTATATGTGTCTTTCAACTTGTGTAGCTTGATATATGCATGTCAATGGTGAAATAGGTTGATGTAATAGTGAAGTACTGAAGTATAGAAAGATTAGCTTTGGTGTTAATGGATGCAACATGAGCTACCAATGGCCATATCTGGTGAATAGGTGATTGTGAGTAAAGAAGTGAATTTGAAACAGGACTTTTTCCAATCACTTGCAATAGACTAAGTCGACCAACATGTCTTCATGTGCATATATTGACCTGGGTCTGCCTACAATCTGCAGTATCTTCTTACTCTGTTCTGATTCTTTTTGGGCCTAAGAATATTGGTTTATTCTTTGTGTGCCTTGCCTTGTGAGAATTATGGGACCTAAAGAAGGTGATTTTAGATGATGGTTTGTTATAGACCTAATAATTATTGCTAAACTACGGGGTTCATGTTTTGTCTTATTAACAATTTATTGGTCCTTCAGTTTATTCAATCAGACAACAATGAATAAGCTTGTTTATTTGAGCTGAACAAATAAGCTACTTATCTGAATATACAAGCTAAAGTTATCTGAATGGTTTTTTTTTTTTGGGGGGTTTATTCAATAAGCTATATAACTTACAGAATAAAAAGTCCGACTTGCTCTTTTCAATTATAAAATGACACAATATATAGTTTCTTAATTATTTAGCAATCAGCTTTTGATAGAACTTCTTAATCATTTAGCTTAAGTTGTTGATTCATATTTAACATTAGAATTTAGCCCAAACAAATGTTCCCTATCTCTATTTGGTACTTTGAGCGATGAGTCAATAGTGTTGGTCAGGAAAATTGAAAATATATATTATATCATTAACAGTAAACAGTAAACCATCTAAACTGAACGAAAGACTCTGAGAAACTAGAAGTTCTTGGTAAAAGAGGAAAGAATGCATTTGGATTAGGAAGAACAAACAAAATATGGCCAGCAAATGTGCTCTATATGTAGGGGTGGTTCAGCCAAAGCGCTGTTCTGCATTGAGATGGATTTTTAATTGTTAAGCAGTAGGTTAAATTTTTTCTCATCATTATTCCTGGTTGCGTTGTTTTATATAGGCAATACAAACCATTGATGGGGAAATAGCACAACAACTTTCTTTGAGAAGGAAGCATAGGGATAGTGTTGGTCCTACATTTTTTGATGCAAACATATACAGTCAAGGTTCTGTTGGTGTTGTACCTGAGGCCCTCCGCCCAAAACCTGGTCACCTGTCTGTTTCGCAACAGCGAGTTTATGAGGTATACATTTGTTGATCTTTATCTTAAAGAACTGTTTTGGTGATAGCAAGCTTAATGTCTGGTGTCTGCTCCCTCTGCCCTTATTTCAGGACTTTGTTAGGCTTCCATGGCAAAACCAATCTAGTCAGAGCTCACATACTATTTCTACAGCTTCTGCAACTTCTTCTGCTAGTACTGCTTTGCCTAGTACATATAGTTCAACGACTGGACAACTTAATGCAAGTTACTCATCCGCTCCAGGCAACATTGGATTTGAAGCAGTTTCTCGTACATTGGACATGGCTTCTGATACTACTGAATCTAATTCGGCTACAGTTCTTAGGTATTCTATTTCTACCGCTCAGTGATTTCCCCAGTTTTCATGATTTGCATTGCTAGATCCTTAATTTGTGTAATGTTCCAGTGCATCCTCTATTCATGTTGGGGCAAGTGATAGTGTTATACAGCAAAATTCTGAAAACAATGCTGTCAGTGCTTCGTTTTCTTCAACTGTTCCAGCCCCCGAACTTCATTCAGTAGACTCCTCTGATCCTGTGAAGGTTGGGATAGTCGTATCTTACTGTATAATATGCTGCTGAAGGCTTTTGGCAGTTGTTAACATGTTTTTCTAATATGATGAAAGGAACCGGGGATCTCTCAACAATCAATATCTTCAGCAGCTTCTGATCGGGTTGGGAGTAGCATTTCAGATCCTTCATTGAACACAAGGGATGCACTGGATAAATATCAGATTGTTGCGCAGAAGGTTACTTTTTGATCATTTGTGCCTATGCTTATATTTTTTTCCTCCCTTTTCCCTTCTTTTGTTGGAACAGAGTGTCTGTACTATTCTGTTCTTTGTTTGTGTAACTTCCCATTTATTTTTCAATTTGTCCTCGAAGTTTGGACCAACTTAGTGGATTATATTCATTGTCATGTTCTCTGCTTTATTTGGCGGTTGTATTCTGTGATCTGACTTGTTATCTTAAATTGGTCTCAGTTGGAGGCTTTGGTTAGTGGTGATGCTAGAGAATCAGAAATCCAGGTATTTTGTTCCCTTATTCTTTGTATGCATTCAATGATTTGCAGATGCATCATTGTTAAATCTCAACTCAACTAACCTTTGATTCTTAACCAGTTGGAATTTGCTAGATGGAACTTTTCCTCCATCATATGATTGACAGTTTAGTAATTTTGTCTTTGGTGTATGGCTGTATTGGACCCCAGCAGTGATACCTGCCCAACAAGCATGTTGTGTGCTATTTTACTTTTTTCTTCTTCTTTCTTAAAGGGTAGCAACCTGGACGTGTCCCCCAGGAATCACAGAAACCTGTAAATGGCTAACATTCTCATGTCTGCATGTGCAGACACTCAAACCTTGTGGAAACACTTGGGAACATCTCAAAAACTTAAAAAAAAAAAAAAAAAAAAAAAAAAAAAAAAAAAGAAAATTTATGCTAGATGGAACCTTTTCTCGCATCATCAATTGATTGACGTTTATAATTTTGTCTTGTGTCATGCTGTACTTGGTAGCTCCTCAACTTGATACCTGCCCAACAAGCATGTTGTTGTGCTAATTACCTTTCTTCCTTCGTTCTAAAGGGTAGCAACCTGGACCGGTCCCCGCAGGAATGCACAGAAACCTGTAAAAGCAAACATGTCTCCATTCTGCATGTTGCAGACACTTCAAAACCTTGTGGAAACACTTGGGAACATCCAAACTAAAAAAAAAAAAAAAAAAAAAAAGAAAAAAAAAGATTCTTGAAACATGCCATAGGTGAACAAAATAAAAAAATAAAGTGTGAGGAATAAAACATAATAACCCTATACTCTTTTCCATTGCTAGTTTCAAATTCAAAATGAAACACATGTATCTTAATTTTGGAAAAACCTTGAGCTTGTATAAATTTATCAATCATATAATATAATGTAAAAAAAAAAAAAAAAAAAAAAAAAAAAAAAAAAGATTTTGAAACATGCATAGTTGACAAAAAAAAAATAAAAGTGTGAGGAATAAAACATAATAAAGCCCTAATTCTCTTTTTCCATTCTATTCAATTCATGAAACACATGTTATCTTAATTTTGGAAAACTTGAGCTTGTATTAAATTTATCAATCAAAATATAATGTGTAAACTAAGCTTGTATCAACTTCATTTATCAAAATATAATGTCATCTTATTTTGAGCATTTTGATACTAGATTATTGAAATATGTGTTCAGGGAGTGATTGCTGAGGTTCCTGAAATCATTCTCCGATGTGTTAGTCGAGATGAGGCTGCCTTGGCTGTGGCACAAAAGGTGTGCTTCTATTTCCTTGTGGTTTATTGCCCATCTCTTTTTCTGCTTTTGGTTTTCTGTCAAATGTTTTCCAGTTTAGCCATTGAAAGTGATAGCTCTGATTGCCAATTCTTTTATATTAGCTTCATGTAATAAATTATTACCCAATTTTCATACAGGTTTTCAAGGGTTTATACGAAAATGCTACAAACAATTTTCATGTCAATACTTGTCTTGCAATTCTTGCTGCTATTCGTGATGTTTGCAAGCTTGTGGTTAAAGAACTCACTAGTTGGGTATGTTTTACTACTACTCCTGAAATGCTGATGTTATTATGATAGTTTTGCAACGCTATGGGCTGGGTCTCTACTAGCCTGCTCAGTGGCTATTTCATGGTTCATTTCTTATTAAGATTGTTTGTCATCGAAATATATCAAATGTTCTAATATTCACATACATTTTTTTTAATTTCTAACTATTTCCTGCAGGTGATTTACTCTGATGAGGAGCGGAAGTTCAATAAAGACATTACTGTTGGCCTTATACGCAGTGAATTGCTCAATCTTGCTGAGTACAATGTTCATATGGCAAAACTTATTGATGGGGGAAGGAATAGTACGTATTTGGCAATTTTTATCATTTAGAATTGATATGACTTTGTAATTGATTAATTACGCAAAATGTGCAGAAGGTGCAACTGAGTTTGCTATATCCCTTATCCAAGCTTTAGTTGTTGAAGAATCCAAAGTTATATCTGAACTCCACAACCTTGTTGATGCATTGGCTAAGGTTTTGTGTCCATTCTTCCTTCTTTTGCTGTGCTGTTAGATTGCACGCATGCTATTTTGTTTGTGCAGTTTCTTAGTGATTCTGACTTGCAGTTTGCCGCAAAACCTGGTTCTCCTGAGTCATTACAACAGCTGATTGAGATCGTCAGAAATCCTGTTGCAGCTAATTCTGCTGCATTAACTGATTTTACATCTGTAAAAGAGGACAAGACTAGGCAGTCTAGAGATAAAAAGGTCAGTGTTGATTCCATAAATGATGTTTTTTTCCACCTTATCCTTACTTTGAAACTAAACTACCTGTTGAAGCAGGCTGCGAGTCAATCTATAGCTAACAGAGAGGACTACAGTAATCTTGACTCTGTAGAACCAGATCCTGTTGGTTTCCGCGAACAGGTATAGCTTATATTGTGCATATGTATTAGGGCATTAAGCTTTAAATGATTCACTAACTATTTATTTTGAAACCAAATATGGTGAACATCTGTAGTTTTATATTATGAGTGCTTCAATTGCTTCTGACAGTTGTATTGTTGTTCAATGTATATGATTCAAATATTTCATTCCTTTCTGTTGACAGAGGCTGATTCAATTTCCTAGATGTATTAAAAAAGAGAATGACTAGAATTTTTTAGCCTTTGTTTATTCTTTTCTCTCTTTGTGCTTGTACTGTCTCTCTCTCTCTCTCTCTCTCTCTCTCTTTTATCATATTGTTCTCTTGTTTTTGTGAAAAGGGAAAAAGGGGAAAATTTATGTGGATGTTTATTCCCAATGCTTAAATTATTCATTTAACAATTTTTTTGGTGCCACCATTTCTTTAGGTATCCATGCTATTTGCGGAATGGTATCGCATATGTGAACTTCCGGGAGCAAATGACGCAGGTTGTACTCATTACATCTTACAATTGCATCAAAATGGACTTTTGAAGGGGGATGATATGACAGATCGGTTTTTCCGAATCCTCACGGTGATTATCTCTGACATATTTCCTTCATTGGCATAATGTTGAAGGTTGCAAATGTGATCCCTTAATATCTTTTCAGGAGCTCTCTGTTGCACATTGCTTATCCTCGGAGGTGATTAGTTCCGGTGCTCTGCAATCGCCTCAACAAGGGCAGAGCTTGTCTTTCCTTGCCATTGATATTTATGCAAAACTTGTCTTTTCAATCCTTAAGGTAGACATTTGTGCTTGTGAGTTTTCTTTTCATGGTTTTATTGAACCTTTTACATGTGTATTCTCTCTAATTCTATATCTAACTTGAACTGTTAGGTGGAGCAGGGGTCTAGTAGATTTTTTCTTTTGTCAAAGGTGAATCTTTAAACAAAGACTCTTTGTCTACTTCTTTTCTTTTGCAACGTGTTCTATATGACATTTATGGATTTGAACAGATTTTGGCTGTGACCGTGAGATTTATACAAAAGGATTCAGAGGAGAAGAAAACATCTTTCAATCCAAGACCATACTTCCGACTGTTTGTGAATTGGTTGTTGGATCTCGTCTCCTCAGACCCTGTTATTGATGGTGCAATCTTTCAGGTAGGATCTCCTGCATTACTTCGAGATTTTATCATCTTTCCTCAACTAACATTACCTGCTTGTTTTGCAGATCTTGACAGCCTTTGCTGGTGCATTCCATAATTTGCAGCCCCTTAAAGTTCCTGCATTCAGGTTAGCACAGTGCATATATTTAAGGTTTGGCTGATTGTGAGGGGCGATATATTCAATAAATTGGTCCTTATATGATGGTACCACAACTAATAGGATCTAGGTTGTGGGTTATTCTGTGGGTTTGGAGTTGTCTTTTATTAGTGCTCTAGAAGCCCTCTTCGCCCGACAGAAAATTTGATACGCATCCAACCAATGGATTAATAGTGTTTCAAAAACTAATTATTTGAAGGACTCTCTCTTGTTAACTTTTTCCCCTACTGAAAAGACACTCGGACCTTTTTCGCTTTTTATTTTCTTATCACATAGGCAAGGTGTACACACCCAGTGTTATGCAAGACTTGCTCTTCCTGGAGCCCCAAAATATTGGCAGACTGTTTTTGATATAACCATGTGGCCCAAAAGATGCGACTCTTTGTTGCTTTGCTTTAGGCATATTAACAATTCAAAATCTGGCCATTTATTTAATTTTTCTCTTCCTGAGCTTGGACATTCCATGTCGGGAATTTTTTCTCAGGTTTTTTGGTTTTTGCTTTTCACTTGCCTGCCTAACTCGGTTAGACTTTTTCCTCAGCTTTGCATGGCTCGAGTTGGTGAGTCACAGGAGCTTCATGCCAAAATTGCTAATGGGAAATGCTCAGAAGGGTTGGCCCTATATCCAGCGCCTTCTGGTAGACTTGTTCCAATTCCTGGAGCCATTTTTGAGGAGTGCTGAACTAGGAATGCCTGTATGCCACTTTCACTTTACTGATTTTTCAAATATGCCGCTTCACTTGCTGTTTTTACACAGTTCATTAAAATTGATGTTTTGATTGTTCTGATTTATCTTGTTGTATTTATGCAGGTTCACTTCCTGTATAAAGGTACACTAAGGGTGCTGCTGGTGCTACTTCATGATTTTCCAGAATTCCTATGTGATTATCATTTCACCTTCTGTGATGTGATTCCTCCGAGCTGCATACAAATGCGTAATATTATCCTTAGTGCATTCCCTCGCAATATGAGGCTACCAGATCCTTCTACTCCCAACCTGAAGGTCTCCATTCATCATAATTATTTTGATTTTACTTTTCTCATTACATATCCTAAAATAAATTGCTTGGTTCTGACACTGATGTTGGAAGACTTGGCTCCATATTTCACTTTTGCACAGATTGATTTGCTTCCAGAAATAAGGGAGGCTCCTCACATTCTATCTGAGGTTGATGCTGCTCTCAAGCTAAAGCAGATGAAAGCTGATGTGGATGAGTATCTCAAGGTGTATTTCTTTTTCTCTTAACTCTTTGCACAAGCTTAGTGACTTCTTTGTGGTTCTTAAATTGCTGAAACTCTGATGCGTGGTGTTTCATTTTTCATTTATTGGGCTTGTTATTGCCTAATTTGTAAATTTTTGGACTACTTTTCCCATTATAATTATTTTTTCTCGTCTGTAATTCTTCATTCTGTCTCTCCGCTTGATGTCAATACATTTTGTATTGAAGTTGCAGTAAGTATTCATCTGGTGTCTTTCACTATATGTTGTCCTTTTTTATCAACATCTTCTCAATTTGGTAAATTGCAACTCTCTGCAGACAAGACAGCAGGGTTCTTCATTCCTGACAGAATTGAAACAGAGACTACTCCTTTCACCGGGTGAAGCTGCCTCTGCTGGAACGCGTTATAATGTACCACTGATCAACTCCCTTGTGCTTTATGCCGGGATGCAGGTATATTCTATTCTATTGATCCATGTTTTATAGTTACTTCTCATAATCCCCAGGGTCACATGTTACCAAATTGAAAGGAGGACAGAATTGAAACAGACGTTATGCATAATTAACTATGTTTAGATATTATGCCAAATTTCCAGTGGATATCCTTTTTTCTTCTTAATGCAGCTTAGAGTTTGATCTGTGGATTAGTGGAATATTCTGAAGGCTTCTTGGCACAAAAGAAGTCCATAAAATTTTAAAAAATCCATTCAGACAAAATGCTTGGCATGTTTGTTATATTCAAAAATTAACTTGGGATTCTATGATACTTGGTAGAGTTTGCAAGAGAATTTTGAAATGGTGTTATTTCAAAATCAAATTTGATTTAGCTAAGCACTGGTAGAATTTGCTGATAAAAGTGAATTTTATATTCGTCTATTTGGAATAAGATGTAATATTTTACTTTAAAAGTTTTTTTAATGGTATAATATGAACTTCACTCTAATTCACTTTTTTTTTTTGTTTGTTTGATTTTGAAATTCCTTTCAACCTCAGGCCATCCAGCAGCTACAGGCAAGAACACCTCATGCACAGTCAACTGGAAACACTGCTCCTCTAGCTGTGTTATTGGTAGATGCTGCCTTGGATATTTATCAGACTCTCATATTGGAATTGGACACTGAAGGGCGATATCTCTTCCTGAATGCTGTTGCTAATCAACTGCGCTATCCAAACAACCACACACATTACTTCTCTTTTGTCCTACTTTACTTGTTTGCTGAATCGAACCAGGTAGAACACATATTTCGAAATAGAAATTACTTCTCTCTGTTGTTCCATTTTGTTCTGTTTGAACAGTACGCAACAGCATATTTGAAATCTAAATAATCTCCATGGATCTTTCACAAAATAATAATAATAATAATAATAATTGTAATAATAATAAGTGATCTCCATGGATAAACATATTAATTAACAATTTCGTATTCTGGTCCATTTATGGTGTCTTCAACATCAGATGGATTGTCATTTAACTTGGGCTTTTCTTTTAGAAAGTGTTTTCATATAGGATGTCAAGTGAAGACTGACTTGATGTGTTTGTCTCTGGTTACATATAGGAAAAAATGCAATATTTATTTATTTATTTATTTTGTGCCAATGTTTTACTTGTTCTGTGGGCAGGAAATTATACAGGAGCAGATCACAAGAGTACTGTTGGAACGCCTAATAGTTAACCGTCCACATCCCTGGGGCCTTTTGATCACTTTCATTGAACTCATTAAGGTAATCATAGTCGGCAAATATTGCATTGCAGGGTCTGCAATAGTTGCCTTTTCTAATGAAAGTGATTTGTGTTTCCCTGCAGAATCCTAGATACAACTTCTGGAACCGGTCCTTCATAAGGTGTGCACCAGAGATTGAAAAACTCTTCGAGTCGGTGGCAAGATCATGTGGTGGCTTAAAGCCTATGGACGAGAGTATGGTATCTGGCTGGGTATCTGAGGGCACACATTGAGGCTTTCTCTAACGCCTGTTTGGATTTGCTCCTTTTGCATTCTTACAGATATTATTTTGTAGTTTACTGTTAAAACCAATTTTATGGCAGTATAGATTTGTACTGGATAAGACCGGCTTTTTAATTTTGTTATCTTTCTCAGCTATAGTTTACCTGAATTTTGAAACTGCAAGATAAAACTTGCAATAGTAACTGTAAAATGGTAGTTCGTTGAGTGCCGTTTCAAACATATGCAATTACCGATTAGAAATTATGATTACATCTCTTGGTCAATAATTTTCATACTATATTTTTTAGTGGCTTTTTATCATTCATTTTAACGATCTCATTCTGCCTTTTTGTAATATATGGTGAATGAAAGTAACATCGGGTAATGTACTGTTTAATTGCACAAGTTTGGTTTAAATAATTATTTCGCCTCTATTTTAATAAGCCTAAGATTTATTTATTTATATAGCATTTTGAGTGATTTTCACTGTTGGCCGGGAACAACTCCGAAACTGGTTTTTTCATAAAAACTTTCTTAAGTTAGCTCTGAATTTCCTCGGTCTTAAAAATGGAAACCTAATATCCACCAAACCAAAATAAAATAAAAGAATCTTCTTAGCATAATAATAATAATAATAATAATAATAATAAAACTGTAAATGTTTAATCATATCCACGTAATTCAAAAACGATATCCATTAGTACAATTTCCAAACCGACTCAAAATCCAAAATTCAACTTTCCCAAACTGATTCCCTACCATCAGTATATTTCTAAGCCTCTCTACGAACAAAGTAGAGTTTACCCACAACATGAAGGATTGCGACAAAAGCTATGAATCCGATGCTCATGATCAGTACAACATTGGGGGAGATCTTGAGTCCTGGTGCGTCATCAGTGTAAAATTGAAGCATAGTCCCTGCTGCTCCTCCTGAGGCCCCACCACTGGTTGTCCTCCTCCTACGCATACTTGCAGCAGCCGCTGCACTGCCTCTTGGGGGAGCTGTTCCTCCTAAAGCCATTTCTGTAACAATCACCAATTATCAAAATTCTTCATATCCATGTTTATGCAGGACACAGCATCTAATTCTTTATTGATTCATCACAGCAAGTAATACTTTCGCATATTGATTCTTCAAGTCCAATTCTTTATTCCCAGGTACAACATGCAATAACCAAATTTGTGCATCACTAGAGATGTGAAAGTACTAATTAAAATTTGCTACTCGTGGTGGACAGGGCATTAAACAGCGTGTCCAACAAGAAGCAAGAATCCCAGACAACAAAAACACAAATTCATCATTGATGTTTCTTTCAGTTTTTGATAGGGGAATGGTGTTGACTGGTGAATGGAAGCACCCATTTTGGGTTTTATGGCAATAATATGCGCATTAGCCAAACAGATTATGTGATTTTCTTGCACACGATATGCGAGCAAGCATCAAATTTCAACAATCAACTTCACAGCAGGATCAAAACTAAAAATTTCAAAACGAACAAGAAAAATAGAAAAGGCAACAACAGATCTCTTCAACCAATATTTCAGATACTTCTCCACGACCACAAGAATCAATGATAGGTTCAATGAACTACTGGTCTCAAAATCAAGTCGGTGTAATCCACATAGTACACAGATCAAATTGCGACAAGCTTCAAATATATAACCAAAATAGATCCGATCACAAGACATCTATACAAATTTCATTCCCAAAAACCAAGCCTCGACAGATGTATATTTCCACTTTTTCATAATAATTAAACCACTCTTAATCTACACCCACGGCAATAGCCATGTAAAGCAAAAAAAAACAAAACAGAGTACACACAACAATCACAATCGAATCTCACCAACGAAAATTAAAGTCAAAATTACTTATTTGATTCAGCCCTAATTAAACCGAGTACAGAATCACAAAAACTAAGCAACAAATCTATTTGAGATTGAGACCGCCTAGAAGTCGATAACCCTCCGAACAAAAACAGAAAAAAAAAAGAAGATCTCTTAGGATCTGAAAGCTAGATCTAATCTAAATCTTGAGAATCGTATATATCACAACATATTGAATTGGATCCAAAATGAGAAAAAAAAAATGAACGAAAAGAATTGAGAACACTTACCAGAATCAGGTCATAAAATTGAGGGATCGGCCGGAGTTGAAGATCAGTGAGGACAAAGTATAACTTACAGAATGACGATCTTTTCTGTTTATATGGCGAGGGTATCAGTACGCGTATCCTTCGTTTGATCGATGGGGCACCCAACTTTTCCACGCATGACTAACCAATCATGATCAGCCACGTCAGATTGTAGACAAAGTAGAAAACCTGCCAGCAATATGCGTTAATTGTGAAGATTTAAAAAAAAAAGTTAGTGAGTTTTATTATAGTTTGAAAAGTGAATTACAAAGTATTGCAAACATATAATTAAATAGCATAAAGATAAAAATAAAAAATAATTAAAATAAAATATTATGAACTCAAGGTTTATGCCAATAAAAAAATTATTAAATTAAATAATTTATTTAATAAAAAAATTTAGATTTAGATCAGCTAATGATAAAAGGTCAATACAATACAATACCAGCCTTATTTGGCGTTTATGAACGTTATATTTATTTAATGTAGAATTGTTTGAATGCTTTAGGCACAACACCAGCGAAACAGAGTTAGGAATAGAATAGAAGAAGAGTACATTCCATATGAAAACAGACAGGCATCAGGAAGCTGAGCCATTAATGGACAAATAGAAGTTAGAAGTAGCTAGGATTTTCCAATATTAGATTGATGGTATTCACCAAGCTCGTATAAGCATAGACATTCAATTAAGCAACAAAAATAGCAGTTGTTGTATCACCATGAAGTTGCAAAATTCAACTGTAAATTATTGTTACAAGTGGTAAAGATTGTATTTCATAGGGACTTATATCATGAATAATTTGATATATGTGGAGATTTACACTTTTGCTATAACTACCAAGTCAAATGGCTACAATGAATTAGAATATCTGACCTACTTGAAGGTTAGAAATAAAGAGTCCTAGCTTTTGAAATACATTATTTAGCTTGACATACACATCGCCCACATAAATCAAAAGGGGTGCTTATGGTTGTATGCTTCATATGACAACCCCACTCGCAGGCCCCTATTGAAAAGCTCTGGATAATCCTCCTCCACTGCAACAAAAAAATGTAAATCAATCACCAGAGAATGTCTATGGAGACCTCTGAACCATTTTGCAGCTGCCGTTTAATCATTAAAACATTCACCAATTGAATCCCAGATACTCATTGGCAACCAATGTGTTTAGCCCTTTAATCCCTTGAAAAATCTACCACCTTTATTTCCCACTCCAGTTCCAGAAAGATTTGACGAAAGAAGAGATCTCGAGTCTGGCCGCCATTTCAACTCTTTCAGAACAGAGAACAGAGATGCCAGGGCAGGACTCACTTCATTGTCCTTTATCTTGTTGCTTGATATTACTCTTAACCCCTGAAGCTCATTCCAGTTAAGAATAACTGCTTCCAAGCCTTCTGTTGTCAGCGATGAGCACCCTTCCAGAGATAGAAGCTTCACCCTCCTAGAAATAAAAAGATAAAGAACATTGAATCACAGTATTTTCAAGGGAATAGCTCATGTCTAAAGTAAATATTTTCATATAACAAGCATAAAGCATCACTGACGCTGAGGCTGAGTGGGGTCTCGCTTCAATGATTAGTATCAATACACAAGTGCACACAGTTGTACAAAATTTAGGTAAAACACCATAAGTGATCAAACTGTTCAATCAGTTATTGTATTTGTAAATATCAGCATACCCATGTGGGCTAAATATGAGGCTGTAAATGCAAGTATAAAAACAAAAAAGTAAAGGCTATAATAACTGATGGTAGATGTGTTCCCATGCATATAGCCTGTATACATGCATTTCTATTCATCCTATAATTGGTGATAAACTAAATCTACTTTTCTTTTCTAGCCTACTAATTGCTGGTGGAATTCCAGTACAAGAGCAACTCAACGGCATACAATTTAATTTGTGCAGAGGATTATGAAAGTGGAGACTGATTTCTCCAATTCCATCAGTCCTCATCTGTGGCTTGATTCGATTGTTATACTATGTATAATAATTGCTTCAATGTGATAATTAAGATTGTAAGAGTCGAAGATGAGTGAATTTGACTAATGAGAATCAAGTTAGGGTTAAGGGAACGTTCCTCTGCATACATTTCTACTGCAAAGCACCCTAACTTTTCATTCAAAAATAGAAATGCTAAAAATGGAACTATCATCCTCTATAACCAAAACATACAAAAGATGTTCAGTTGTGGAAAAAAGAACAAGCTCAACACAAATATTGCACCCAACATACACATTGAAATTATTGAAATTGACACCAATGAGCCATCCTCGTTTCTATGTTATAAATCACTTCATCCATTTCATTCCCTCAGTAAAACATGTAAAGTTAGAAATCAACAAAAGAATTGAGCAAGAAATCACAATAAGAAACCCTGTACCTTAAAACACTTGCAGTGCCGAAAACTTCATCCTCCAATCCCCAACAGTTCTGGAAAACAATCTCCCTAACAGCCTCACAAACTAAAAACAGAGCCTTAACACCAGGCTTATCCCGCATCTGACACTGCTGCAGATGCAGCTCTTCAAGAGTTGGACAAGTCCCCAAATGCTCATCAGGACCTGGACTTGAATCTATGCTCTTGCAGGACTGCAGCCTCAGAGTCTTCAGGTTACCACAAAATGACAGTGCCGCCAACCATCCACCATCCATTCTATGATCACAGAGAGTTAACTCCTCAAGCATTTGACAGCACTGTCCTATTGCTTTAATCCCATCATAGCTCCCTTCACATCCACACAACTCAAGCTTTACTAGCCGCCTACACCCTTGCGCTAATATAGTTAATCCAATATCAGACACCACCGAGCTATAAAGCCCCTCAATACAACCAATCAATTTTACCACCTGTAGATTCCTACACCCTGAAATACCCTTCAACGAGAAATCCTCACAGCAATGTAGCTCCAGTTCTTGCAATGTCTCGCACTTATTTGAAATACTTAACAATCCATTCTCGCTTGCTCCAATTGCAGCAAGTCTCCTCAAATTAGTGTACTGTTGGGCAATCATTTCAAGCCCACAATCAATCAAATCCGACGGTAACAGGTCATTCTCTTGGATAAACCCTCTATCAGAGAATTCAGTACTGACGTGAATAGACAAATTCTTGTGAGTCAACATAATACCAGAGTTTCGAGGAGTTCTAATACATGCGTCAACGATTCCCAACTCGGTTAGATTGGGGAACCGGTGAAATATCCGACCCGAATTAAGAAATGACCAGTCGGTAAGCTCGAGAGATTGTACCAAGCGGCCGTGAAGGTACAACCAGCGTTTGCAGACAAGAGAATTAGAGACATAATGAGAGATTGGGAGCCTAGAGAAAATTTGGAGGAGAATTTCGTCGGAGAGAAGCGATGTATGGTCAGGTCCTCGAGGGTCCAGTGTTAAGGGTTTGAACCCTGTCATTAACGAAAAGTCCGCCTCAGAAGGAGGTGATGCCGATTGACTAGCAGACAGAGATCTAAGGTGCATCTTCATAACTACATGCTTCAGCGATTGCTCTTTGTACCATTCGTCTGGTAAGCTTACGGCTCTGCTCCGCCTTGTAGTTGAAGGTGACCTTGGAGTTGGACAATGGTTAGGGTTAGGGTTTGGGCTCCTATCCGGTGATTGTAACATTTTATCTCGATTAGGTATTAGGGTTAGAATTGGAATTAGGGTGCCTCCTTTTTTTTAATGTTTACTGTTTTAAATTTTGAATTGCATCACCACCAGCTAGCTGCGTCCAGTTTTTTACTGCTCTCTGGTTCTTTTGTTTTTGTTTTTCCAATAGATTCGTAACGAAACAGACTTTTTGTTTGGATTTGTTAGATTTGTGGGGTTTGCATTTTATAATCCATTCATTTGCAAATGATTTTATTTGCTCCGGTAATGATTCAGTGTGTAAGCGACTATGATTAAATCTTTGTTACTTTCACTGCGTGCCTGGATGTTGGAGGGCAAGTGTTTCTTTCCATAAGAACTAGTGACGTGCTGCAATTTCACTGGGTCATTTGGGGCGTAATTATTTTGCTTGTTGCACTTGATTGGGACTCTCGAAATGATAAGAGAAATCATCTTTTCATGTTAGGGTGCATTAAAAAGCATTTAAAATCTTGTCTCATGTGAGGTTGCGACAATGGTAGCATTTATTTAAAATTTAAAAAGCTTCAAACAACTAAGCTTTTATGAGTGGATAAATAATTTTTCAGATTTTTTAACCTTTATTTTTTGTATGGATTATAAGGTCTAAAAAAAAAAAAAAAAAAAAGGTCTCGTATGCGGGGGCGAGCGGGGCGGGGAGACGCGGAGTGGTTCGGGAGGAGCGATCGGAGGAGGGGGGAGAGGGGCACGGGGGGGAGGGGGGGAGGAGCCGGGTCGTGCCGAACCAGTACGATCAACGTCACGGGAAGGGGAGATCCGGGGTCGAATCCTTTGCGTATAAGGAAAACCTCACCCTAGCCCGAAAAATCCTTTACATACAGTATTGAGAGTTCTTTCGATCAAGGTGGAGCATTAGGGCCTTCAACCTTGCGGGGAACATATTTTGTAATTCCGCAGGGATGAGGTACGTGAGCACAAATATCCTCTAGGATCTTGCTCAATCAGTATTGAGTCCAAGTTCTTGACGCATCACCGAGGATGTGCAGGCTCACTTATTGGGGTTCAGGGGATTGCATGGCAGTAGACTCGTGGTGGGGGACTCTCGAATGATAAGAGAAATTCATCTTTTCATGTTAGGGTCCTGCCATTAAAAAGCATTTAAAATTCTTGTCTCATGTGAGGTGCGACAATGGTAGCATTTTATTTTAAAATTTAAAAAGCTTCAAACAAACTAAAGCCTTTTATGACGTGGATAAATAATTTTTTCAGATTTTTTAACCTTTATATTTTTTGTTATGGATTATTAAAGGTCTAAAAAAAAAAAAAAAAAAAAAAAGTCACCTCCATGTTTTTACAACAAAACAAGTACACCAATTGTCACTTTTTAACATCCTAATCAACGAAACAAAAAAGTTATTTTCATTCTTGAATGTAACTATTTTTTAAATCATTTTTCATTTTCCTTTTAAGATGTCTAGAAAACAATGATTAATTTTCTTTTTAATTTAAGTTCATTTAAAAAGTGAAAAATATCTTATTTTCCTCCCATAAAATCAGATTTATTTTTATGTTTTTGAATTAAAAATAATAATTAACTTTATCTGGACACTAAAAATTAATTAAATAGAAAAATTCTTAATAATAAAGTATATTAAATATCACCGAGGTATGAAACACAAGAGTGTACCAACAAGAACTATTTCCACTAATCAGACCTCTCAATCGATCAAAAAATAAAATATATTAAATACTAACGTATTAGATAACCGATTGATTAATGTTTTGTGGAAAATGTTTTTTTTTTTTTTTTTTTTAAATTTTTTTTTTTTTTTTTTTTTTTTTTTTAAATTTTACATCATACTGGTTTAGAGAGACGATTGGACAGAGAAGGTATTATTCAGTCGGTGATTTATTGAGCTGGAGTGGGTGGCTGGAGAGACTGAAAGTTGGTGGGAGCAGAGGAGAGAAAATAAAAGAACGAGAAAATTAATAATTATGCATTAAAAAATATAATTTTCTTTTCGATTTCATTTTGTATGATACAATTACAAATAATTTTTTAAATTTATTTATCTCTGTAAATATATAAAATAGCAACACATTTTTAGGTGCTTAATTAGCAAATAAAATAAATTTTATATTATTTTTAATCACAAAAAAACCCTAAATTTTGTGGGACAAAAATAGATTAGGTCTTTTCAGAATTATATGTAATGAATTTAATAGGGTAAAATAATAAAAGCAACACAAATTGTTAATTAGTGTATAAAATGGAATCTGGATTATTATTTGCAGAAAAGGGAAGTGTAGAGTGCTGTATTTCAGTATTTGCAAAATTAGGGTTTCTCTTACTATCACTTCCAAAATCTATAATTTAATATTTATTTTCTTTTCTAGAAAAATATTTTTTTATAAAAAAAAAAAGCTTTCATAATGCAATAAATCTTAACATGAATATTAAATTTTCTAATTAATAGTAATCTGGCATGTATGTTTTTGAAAGTTTAAAAATATGATACTGTACACAAGATAATGCTAGTAATTTTTGGAAACATTTAAAAAAAAAAAAAAAAGAACATAATGAAACATAAAACTAAATGTAGTAACGACCTTATTTACTGGCACTCACCTGTCAGTAAATAGTATCAAATTCGTGGACTCTCTTCAACTGTCAAGAAGCCCACAAATATATTGGACTTTGAGCCGTTAAAGCCCATTAGCAAATAGACAAGCAGTAACAATCCAATTTTATGTTTTTCCTACGAACCGTATTGTATTTAAAGTTATAGTTGTAAGTGTATTTTAAATTGACTCAATATATAAATTCACCCATAAACTTTGCAACTTTAGCCTTGTGGCACTGTAAATTTTGCGAATGAGTTACTGTACACTTGAACTTGTAAATTTTAGTAATATTACACACCTTTCGATACTAACATCAATAATTTTTAAAGTTTTTGACTTTTTACATAATATCGACTTTATATGTAGTTAGCATGAGTTCTGAAATAATAATTTTCATAAACTTTAATTTTTAATGAGTGTATAATTGATCTAATTTTATAAGTTGAATTTTCATAAACTTTAATTTTTAATGAGTGTATAATTGATCTAATTTTATAAGTTGAAATATTCAATAAAATAAATTTAAAAATTAAAGTATTTAATAAGTATAATTTTATAAATTAAAGTATTTGATGGATCAAAATAAAAGTCGAGGATGTCACAAAGTTAAAATAAAAAAGTTTATGGATAAAATTATATATTCAGCAGTTTTAAATTACAATATTATAATAATATATTTGGAAAAAGAAGACTTGAAGTTAAAAGAAAATGAAAAATGGCAATCAATAAGACGACCTAATTCCTAACTATGATGATAGGATAAGATAGCGACGAGTCACACACGAATGGTGCAAAAAAATTTAATTTGGTTCTCAGAGTAACTTAATTTGGAGGTATACATATTTGTCAATGAAAGGTCAACCATTAGTTTATTCACTCTTTATTATGAGAGAGCGTTACTTGGGTCTGTCCAGCGGAACGCGCCGACATCGCAACTTGTAACTCGAATGGGACCTGGGACCATGCAAATTTTGGAGGTTCCGTTCCGATCAGCATCAAAATTTGACTACCGCCTGAATTTACTTTATTTTAATTAATTGGATAATTAACCAGCATAGCGCACATGGATTTTCACTTTAATTCGAATTTTTTAGCCTACTTTTGTTTAGGAAGAATAAATTTATCTTTAAAAAATATTTTCTGTTGTTTAATTTTAAATTAAAAATATTCATACATTTAGAAATTGAATATTTTAAAAGTTTATTATTAAATATGAGAAAATAACATATGAAAATAATAAATTATGTTGGATAACAATATTAAGATGCTGTTTCTATACGAGCATGAAATAATTATATTCACACAAATAGATAGAAATAGCATGGTGAGGTTAAAAAAAGCATGGAAGGATAGAATTAAGACTTTAGAATTTACTTTCTTATAGTTTGGTACTTGTCTATCTATAAAGTAAAAGTAGAAGAGCATCTTGTGACGGCCCGCATAAACAGGGGCATGGCACTGATGATTAGCGACATCGAGATGAATTTACAGGAACCGTGTCTAGACTCTAGAGTCGGATTATTATCCGCTGCAATTGCTATCGCAAGGAATAGGAATTAGTCCAAATCTGGCAGTCAGGATTATTACATCCAAACTGCCCAAAGTAATTCCTGGAGTGAGCAGACGATGGGCCCCGATGTCCTTCAATTTGAAAGGCCTGCCGAATAACATCTTGAACCTCAGCCCGACACTATAGACTATACCGATTTGTTCAAGCAGCCTCCATTTTATACATATATTTTATCATATATATATATATATATATATATATATATATATCATATATTTAGAGAAAATGGATTATTTTACGTATGTTTTTAAGGAAAGAATAAGGGATGATAATTTAATATATATATATATATATATATATCATATATTTAGAGAAAATGATTATTTTACGTATGTATTAAGGAAGAATAGGGATGATAATTTAATAAAATCATAATCCTTTTTCTTTTTCTTTTAATTAAATTCATTAATATTTTGTGTAAGTGTGTTAATTGACAATATTTTTTAAAATCAATTACAATTAAAAATTTACCTCTTACGCTCATATTTCATATTGAAGAGTACACACGCATATATAAGAAATATGGTCATATGATTTGCTCTTTTATCTTTTTTACTACCATAACTATTTCTCCACTTTTATATAAGGAGTTGAATAAAGATTAACCTCTTTTAGATTGGAAGTAATTATATTTAAAATACTTTTCAAAAATATTGATTCCGCGATCATTAGCTTACATTGCCGCACTCTTTTGATACGATCAAATATATTTGAAACTGTTAAAAATATATAATTCAATATTAAGCATATAAAATCTGGCAATAAATTCAAATTTGAAGTGCGAATGAAAAAAATAAAAAAAAAATGTTAAAAAGTGCATCATATACTGTTACGAAATACATCCCATTCAATACTTAAAAATTAATATGTGTCGTATTTGCAATCTACGATGAGCTTATCATTGGAAAGTTGTGATTACGGATTTACGGGGAAAGCTTTGGGTTGACGGAGGCAGCAGCACTTAAACGTAGGCCCACCTCTCCTCCTCAATTAATACCTCAGTTTTACTGCATATGACCAGAATATCTGCCTCCACTCTCAAAATACAAAAACGTTCTTATCTTTCTTTCACAGGCCACCAAATACTTCCTTCCTATACCATAATGCACGATTCCATTCCCACAACCTGAAAAGCTCTCACCCACATCAACCAAACATCAATTTCTATTTTGTAGAAGCAGAATATTATACTATTCTCTTTCTCTCCCTTATTTCATTCCATTGTAAATGTCACTGCAACAAATTAATTAAATACAGAAAAATGAGCCAGTGCGTCCCCAGTTGGAATCTTGACGACAGCAATCCCGCTCCTGCCAAGCTTTCTCTTCGTTCTCACTCCAATTCCACTGCACCAGATGTTCCTATGTAATTATTTTTCTTTCACTTCTTTCAAATTCTACAGGAACATGATACATCTTTATTTATCTATACGTGATTAATGAATTCTATCTCTAGTTGACGATTGGCTGTCGTTTTTACAGGTTAGACTACGAAGTAGCTGAGCTGACATGGGAGAACGGTCAGCTGGCTATGCACGGACTAGGTCCACCGCGAGCGCCAGCCAAACCGTTAGCTTCCGCTTCTCCTTCCAAATACGCCTGGGACAAGCCACGCGCAAGTGGTACTCTCGAATCCATAGTCAATCAAGCTACACGCTTACCCCAACGCAAGCTTGGTCTGGATGCATGTGGATCAGACGAGCTTGTCCCATGGTTCGAAAACAACCGTGCAGCCGCCGTCGCCGCCTCTTCAGCTACCACGACTATGGACGCCTTAGTCCCTTGCTCTAATCGGACTACTGATGACCGCAAAAAGCGAGCGATGGAGTCCGTGCCGGCACTAGGCAACTGCGTGGTAGGGAGTTCTACTCGTGTGGGGTCGTGCAGTGGGCCAACTGCCACGCAAGATGAAGATGCTCTCCTCACTGCGAAACGCGCGAGGGTGGCGCGTGTTCCAGTTGCACCCGAGTGGAGCAGCAGAGACCAAAGCGTAAGCTGTAGCGCAACTTTTGGGAGAGATAGCCAACACGTGACACTGGAGACGTGCGAGCCAGACCTTGGTATGGATTTCACATCCACTTCTTTTGGGTCACAAGAAAATACCAGCTGCGGCAAGCCCGGCACCAAGACGGCCACCGTGGACGAGAATGACTCAGTTTGCCACAGTAGACCACAAGTAAATTATTGCTTAAAATTTCTTTAAAGAACTTTTTTATATCAAGTAAAATTAAAAAAATATTTATCTTATTTTTACAAACCGTGTTTCATCAAATTTAATATAATTATGTAATTGGAAGCTAAAATTGATGAATATTTATTTTGTTTCTTCAAAAGAGGGAGGAAGCAGACGAGGAAGACAAGAAGAAAGGAAACGTGAAATCATCTGCTTCGACTAAAAGAAGTAGGGCTGCTGCTATTCATAACCAGTCTGAACGTGTATGCTCCCTCTCTTTTGGATTGTTATTTTCATTTCATACTCATTGTTTAAATGTTACTAACCTGTGTATGGTGTGTCTCCGATTTAATCAATAAAAAAAATGTCGAATTAAACTTAAAAAAATGAAATTAACAACAAGAAATAGAACAGGAAAGCTTCATAAATGATTCATTCACCATCGTCATCATTAATTTCACAATTAAATATAGTCAGAAAAGGACAAAGGAGGCAGCTTCATTATATATTAAGTATATTTTTTGAAGCATTAGGGTACTAAAAATGAAATTCATTTTGTTTTAGAGTTCGTAATTGCCCTATTATATACGTTTTAGCATGAATATTTTAGAAAATATTTTCTTTTGGTATTGTTTGAATATAAAGAAAAAAAAAACTTTAAATTGATATAAAAATATCTTTATAAATATAGTTCTACCGGCATATTCCTATTTACAGAGCTGAATATTATAAAAGGGTAAATTATTATATAAATTAAAAATGAGTTCGTTTTCATGAAATGATTTTCTTCTCATCACATCATTGCAAGACTGTTTATGTTTGAGTTCACCAATTATAACTTCTCTCGCATTTTATTGCCAGAAAAGGAGAGACAAAATAAACCAAAGGATGAAGACACTGCAGAAGCTGGTCCCAAATTCCAGTAAGGTACGGAGTTTAATTGCCTGTTTGTTTATATTTCAATAAGGCCTGCAAATTTTATCCCTGCATTAAAAGCTCTTAACTAATAAATACTAACGCGCACTTATCAGCTGACAATTTTTTCCTTCAGTCCTAATTGCATTTATTAATAGGCCTCTTGATTATATCATTTTAGTTTACAGGTATGTAAGGATCCTGGAATGTTTAGGAAGAAAAGGAAAACTACTGATTTAACTGTATTCCTACTTATCATGATAAACAAATATATATATCTTATAATTTTTGCAAGTGCAGTTACTTTCAAGCTATGGTATTTCGTTTTCGCATTATTTATTTTTTTGGGTATTATCAAATTGAACAAACTATAAAGTTAGTTTCTAAATATCCATTGTTAGTGGTATTAAAACTATTCTTTCGTCTCCAAAATACTATGAAACTGACTCAATTGAGTTGCAAAGTAATCCAAAAGAAAAGAAGATAAAAAGGAGAAAGAAGAAAGAACCAATGGATATGTATTGTCATGCAAACCCACTTGACTGTCATATTATATTCATATTTTATTCTGACTTGTGGGCTAGGCGACTATCATATTTATTCTGACTTGTGGGCTAAAGGGTATCTCTATTTTTCATGTGCCTTATCCTTTGTATGTATTGGTACAGCTACTTTTTAATTTTTAATTTTTTTTTATTTTTTAGGTATTATGCAACTTTAGGTTTCCTATTATTCACATTTCAAGGTCAGATACCTTCACATGGATTAAATGATTAATTTCAGATATTGAAAAAAAAGAAGAAGAAAAGACACGTCCCGCTTAGTTGTAACTTGTTACTACACATGGAATTACTCTAATGACAAATACTACAGCAGACAAAAGAAGGAAAAAAAAAAAAAAATGTGGTCTAAACTCTTTGGCATATCAAATGGCTGTGCCGTATCTTCGGACTGGTTCAGTGATTGTAGTCCACATAGCCAATATTGCAATGGGGACAACTTGACAGACGGTTGTTTGGTGTGGAGACAATATCCTGCTACCACATAAACTCATCTCCAATATGCAGGCCCTATATATGTCCTTCCCTCTTGTTCATATATACAAGTCGCTACCAGTCATTTAATTACAACTTCCCAACAGATTTACAGAACACCAATAATATAGTTCCATGATGGCTAAGTTAATCAATTATTAGTTTGTTGGTTAATGATAATATGACGTCATTTTCTTGCTTAATTTGTTTTAGACCGACAAAGCTTCCATGCTGGATGAAGTGATAGAATATTTAAAGCAATTGCAAGCTCAAGTACAAATGATGAGTAGAATGAACATGCAGCCGATGATGTTGCCCATGGCAATGCAACAACAACTCCAAATGTCTATGTTGGCTCCAATGAACATGGGTATTGGTATCGGAATGGGTATGGGCGTTGTCGATATGAACTCAATTAGCCGTCCAAATATTGCTGCTGGCATCTCTCCAGCTCTTCACCCTTCCGCTTTTATGCCTGTTATGGCAGCTTCATGGGATGGCTCCGCGGAACGCTTACAAGCTGCTGCGTCTACAACTGTTATGCCTGATCCTTTATCTGCATTCCTTGCTTGCCAGTCACAGGTACGCATAAAAATTTTGTTAATTAATAAAACATTTTTCATTTATAACTAAAGAATAATTAAACTCTAATCTGGGAATTCCAGCTTGACAAAGTAGTAGCTCATAATTGGGTGTAACCAACTATAGCTAAAAAGTAGAAAAGTAATAATGTATAATATTTATGAGTGGACTGGTTGACTAATGTGCATGTACGAATATTTTGCAGCCAATGACAATGGATGCTTACAGTAGGATGGCTGCCATGTACCAGCAACTACAACAGCAACCTCTGCCTGCTTCTAGCTCCAAGAGCTAAGGTGGAGGCATCAGGGAAATTGCGATCCAGCCAGTTCAGATAAAGCTTGTCGTTAACTGGTCATGGATTTGAGTGCAAGCGTCTGTAGCGGTGTGTTAAGAGGCATATATTCGGTTTCATGTACTTTAACCCTTACAGATTAATCAGCGACTTGTGTATGATATTTTTATTTTTCCAAATTTTCATTCATTATTTTCTGGCCTCTACATATATAACCAGTGCTTTTGGATATTTCCCACCTTAGATTATACATATATCTTTTCTATTTTAATCTTTTTTCCACGGTTTCTTAATCCTCAATAAATTATGAGTCTCTGTAATTAATAATACACAACTTACTGGGAGCACTTCCTTTTTATAGACTTAACGCCACAGTAAGATTAAGTTTAGCTTAATGGTCAAATCACGTCTGCCGTATTAAAAAAAAAAAAAAAAAAAAAAAAAATAGACTTAACGCCACTATAAGATTAAGTTTTATGCTTAATGGTTCAAATCACGTCTGCCGTATTTAAAAAAAAAAAAAAAAAAAAAAAAAGAAACCCTTAAATCTAAAAAAAAAAAAAAAAAAAAAAAAAAACCCTTAAATCTTATACTACAAATTAAAATCCCTCACCACAAATTTAATGGAATTCATATATTTCAATTAAAAAAAAAATTTGTTGAAAGAGAAAAATCTCCAACAACTTGTCCGAGTAAAAAAAAAAAAAAAAAAAAAAAAAAAAACCCTTAAATCTTATACTACAAATTAAAATCCCTCACCACAAATTTAATGGAATTCATATATTTCAATTAAAAAAAAAATTTGTTGAAAGAGAAAAATCTCCAACAACTTGTCCGAGTAAATAATTGAACCAGGTTATTCCTAATATACATAAATATTTATGATAAAGAAATGATTAAGCATTCGATAACGCGTGAAGGCAGTCATGCAAATTGCAAGTTATAGTAACAAGAAAACACGAAGCATGCAATGTTTACGAAAAGATAAACATATAAATGATTGGATGCTCATTTGTCAACTTGGATTTCGCATTCGCCACGCGTTTATTCAGTAACCTAGATTATTATGCTCTTCTGCCAATGACTTGGACCTAAATAAATTTTATCACTGTTACTCATAATTTTAATCACTGTATGTAAAGATGTACATAGAAATGGGTTTGTCTTTTCGTTCTTAGCCATCAAATTGTCATCATTATTATTAGGGACCTCATATTATTGGTCTCTGATATTTTTCTCTCTCTCTTTTTTTTTTTTATATATATTGAAATGTCCAAATTTTAATCTTAAAAAAATAAATGTTTAAATAAAAAATTTATTTTCATGCAGATGCATTTGATTGAAAACTTTTTTGTCAGAATACTAAAATAATAAATAATCTACTGGACCTCTAGTGAATAATATAATAATAATAATAAAAAGCATTGGGTTACATATATATGTTCCCTGAAATGTGTCTAACTTGTTTTCTTGGGCTTTTCCTTTTTCTTTTTTTAAAAAATAATAGCAATAATAATATAAATAATAATTTTACAAGTTTTGACCGCATATTTTAAAAGTGTAATTAATTATGCATGAAAAAAATAAATAGATTAATACTATTTTAACGGTGGTGCTAGCTGTAACATGAAATAAAATTAGCATTGATTTTATAGTAAAATTAAATGAAAATTTTTAATTTTAAGAAAGGCAATTTAGGTATTTTACTATGTAATTTCAGAAAATGAATGTATTTTATTTTTTTAATTTTTATAAAAAAATAAGATATTGACAGATGAAGTATAGCTAATACAAAGAAATGATTGTTGAACAAAGCATCTATGTTTTAAGGGAAAAAAGTTTTTTTTTTTTTTCTTAATAAAATTAATACGGGCCCAATATGCTTTAAAGACTGGCTGTAACATCATCGAAAATGGTGTGTTTGGATATGCGAATGAGACGGCAACCCACTTGGTATTTTCTTGTGCTCAATGCTACTAAATAAAATTAATATATAGAGGAAAAGAGGATAAATGATAATGGAAGGAACGCTTGGGCTGTAGGAAAACCACATGCTTTGATTTATATTGAGGATGAGAATCTAATTATCTTTTGCTTCAGCAGATTTGGTCTTCTCTCCCCTTATAACCAAACGTCCGTGTCTTTCCTTTCATCAAAAGTTGTTTTCTTTGAAAAGCAGTTTGATTAGGGCTTTCAATGTTGCCGTGTAGCTTAGGACCATTCAACCAAACAGGAGATTCTTTCAAAGATGATAAATAATCCGAGTTTTAACTTACACTGACACGATTTAGGGTAATGCCATTGTTCAAGGAATCGACTAATCTCAGACAAGAGCAGTGTAGGTTCCAGTACTATTTTAATAGGCCCACTGGGCCTATTGCTTTAGGTCTTAGAAGAGATGCATTTCTATGGCCCTTACTTCTAGTATTGAAGTACGACAGGCCCACAATCGGCTCAGCCGTGTTGCAACTTGAGGGGATCAAAGGCTGGACCCAGATAATTGTTGTATAGTGTGTTCTTCAAATTGGGCTGGACCCTGACCAATTAGAATAATTATTTTATTTTATTAATTATTATTATTATTATTTGGCAACCACTGTTCGAGTAGAACTTGTTATGTGGGCCAAGCTTTTTAAGAGTCAGAAGGCAACAATTTTAGTTACAAGTTTTGGGAATTTATGTTGTGTTAAGTGTCAACTGATTAAAATATTTATCTAATTTACATTTTATTTATATTTTAAATAATATTTCTTTTTATGGTTGACTTTCTAATTTCCTATTAAAAATGAAGATTAAACGTCATGTTGAATTGAATAATGACATTAGAATATTTTCTATCAGCAAAAAGAAAAAAAAATTTTTTTTTTTAAAGTTATAAACCAAAGTGTAGCCTGTAAAGTATATATAAGATTTGTTAACAGATCCGCGTCCAAATTCCTTCCTCCGACACTAAAAAAAAAAAAAAAAAAAAAAAAAAAAAAAAAAAATAAAAAAAAAAGATAGAGAAAGTATTAAGATCTAAATTGAGCACTAAAAGATCCTATGTTGGGAAAAAAAAAAAAAAAAAAAAAAAAAGATAGAGAAAGTATAAGATCTAAATTGAGCACTAAAAGATCTAATTGGTAGGCAAGTGAAATCTGTGGACGAACATTTATTGGGTTACCCAACACAAGTTGGCCCGTTTTAGATTTTGAATCTTTGATATCCAACACTACACTTATATTACATGGGTCCATTCATTTTTTCTGCTAGGCCAGGAGAGCTCCACCAGACTTATACTTCACCGGATATTTTTCTATCTTGGTGGACAATTTGCTTTTAGGTCCATTGTTCATTAATTCTGTGTTTGCAGTCACTTCCACTATATAGCATTAGCTGCAAAAACGAGGCTAAGAAGTGAACTGAAATGAATTTAAGCTTTTTTTTTAATTAATTATTGAATTAAAACATATAAGTAACATTATATTATAATGTAATTAATAACATCAAAGTATACCCTAAAAAGAAACATCAAAGTATTAAAATTCTGAAACAAGATTAGTTTTATGTTCAAATTCGGAAACAAATACTCGTGGGAGTATTATATATATATCAAACAACGAAAGGAAGAGGAAGAGGAAGGAAGGGTATAGTCCTATGGTGCTTGGATGGACAAGATGAAAGATATGGCAGGTGGCTCAAGTTGCAAAACGAGATTCAACGATATAGATAGATAGATAGATATAGGTCAAGCAATTGCACGTGTGATTAGTAATAGACCCACTTTGGACTTCTCATTCACAAATCTCAATGCGTCTAGTTATGTGGGTCCAAAAGTCTTACATCTAGTCCAGAGACTCCAGCTATCAACTGAGACTTCTCCTCTGTTTCAATGCCTATTGGCATTTTCTTACTCCCCCTCAAACTCAAAAGCCCACTGTCGGCGAGCTCATACAGTATTCATACCTCATACGGACCGTAAACTCTAGACTCTATATATTAATTAATATAATAATACTTGGGTATGGAGAAAGCTTAGCTGTTTTGTCTGTACTTTGGCTTTACATAGAGGAAACACTCAAATCTTTTATAATATTGATATTATCTTTGCTTCCAACCACCTTCCAAATGTCTTTAGTTCCTTTCTTTATTTACTTTCACAGCTTAAGCATCCTCTTCCAACTCTCTCTATATAAATCTTCCTAAACCCTCCCCATTTTCTGCGAGTACTGCCCACTTCTTTTATCTCCACAAAAAAAAAAAACACAATTCTCAGGCTCAAATGGCTTCATCTTCTCTTGCAATTTCTCCAAGAAAGCTTCGATCAGATCTATACGCCTATTCTTACCAGAATGACTCGAATACCCCATTAGTCATATCTGTTCTTTCTTCCCTGATTGAGAGAACCATGGCTAGGAATGAAAGAATTGCGAGAAGCTGCAGTTGGGCATTATCAAAAGATATTAGAAGTGGAGTGTTTGATTGCTATGAGACTCCAGACATGACAATTCAATCTTATCTTGAAAGAATTTTCCGATACACTAAAGCTGGACCCTCTGTTTATGTTGTTGCTTATGTTTACATTGATCGGTTTTGCCAAGCCAATCCTGGATTTAGAATCAACGCCAGAAATGTACATAGGCTTCTCATCACAACAATCATGGTCGCTTCTAAATATGTAGAGGACATGTAAGTTCTTCTGTTATACTTTTTCTTTTCTTTTTTTAAAAAAGAAAATTCAAGATTGAGTTCGAATTTAATCTCTGGTTATTAATTTCTTGAACAGGAATTATAGGAATTCTTATTTCGCAAGAGTTGGAGGATTAAATACGAAGGAGCTGAATAAATTGGAGGTTGAATTTTTATTCTTGATGGGTTTCAAATTGCATGTGAATGTGAGTGTTTTTGAGAGCTATTGTTGCCATTTAGAAAGAGAAGTGAGTATTGGAGGAGGCTATCATATAGAGAAAACTTTGAGATGTGCAGAGGAAATCAAATCAAGGCAAAACGAACACAAAAGATATATCAATCAAATTGCAAGAATTATGTTGTAGACTATAATTCTCTTTTTTTTAATTTTGCCTGTCGTTTTAGGAGAATGGGTAATTCTTATGTACAGTACAGATTGAAATGTATAAATATGTGTGATGGTTTCCTGGGATTTTAGGCTTTGCTCAAACCAGCGATGTATAACTATTCGGGTTCTTACTTTTCACAGAAGGAAATGTTTCACCTGTTAGGAATTGTGGCTTTTACACTAATTTATTATTACATTTTATTTTATTATGGTTCACCAAATAGAGCACAAATGAAATACTGAGTTTGGGAACTTACGAACATAAACATGCAAACGTTATTTCATAGCAGAATGAAAAAACCAAAAAAAATATATATATATAATAATAATAATAAAAATAAAAGTCTGTGACTTATGGAAGGGAGGGAAAACTTTCCATTCTGTCGGTGACGATAAAGAAGAATCCTTTTTGTGAGAGAGAACCGACTAATTCTTATGCATACGATCATTAATTGCTGCAGGTTATGTTACTTACTACATTAAGGATCCTATTAAACTTATGGAAATGGGAAACAAAAATGAGATTTCCGTCACATTTAGATAAAAATAAAAATAAAATTGGGCAGCAATATATTTTTTCCAAATGTTTTTTATATGTCAATAAAATAATTTCTTGCACAATGTCAAATTATTCTCTTAAATAAAAAATGCAATAAATTAAAAAGAAAAAGAAACATTTTTGTCATGATGAAATTCCAGAAACAATCCCGATCAAGAACGTAAAATGATTTTTTTTTTATAAAAAATGCAACACATGCTAGTACTTATATGTTTATTATTGGCAGAAAGGCATAAAATCACTTTAGGCTGGAACTCTGCTGTGATTCACACATCACTTTGATTAGTAAAATTATTATATAGCCAAGTCGTTCATGAGAAGCGGATTATTATTGGCCTAAATTCTTAATTAATTGAACAGAATAATTGAAATTTTAATAAATATATAACACCTTCTAGGATTTGTTTCAAAAAAAAAAAAAAAAAAAAATAAGAAAAAGAAAAAGAAACATTTTTGATCACATGATGAGATTCCAGACAACGAATTGTGCCCGATTCAGATAGAAAAACGTAAAAATGAATTTTTTTTTACGTAAAAAATGCAACACTATGCTAGTAACTATATGTTATTAGGTTATTGGGCAGAAAGGGCCATAAAAAATCATTGTAGGCTGGACTGCTGCTGTGATCACACATCACTCTTGATTAGTAAATTATTAATATGCCGAAGTCCGTTTGCCTGAGAAGCGGATCTATATTGGCCCTAAATTCTTAATTAAATTGAACAAGTAATAATTGAGATGATTGTTAATTAAATAGTATACACACGCTGTCTTAAGCGATTTTGTTTCAAAAAAAAAAAGAAAATAAAAAAAAAAAATTCTAATTTTTGAAAAGATCTGTTCTTATCAATATAAAAAAAAAAAAAAAAAAAAAAAATTCTAAATTTTTGAAAGATCTGTTTTATCATATAATGAGTCTTATACAGCTTCACTGTCATGCAAGTTGCTAATAATGGACAACCAACTTGGATAACATGATGGGTTTTTTTTCTTTTCCTATTTATAATTGTATAATTAAAGATTAATTATAAAACAACGCCCCTCAATCCAGGTGGATTTATGTGCTATTTTGTGGATTTTTGAAAGACTACTAGATGAAATTGAAACTTTTTTAAAAAAATATATATTTTTTTATTAGTTCTCATTGTATCAAATTTTGGAATCTTTTCTTACAATTACTTATTGGAAATCCTTTGGGGTAGTCCAAACGGAGATGGAAATTTTATAGAGAGTAAAGCTCTTCTCAGCTATTCAAAGCTTAACGAAGGTGCTGATGCAGTTAACAGTTGCTAAATTTTATTTCTTACTTCTTATTGGAAACAAGGTTAAGGGGTGTTGTTGAGATGCACTTATGATTTATCTCTTAATAGTGCCAATTGTTTCTCAATGTTATGTATGCAGAAAAGGGATTTAAAGCTTAATTATCGCGATTTTATGTAGATCACATTGCCTTCTTCTGATTTGGACCAGTTAATTTCACATAATGAATACCGTAAAATTTGATCACTGATCTGTTCCCAAATGCCAGACTGTGAGGATAGTAAGCTGGTAGCCCTTTTCAGGTACTTCTAATTGGTGGAATTTTGTCTAATGGAAATGGTTTGTTTCTTTTTATTATTATTAATTTGATACTGATAGTCCATATTTCACTTTCAGTCATCAAAGGTTTTATGATTTATTTTGCTTTTGTATGATTATGAAATTTTAGCATCATCTTTTCTACTAAAAACATAGTTTGAAAGTCTGTGAAATGCAACTAATAAAGAGAAAAATTCTTCACTTGGATTTCTCTTTTGAAGTATACGTTGATGCTTTCAGGTATATAACAATCATCATTTCCTTGAACTTAGCTGCTTAGATAGCTCTTTTAGGTATGTGCATTTATTCTACTGTTCGTTGCTGTTACATATTTGTTTTTAAAAAGGGGGAAAAAAAAAAAAGTCTCTTTTGGGTTTTTTTTTTTTTTTTTTTTTTTTGTTTTAAAAAAGGGAAAAAGCAAAAAAGAAGTCCTCTTTTGGGTTTTTTTTTTTTGTTTGTTTTTTTTTAATTTTTTTGAAAAGAGAAAAAAGAAATTGGGGATTATCCAATTAATCGTTCCACGGGAATAAGTGTTTCTTTTTTAATTGGTTCGGTCTTCTGCGCTAACCAGGAAGAAATACCTCCTCTTCCATACAATTATGTTTTTTTTTCCCTTTTTTTTTTTTTTTTGTTATTCGTGCTTCTCGATGGATCGGGAAATAAGAGAAAATAAAGTAATGTTTTTCTTTTTTTTTTTTTTTTTTGTGCTTCTCGATGGATCGGAAAAGAGAAAATAATAATGACTCGATTTGTGGCCGTGGGTGTACGATTTAGCTTCTTTTGGGAGAGATTGAGTCTAGAAATGATCGTTACCGTGGCAACCATGGATTCCGGCGAGTTCGCACCGTCTCCGGCATTCTCAGGTGTTAAGGTTAGTTCCGGTTGGTTGCTTGTCATCTCTTAAACTCTTTCCCTTTGTAAATTTTTATTATAGGTTGTTGAGCAGTTTAAATTTGAAAAAAAAAAAAAATTGGGGTTTTTTATGGAAACATTCAAATATTTAGAAATTAATAGCATGATTGGGTTCCTCTTGAATTTTGAACGTTTTGCTCTATATTATCAATTGAACGTTGTAATTTTGTGTTGTTCAGCTTTAATGTTAGCGTATTAATCTCTCTCAGATGGTCCAAGTTACTTTACCTCTCCATTGAGCTTTTATCATGAATGCCAATATCTACAGTTTAAAATCTTGACTGGTATGAAATTTTGATGTGCATTCTTTATATTTGCAACTAGTGACTGCTTAACAAGTTCCTCATTGGAGGGTTCCATTGATTTGTACTTTGCATCCAACACGAATTGAACCTTCAAGTGTCCCAGTTATCAGTTGAGTGCTTTAGCCTGAACTGAAGGAATAGAAAGGAAGGAAAGAGACAAAGACTGTAATGGTTGAAATAGGAGTTAATTATCATCATTTCCTGCTACTGTTTAAGGTTGCTTTGTCTATAGTATTATTACAATCAATTGCACTTGCGCTTATAGTCTAAAAGAATTGACCTGCTTTAGATTCTTATAATACTATTACTTTTGTTTGATTTGACAAATTAACAATAATATAATAAGAAAGCCATTATGAGTATTTTGTCCTCAAAAGAAGACAGCTCTTGAAAGGAAAGAGGAAAGAAACAGGGCATTGAAGAGACAATTGTACTTGCATATTCGGATTTAGGTTAGATAATTAGACATTACTTTATTCTTATTTTTTAAAGAAAAAGGTTTAGTGGTTTTGGTCATTTCAAATTGTAATTACATGAGGACACTCACCTAATGCTAAGCTTAATTATATGGTGTTTGTTTAATTAAAGAAGTGGGTCTATTACCAACCGACGAACTTGATTCTAAAGATTTGGTTCATTGGATAGTATTTGTTCATAGATATTTGTCGAAATATATTACATCAATCATACATTTGTAATCTCAATTATCACTTTTTTTTTTTATGTTTCCAAAATTTAAATTTTGGACTCCTTTTTCAAATTGTCTACTATTCTATTAGGACATTAAATAAGATTAATTTTTTAATTATTTGAAAAAAAAATAAGATAAATCGATGTGTGAAGTATTTACATCTAAAATATTCATAACGTTCAAATTACAAATGGAGTAAATTTATCATACTACAAACACTCTATAATCATCATATTTTTTTTATAAAAATAATTTAATATACTTAGTTCAAGATCCAAACAGCTTAAAATGATGTTTGAAATCAAATTAAATAAAAAATAATTAGTACCTTCAAATGTCTCATAATTATATAAGGACTTGGGTAGAGCTACCACAAACTTTTTTTCTTTTTTTTTTTTTTAAAAAAAAAAAGAAAAACTGTGGGTAGAGCTACCACAAACTGTTTTATCTCTTTTTTTTGTTTTAAAAAAAAGAAACTTTTTTTTTTTTTTTTAAAAAAAAAAAGAAAAGAAAAATACAACAACAAAGGCCTCAATCAAATAGCAAGCGGGGAAGCAAGGCTATGCACCATCTAATCACATTTATATTGGCTAAATCCAACCGCTATGAGAAAAAAGAACAGCTTTCTTACAACTTTAATTGATGATTTGATGTACGGATTACCCAAAAGATAAGGAAAAAGAAAATTAAATGATTGAGGTTGATGGAATGGAGGCCATATAATTTTTTTTTTTTTTTTTATGGAATCAAATCATAGTAATTGCTCAAAAATCATCCTATTTGCAGCTAATATTGACGATCCCGACAAATAATGCGATGAATAAAGTGGATGGGCAACTATAGTTAGGTCAGAAGGAAAGCAAAAATAAACTTTATTTATATTTGTTTACGACCACTTTCTGGGTTCTACCTCTTTAACTCTTATTTTATTCATAAATACAACTAATCTTGTCCCCTAGCAACCTACCTATTAATTACATATTTAATGTAATAAATCTATGCTCATTTTTTTACCATTTGATCCTCACTTCTCTCTGTTCTATATTAATTTATTTCTCAAAATTTTCTCTTTTTCCCTCTGTTTTTTTTTTTTAATAAAAAAATTTAAAATTAAGATTGGTATGATTCTAACAGCATAGATTGTTTTGAGTATTGGAGGGTTGAGAACAAACAAGCTAGCTGAAGTTTGCAGTACAAATTGTTACTGGTTAAAAGAACACGTAATCTATTCCGTTCCAGATTTTTGTGTTGTCCATTAGCATCTTGGATTTTTTAAAAAAGAAAATTTCCTACTTTCTTCCCAAAAAAAAAAAAAAAAAGGTTTTAAATAACTTGAACAACTTTTATGGGTGAATTTAATGACATTTATGTATCTTTTATTTAACAAAAAAAAACAGCTAAGTTTTTTCTTTGTCCTACTAAAATGAACGGAGTTCTTATTCCCATGATTCTTTCCTTGTGAATATTCCGAATTCGATCAAATTATCTAATAAAATCTAATTTTGATTTAAGAAAAAAAAAACCACCAAAGAGAAACTTTTCCGCTGACGAGGGAAAATCATTTGTTGTCCACAAATGGAACAGAAAACATTGTGCTTCAACCAATATATGAGCCCTTTGATGGGCCTATATATAGGTGTCCAGATTCTGTAGAATTAGTCTATCGCAACTCTTCATCCTTTTGAAGCACTGGGCCTGGGGTTCTCGTAAATCTGGGCTTAAGAAGCCTTACCGACCCCATAAAATACGGAACAGACGTGTTTTTCCACTAAGGCCCACTTGGGGTAGGCCTGGCGGTAATCCACAAAGTTTTTCAACAATCCAAATGGGATCCACGTATAATTTAATTTAATAAAGACCCAGTTTATAAAAGTCTCGTATAATTGTGAGAGAGAGAAAACGACAATACACTGTCACAATTAGTACTCCGCCCTTCCTTTTTATAGAGAAAAAGTTTTTATTTTGGGTGTTGTTTTTATATATAAAATTTTATTTAATTTGGTAACTTTGGTAATCATGCCAATATGAAAAGTTTATTTTACTCTTGTTTTAGTCCTTTGTAAAGTTTTTAGTGTAAGGAAATTTCAAGATAGTGGTAGACAAAGGTATAGATAAATATTTAATGTGAAGAAATTTTGGAGAATTGGTTTTTTCATCAATTTTCAATGAAAAACAAAATGTTCGTATAGGTGATTTGATTGTGATTAAAATGAAGTTTGAATATAAAATGGTCACAATTTTTAGATTGACCATAATGAAAGGAATCCTTACGGATTTCGCTTGAATATTTGAAAAATTAAGTAATTTTTAAACTACGTTTTTAATAACCAAAGACAGTTGGAAGGTTAAATGAATATAAATTAAAAATTTTCACACAACTTTCTTAAATAAAGGACCAAGAAACGAATTTTTTCTCCACAAATCAGAGCATAAACTTTATTTTTCACAACCATATTTATTCTCTTCATTCCAACAAAGCATTTAAAGATTAGCGAAGATTGGAATATAATTTAAGGTATACATTAATATTAGAGGAGAAATCAATAAGATATTAGGGATAAATTAGGAAAAAAAATGTCAAAAAAAGTTGATTAAACTACTTTTCAATCTTGGTGAAAAATTATTTATTTCTATACAAAAAGAACAAAATGAGTATTATTTCATTTATATAGTGGGGGAAAAAAAAAAGAGTACTGTGTGAAATGAGTCTATCCATGGAAAAACTCTCCATGACCAAAAAATTGTTCAGCAATATTTGTCTTGGAGGAATTTGGGAATTCTATTATTCTAAGGCCTCATTTTCAACATCTATACACTGAAGTCTAAAGATGCCATGTTATTCCAAACCCAAAAAATGACAGACCAATTGCATCATTATGAAAAGCGCAAGAGAATTAATTAATTCTTCAAATGGAATAATAGTTCCAAACCCTAACGTGTTAAAAATTAATTAGCATTTATAAAATTAACATGCAAACTTTTGACGAATGCTCATATTCTTCGATTCAACTACTTTAAGATCCATACTTATTCGTTGTTTGGGTCTTTTCAGGAAACGAGGAAGCCCAATCATTCATTTCATTTGCTCCAACTATTCCTATATTTGCAAAACAAATCCTGCTTTAAAGGGATTCTTTTTGTTTTTTAATATTTCATCCCCATAAAGTTTTCCTAAAAGAGTTTGGCTTTAAAACGTTAAATGGCAAATGTACGTGGTCCGCTGGACTTCAAATATATATATATTATATATATATATATATTATATATTATATATTATTAAATTCATTGATATGCCCAATTGAACTGAGAATATATAGTATAATATCTTGTTTTAATGTCCATTTACTTTAATTTACTATATATTTTATTTTTCTTTTACACTCTATTCTATATTTATTAATACATTCATTCAGTTTCATAAGCGACGTATTAAATAAGGGATTCTCTATTCAGGTTTAATGCAATGCTTTACATATTATTTATTTTCTCTTTTACATCTATTCTATTTTATTAATAATTCATTCAGTTTCATAGCGACGTAATTAATCAACGGGGATTTCTATCAAGGTTAATGCTGCTTCAGTAAAAAAGAATATAAAAAGTCTTCAATTTTTATAGTATACAGTACTCTTTACATTATATTTGACAGTTTTTTACTTATTTTTTAATTTCAATAACTTTTAAAAAAAATTAAAATTTCTTAAATTTAAGGAAATACTCCATGTAGATTTCTCATATGAAAATGATGGCCACGTGAATTCTCCTCACTGTTAAAAAAAAAAAAAAGAATACGAAATTTTTTTTACTCAATAGAGTCATAATTATTTTTCTCCGTAGCTTGCTGCATTTTCTTGTTCCCAAAATTTTATTTTACCTGATAAATTTATCATAATTAATAATATAATATTCTTTCAGTTGTTTGTATATATCTTTCATTAGAAGTCTAAATTTTGTAAACATTCTTGTCGCGTTAAATAAGGCCATATTATATATATAAAAAGTCAATAAAAAAATAGGAAATATATCATGTCATTAGCCTCACCTGTGAAAAATTCTAATTCTAATTATTATTATTTTCGTATACAAATGCTTAACCCCAATCCCCGGCCAACATTACGCGCCGTAGATATTCAATGACGTGGACTAACACGTGGAAAATGGGAGTATTGTGGATCGTCCGATCAATTAGCGGTTGAATTTTCCAACGGCAAAAAACCACCATTAACGGGAGCATTAACGAACATCTTTCGCTTTCAATTACGAATTGAGAATCTTTTATTTTCTACGGGTCCAGACAAACCGTATACCCTTGAAAACGGAGCTGGGTCTCCGTATGACAAGTTAGGTAGGCCCAGTGACTCACTGCCTGAGTGGGATTCTACCATAACCGTCCGAGTAGGCAAACTTTGACAGTTGATGCCAAAAAAACAAAGGTTAAAGGCCGTTAGATTCCCATAAAGATGCCGGATTAAACCGTATTAGGAGTTGATTACGATTATTCCGTCTAAACAACAGATAGATTTAAAAAAGATTTGGTAGGGTTTTCTCGTCTATTTGCATACCGTGGATTGAATTAACTGACATGAATTAATTAACGGAAAATATTTTTTATAAAATGATTGGATTTTAAATAATGATTCGTTTTATCTCTACTTTAATAATTTTTTTTTA